GTCGAAATAATCGAAGCTGGTCGGGGAGGAAATTCGGGCACTGGAACTGGTTCTTGTAACGTCATGTCTACTGAGATAGTCGAAGCTGGTCGTGGAGGCAACTCAGGGACAGGAACCGGTCCTTGCATTGTCATGTAGGCGGATCTGATTACATTCTGCAACATTCAACTTTAATCCATATTGGCTCCCGGTAGCCACTTTGAAGGGGGGAAATTGGGTAACAAGAATCTGCATTGTAAATAGTTATTTCCTTGTTTTGTTTATTGCGCATGGCATCACTGGTTTGGAGCATGATTGCATTTGATTTTTCGACGATACCTTCAAGCTCTATGGGCTGGAGGTCAAATTGGTTCTCTTCGTGTACACGATCTTCTGAGGTTGGATTGTATACCTCATTAATCTCACCCTACATAGGGTTTACTTCGCTGCGGCCTACGATTAGCCGTCAAATACATACAGTATTTATGATATCACCTGTTGTCTCTTTTGCTGCTTTTGAATCTCTTTTCCTGATTAATAATTCAAGTTCTAAGCCTCCATTGCGCGTCATGTTCATGTTTGCATCACGACATTCCCCTCGCCTCGATTCACGTTCGCGGATCAGCAGGTCCCGAGCAAAAGTGTTGAGAGATTCACTTCCCAAAATTTTCAGCTTCAAAACAATTATTCGCGTCCGCTTTCTCACTCCACTTTCTAAACAAAGCTAGCTTAGCCTATATACAACCCCATTCATAGCGCTCATCTTTGGCTGGCTACACATTCAGATTCTAATGCTGTCTGTTATTCATGTTGCTCTACCCACTCTGCTCAAGCGCCAATCACACTTTGTTAAGATCTTATAAAAGTGCGCATATAAGCTGAAATACCTTTGCAAGATTTAATCATTGCGAGTATTGGCTCTGGCGCGACGAGGTTTACGGTTGGATTGAACGACGGACGATTCGAGACATTAAAAAGGGGTTATTTAAGGGGTTTTTGGGATGAGGCGAAGAGAGAGCTCGTTGAGGCGTAACGATTCTGAGGGGTCGAGTGAGTTTCCTTTTATTCCTCCATTTCCACACAAGCTTCTGGCTATTGGGTTCTGCTTCAAGCAGGTCACGTTTGTTGGTCAAAGCTAATTAGTTAGGAAATGGCGTCTTTTCGACATTACGTCGCTTTGTTAGTGGAGAGGGTTTGCATAGCTCGTTCAAGAAGCATAGGTTGAGGCCGTCGAGGAGTTCGTCTGAGATGACGGATACGGTTATTCCGAGGGGAGAGGTCAGGTTTACCGGGGAGGGGAGGAGGAGGACTGTGTTTGGAGGGGTAAATGGAGGAGGAGGGCCTGGAGGGTATGAGTGAGTTTTGAATTTGGTTTTCGTGGATGGTTGAGTTGTGATGAGCTTGAGGATGTACTAACAGGATATCTAGAACAAACAGCCTCGAAAGTATCGACCTCGAAGCCCTCCCAGACCTCCCGGAACCACCCCAACCAGCCACTCTACCAAACCGCCGTCGTACATCAACCATCGACGACCGATTACCCCCTTCCCTCCCCCGCTCAACCACCGCACCAATCCTCACATCTGCCCCCAAAATACCGAATTCAACATCCACCAACACCCTCAACGCCCCCAAAAAGGGCCTCACCAAGTCCACCTCCTTCCAAAACCTCAAAAAGTCCCTCTCATCTTCAATCTACAACACCGCACCCGCCGCCCCCCCAGCCCCTAACTTCGAACTCGTGCCCTTACGCAGTTTGATCGCGCAATCCTACAAAGACTTACGCACCCTCAAGTTACTACACGAGAACCAACGGCAGAATTCGAGTAATCTAGCAGTGATCTCGGAGAGCGAGACGAATGCGGGTGAGGTCTTGGAGGGGAATAAGGGGAGGAGCTTGAAGAGGGCGAGGAGTTATAATTCGATGATGGTGCTTGAGACGGCTGGGGAGAATGGACAGGGTCAGGAGATTGATTTTGAGAAGATTGAGAGGAATTTGAAGGGGTTTGAGGAGTTTTATCGGGCGTGGGTGAAGTATGGGGAGGAGAGGGGGGAGGATGTTAGTGGTGAGTTCTTTCCATGGATCTTAGTGTCTGGTGTTATGTTGGATTTAATCTGTGGAGACTAACGAGCCAGTAGAAGTCCATCTCGTAGCAATGATTTCGAAACGAGGAGAGCTGGTCCGCAGTGTCAAAGAAGGCGGAAGAGTAGCTGGCAAAGAAGTCCCTGAGATTCCGAAACCGCCGACGATGAGAGCTCCGGATTGTGGGATGTGAACCTCCAAGCGTCGAACACGAAAATGAAAAGATGGCCAGGATCATGTGGATGATAAGAGCGAGTAAAGTGGTGTCCCATGATAAATTGTCGAAGAATAGCCCAATTGTCGGTAGGACTTGTAGGGTCTGAGGTCTGTGTGACTCGCTTTGTTTGATCCTAGGAGTTGTTGTTGACATTTGGGGCGTCTGGGTGACGGGTTTTGATTTTCGAGGATGTTTTGGCATCAATCAAAGATGCGGACGTTATGGTTCGTTTGAATTTCTTTGAGGAGGGTTATGTAGCTGCGATACGTTGGTAGTAGGCAATAAAAGTTCTGTATTTTTTTCTGAGATGCGCTTTTGATGAGGCGAGACTCTTCGCAATCTTCTGAGGGTGTCGGAAGGTGGTAGCCGCTAGTGCTTCGTATATGTTGTCTCGGGGCTGAAGGTATGGGTGAGTTTTCTGTACTGAAGGTTGATAGAAATCTCCGATGTAGTAAACTGCATTACAAACCAACATTACCACTAACCAGAAGACATCGCTACAACGTCACACCCCCACCTCTCCTCCAACCAACTCCCTCAGCCGTCCCCTCCACTCCCTTCCCTCCTTCTCCAAACTTTCCACCTTGCTTTTCAAATCATTCCTCTCCTCCTCCACACCCATCCTCTTCCTAATTTCCGCTACTCTATCCCTCCTCACATCATCCAACACACCCTCAACCCTCTTCACCTCTTCTTTCTCCTTCTCTACCTCCTTCCTCAACCCGTCTCTCTCCCGCTTCAACAGCACAATTTCCTGATCGCGCATTCTAAGCCGCTGTTCGAGAGTTTGTATAGTATTCTCGAGTGTGAGTGTAGAGGTAGAAGTTCTCGAGGTCTTTTCTAACTCGGCGGTGATGACGGAAAGAGCTTTTTCGATTTCGGGTGTGTAGGGTGAGTACTTCGACTTGCGTTTTCGATGAGGTTGGGGACCGGGAGAATGGGGTCGGGAGTGCTTTTTGGGTTTTGGTGGATGGGGTGCTTCTGGTTGAGGTACAGCTCGAGCTTCCTTTTCCGGCGAAAGAATTTCAGGATTGTTCTCTTTCCTCGTAGTATTTACATCTGCAACCGTACGATCATCTCCCGCAACTGGATGAAAAGAGTTCGTTCTCGGTGTAGGATATGGATCCGGACTTTCGATTGGCGGCTCACTCCATCCATAGCCCACACAATGGTCACAGAACCAGATATCCGGGATTGTAGATTCTTCTGGGAGAGTACAAGTGGCATGGTAGGCATTTTCACAAGTTTGACAGTTCAAGAGTGGGGATGTTGATGGAGCGTTACAGAGGAAGCAGAATGTGTCGTGGAGTCCTCGAATGTGTCAGTGAGTTGGACAAGGAAAGAATGTAGACTGAGTGTTACCAAAGTAGTGATGCTCTCCGCCTCTCCAGGGTGAAGATGGCATTTGGTTTGTGTTTGAGTAACTATGGTCAGGTAAGGCGACGTCATTGGAGATGTTTGTAGGACCTGGAGGGTGTGACCAATTTGGGTCATTTCGGGTAGTCTGTATAATCATCATTTAGCAAGTATGTACAGAAAGAATTATATCCAAATAAGTGCTTACATTAGAATTTGCCATTTATAAGCTTGAGTACTATCTCAGTCGGCAGTAAGGCGCTAAGATTGTGGGTGAAAAGATTGTTGGCAGCTGCTCGATGAGATCCACTTAAGTATCTCGTACTCTCGAACAAGTGCAAGTTGATAGAACAAACGTCAAGTGTCTACGATAGTCAGGACTCGGTGGCCTCCGAGAAGTTGATGAGATAAGCAATAGGCAGAAATGATTAGCAAAGCAAGAGTGGAGGAGCAATCTAATTATGGTGGAGCCAATAAAGAAAGACCTGGAGAAACGATCTTCGATGATCACCCTGCAGAAGCGAGAGTGTACGATTGGACAACCTCACGTCAACCACAACAAGACTTCCCCACCGTTGGTAGATAATCATATTTCATATCTAAATAGTACCATGATGTTGTTCCAATTTAATCATCATTAGATCGTGATATCATCCCAAAAAAAGAGAACGCCAGTATAAGTGCAAGCACATGCAAAATCCCCCGAAATGTTCCATCGCCGTGTCCAATTATGTAGTCAAGACTTAAGATCTTTTCTCGAGTAACAATTTCCCAATAGGTAGACCTCCCTTGCCCACAAATCCGCCGTTGACACCATTGCGCTCGAAAACCTTCTGACCTCGAACCCATGTCTCCTTGACGAGACCTCTCATGGTGCGACCTTGGTAAGGACTGACTTTGTTTCTGAAGAGCATTTGTTCGCGACCAACGACGAACTCGCCCTCGTCGTCGAATACGCAGACGTCAGCGTCCATGCCTGGTCTCAATGCACCCTTCTTGTGGCTCAATCCAACCTGCGCCGAGGTGTTGACAGCACACAGTCGGACGACATCGAGAATATCGATGGGTCTTGATCGTGTCTTGGCCTCGGTCCATAGGATCGGGAGACCAAAACCGACGGATGAGATACCACCCCATGAAGCGAAGAAGTCTCCGCGTTCTTTTTCCTCGGCCTCTTCCTTACTTATCATGTCGCCATTGACACCTTTCACAGGCTCTTGTAAATAATGAGCACCGCATCCTTGACTGAGGTTATCCGGAAGAAGTTTTAATTCTGGTGTACACGGGCTATGATCCGAAACCACGGTCTGAATGACCGAATTTGGTGAAGCAAGCTCAGACCATAAACCATCACGGTTGACTGAGCTTCGGATCGGTGGACAGCATTTGTGGCGAGTGTCTCCGTCCGCTACTTCTTCTGCTGCGAGTGCGAGGTAGTGGAAACATGTCTCCGCTGTGATTTTCACACCTCGGTCTCGTGCAGCTCGGAGAATCGGAATTGCTTCAATGGCGGAGAGATGCACAATATGTAATTGCAGTTCAGGAGCGATAACTGAGAGAGCAAGGATTTCCTCGATGGCATACGTTTCAAAAGCTGGCGGACGAGAGGATAGGAAAGTGTCGTATTCATTTAGTGGACCAGAGGGCTCGAGGGGTGGTAGAGATGTCTGAACATCGTCACCGACGGAAGCGGTAATCGGCGGAATCATCTCAGCATGGAACATCAACGTAGTTGACGTTTTCGCTAACGTGCTCATGGCCAGAGCGACATCGGATGATGATACCGCAGGGAATTCATCAACCTGTAAAGTCATTAATAATGGTGGCTTATTTATAGTGATTGAGACCACTTACACCACTCTCTATCAAAAAGCCTTTGAAGCCTCGAACGCCTGCATCGACCAGGGGTAATAGCTCCGCTGCATTGCCAGGGATGATACCGCCATAGAAACCGACGTCAACCCAACATTGTCCTTGAGCAGCCTTAATCTTTTCTTTCAATCCATTAACCGTGGTAGTTGGCGGGATGGCGTTAAGAGGCATGTCAACCACGGTTGTCACACCTCCAGAAGCTGCAGCTCGTGTTCCCGTGTGGAAACCCTCCCATTCTGTGCGGCCCGGCTCGTTCAAATGAACATGAGCATCAACCAGACCAGGGAGTAATATATGTGGTGAGTGGTCTTTGTATATCGTATTTGGCGGGAAACTCGAAGGAGGGAGTATGGTCGGCAGGATTGATATAATGGTGCCAGTTTGTGGCGACAAGGTGAGAGTTGCAGGAGATACAATGAGGTTATTGTCCTCATCGTAAATCACGGCTCTACTTGACACGAGAACCGTGAGTGGGATGCTCGAGTGGTGGGGTGGTGTATGGGCGGGAGTTGGGTAGGGAATCTGAGTTGAGTCCTCCATATTGATATTGGATTACCGTTAAAGTTTTGAATTGTAAGTAGAATGTATTAAAACAAGGCTGACAGCTCAGCAAGCAAAGAAAAAGATAATTGGCTTGTGGAATGTGCTTATCTTGGTCCTCTGAAGGTGGGAGATAAGATATGAGGCTTAGATTCGTATGTCTTGATAAGGAAGAACTTGAAGAATTTCTTTGTTCCAAACACAACAACAAAAGAAGCGGAAAAGAAGAAAAGAAAGAGGCTTCGACGAGATGCCCCGGATTCAAATACCGTCTTTCTGACGACGAAGCCAGGGTTTTGTGGGGTGCAGAACCCGGGATGTGGTCGAGTCGTCTCCATGGCCCAACAGCCCACCAAATCCTTATCTTTGGCGCTTTATCTCCACGTTGTGCAGCCAGGCCGCGGGCGATTCGGGAACCGGTAAGACCATAGTGGAAGGTGTAGCTCAGGAACCATCTCTAGATCCATCGAGAAGTAGTGGAGACGTCTCTAGGACGTTTCCAAGCACCCAAACACGAGCCTATCCCGAGTTTTGATCGAGTAAAGGAGAGAAAATAGGGATGAGGCTAAAGGGACAGAAATAGACCGATGATCGGGCCGGTTCCGAGATGCCGCACGATGACTTTCGGTCGAGATACATCGCTTCTATACCTGTCAGCATCACCTTGCTACAGGAACACGATACTTATGAGCAACTTGGACGGTGGCTTTCCCTTTGTTGAGAGATGTCAGCAATGCCACTCCTGTTGGCCGTGGTGGTTTGACGTCTGCATCGAAATCCCAACAGGCGAATTCCGGCTCGATGGAAACTGCCCTAGAGTAGCGCCTTTACCGCCCACGGCTGTTTTACTCGATAATTACTCGATACTTACTCGATCAAAACTGTTGACCCTATCAACTCTGCCACAGTGGAATAGTGATGCTTCGTGTTCGTCATCATTGAGTTTACCGGACAAGTACCTACCTTCCTGCTGTTAGATGGGGACCGAGACTTTCAGGGGAGGACGGCGGTGACGATTATGCCCGTCACGTGATCAGTCCTAATTGAATGCGAGCGCTCTTCTTTCTGGGAGATCTCCTGAGAGTCATCTGTCTGGAATTTGCGTTTTTGGTTTCCGAGCAGCTCAGCTGTATTTGGCTTGTCGGCCTTTTCGACCACGTGCTGCTTCTCGGTATCTTCATATTGCTGGCGGGCACGTGCCGACGATGGTTGGTGTTTGCCTTTGCCTTACCACATAAGCAAAGGAGTGCAGAAACAAAGCTTTTGTACAGCTTGCACCCGCGCTGCTACCCATCATAATCAACTCGACTATAATTTTTGTTATATTTGGGACCCAGACAGCAAACGGACAGGCACAAACGCTCGTTCGGAGCTAAGATGATTACTTGAGCAAACACGGTATCGAGAAACGACCTATCAACTTGCAATCACGTTTGAGCCTTCTATTCGTTCTAGTGTACGCATGACTTCGCTATGTATTGGTTATAGCAGACTCAATATGCAATTACCCAGACGGCTTACGAGCGAGCATGTCTACAAGTTCTACCACCCACTGCTTTAAGAGCTGTTTCTGTTCGCTCGAACTTTGTTTAGGAGTATAATGTTTTAAAGGATACTCCTCATCATCTTCCACTAATTTTTGCTAAAAGTCAAGCGTGAATTGTAGGCCGATTCGACATCTACGTTCTCGTTGTACTATTTTCTTTTTTGGCTTCATTCTCAGTATTGGTAAATGTTCGAAGCATCCACTCCCTTTCCTTTTGCTGGCCTTTTGTTTCGTCATTTTAGTTTACCACAGGTAAGACAAAAGTATTTGTAAGACGTAAAGCGCCTACTTTACACCAAGACACTACTGGTTTTACATTACTCTCTAGTCAGAGGATGAATAGCTGTCAACTTTAAACCCCAATAGATAATGTACTTTGTAACACAATTTAGTTCAGTGACCCATTCGTATAAAGCTATGAAATGAGGCACCGGATACTCACCGTATAGTGAGAGGTGCTTTGAAGTATGAGAGCTGATTCCATTGTTTTCTACATAGTACCACCACTTTGCAGTTGGCCAATGAGCTCAGTGGAATGCATCTCGGTTAAATGAATAGGAGGTGGATCACGTGTAAGACAACTAAAGCGGGGCTCGCTCGCGCTGTCGATGACGTCTGGTATACCAAACACGCGTTTGACGCGACTGACTATAATATTGCATAAGGACAACCATTGAACCGTTCATATCTACAACATCTAGGACAGCATAATCGAATTCATCAAGTGCCATTGGTCAATTGCTGGGTCTTTCAGAAAGACGGAGAGATTGAAAATACGAGGCCGTACTCTAGCTCATTAAAGGCTCACAACCAATTGAAGGTGAACTGTTCTAGTAAGTCTAAACTCCGTTACATGAAGCATTAGAGGCTGGAAGATTCACTTTAATTGAGAGAGCTGGGGGTTGAAGAATGGTATAAAGTCATACCGAGCTCAGTCACTCGTTGGCAAAAGCTTTAGCTATTATATACCCTCAATCTCAAGTACCTCGACTACGATCATCTCAACTACACCATTTATTCGTTCACTTCCATCTCAATTACCATTTTAAACACCTAACGTATTGATTTCACATCAATTACATCTACTTACTGCTCCATTTCACAGGTCTATCACCATACAAACGCTTTCCACCACTTCAACCACAACCCAGCCAATAGTCGTAGCATAGAAAATGGCAGGAACACGTTCACGTTCTGGCGCAAAAGCCACCTCGCCAAACACATCTACACCTCCTAAGCCCGCCAATACCGCTTCCAAGAAACGAGGCGCTCCAACAGACTCGAGCGCAGAAGCGCCAAAGAGGAAACGCGGCCGTCCCTCAAAGGCCTCCAAAGCTCTTGAGGCTACGCAGAAGAAGGAGGAGGCGAAAGAACAAAAGACTCTTGAGGAGACTTTGACTGATGGTGCTACCAATGGTGAAGCTGCTAATGGTGAAGAAAAGGATGAAGAAGCGAACGCAAACGGTGCAAATGGCGCCGACGGGGGTGAGAAGATGACTGGGGTTGAAACTAATGGCAATGTGGAGGAAGAAGCTAAAGAACAGACGAATGGTCATGCTGAAGCCGAGTCAAGCAACAAGAAAGACGAAGAGAAGCCTACTCCAGCGAATGGTGAGGAAAAGTCAGCCGAAAAGACAAATGGAACAACTTCAGAGGACGCAAAGCCCCAGGAGACCGAGGAGCCTGCCAAAGAAAAGAACGCCTTTGACGAAGTCAAGTCCGATGAAGCAGATGCTCACAAATCAGCTGAAAAGGAGCAAGATACCAAAAACGAGGAAATCAAAGCCAACAACGACTCGGTTGTCGAGGACTCTGCTCGCGAAGCCGCCATCCCTTCCTCAATTCTTGAGAAAGGAATTATATACTTCTTCTTCCGCGCACGCGTCAATATCGATGAGCCACAGGGTATTGAGGATGTAGCACGTTCATATATTGTTCTCCGTCCCATCCCACTTGGTGCAAAAATTGGCGACGGTCCTCTTCAAGATGATGGTAAAGCACGTCTTCTGGCTCTTCCTAAGAAGATGCTACCGAAGAGCCGCAACGATCGCTTCTTGATGTTTGTAGAGAAGCAAGGTCTCACCATCAAGGACTTGAGAGAACAATTTTCGGGTACTGAGTATGCTACCAAAACCGTTGGGTACGTATTCATTCACTGTTGATTTGAAACAAGTCTAATAATCTCAAAGTACAAGCCAAACCCCATCTGCCACCCCCTTCGCCGAAGGCGTCTACGCCATCACCAGCACAGGCCGTGAATCCCACCTCGCATACACCGTTACCGTCCCAAAGGAAATCGGTGAGATCCAAAAAGAGCTAGGCATCAACACTAAAGGCTCCTTTGTCTGCTCCGTCAAGAATCCAGAGGCTCCCGGCCCTGCGAATGCCACCATTGACAACCCAGCAAAATACCCAAAGGAATTGCAAGCTAAGTTCAGAGGCCTCAGATGGACGCCTCTAGACCCGGAACTCTTGGATTACGAGGGCACGCAGTTTTTGGTCATTGGAGAGGGTGTTGATGGCGGGTTTGGAAAGGCAGTTGATGAGGTGAAGAAAGATGCTAAGGATGAGACAAAGGAGAAACCAGAGGAGGAATTGGAGAAGTTAGAGGAGGAGGTATGTGCCTTTATAGCTTTTGCATCCATTGACACCGTGAAGTGAACTAACTTCTGCTGCGTAGGATCACGACCGTGTTGAAGGTCTAAAAGAAAATGACCCCGTGTTTGCCGATCTCGGATTGAGTTCCAAGGAGTATTCTCATTTGGAAACAACATGGTAATCGCTTCTGTGAAGAAGACGTAATTGGGAATTGACTTTGTTTGGGAATTCTCTGCTGTGTACGACGGGTACGAAATTATCAATCTAGCTATCAACTAAGGTCTCCATCGTTCATTGCTTTCAGGCGTTTGGGTCTGGCTGGATGGGATGCCAAAATGGATAGGAACGGTTTTGCACATCCGATGGGGGCTAAGGTTATCTGGACATGGAAATGGCAAAGGGGCGGAAAATCATGGATATGGTGTATCTTGAAATAGTGGATAATCATGGAGATGTGAGCGTTAGGAGAGCATTTTGAATTACCGAATCGAAAAATATAGCCGTCAAGTGGATAACGTTCTATTTTGTTGTTTATCTGTAGCTTGACGCTTGAGATGTGCTGAATTTCCTTTTCTACATCGGAAGCTACTTGTCATAATACAGTAATACTTACCCACACGAATTTCCACCACCAGACATAAGATTAGATGGTAACATTGCCGTGAGGGACTGCAGCTCAGAATTAACTGCTCATATCCTATCTGGCCGAATGTTTGTTGTTGGTACTCAGTTTCGTTGGCTGGAAGTCTACTCCCAGGTAATCATGACTGCACAATCAGTCAGATAGCCTTTCCACCTCATCGCACAGGGCTGATATATATTTGTATGGACATCATGCGTGACAAAAGAGTAATAACTGTTCACTAATCAGATCAAGCCCATCAACGGTAATCAATTCTCATGGATCCTGTGCTTATTATTAATCGGAATTGAATCTTTGTTACTCGGAAACTAGTATCCGTGAAAGCCCTACACACCGCGCATCATAAGATTATTAGGACTGATAATCCGGCGAATAGCGGTCCGTTGTGTTGTTGAGGGTGTCCGTTTTTGGCTGGCAAAATCCTGAGTCTTTGGAAATATTGTCGGCCGCGATCCGTGTAGTCGCCTTTCGAAATTCCGGCTTTTAGCAGTGGTCACAGTGGTATAGGTATGATGAGGCACCAGAGGCGTCTGCGAGGTGAGAGCGTTGCGCATACCAGAATGTTGGTTCCCGAGTCGCTGAGGGTCAGACCTATGTCGTACTACTCGTATGTTGGCATAGAAATTGCATGTAATATCCATATCGTACGACTTCCAGCCATCAACTCACTCATCTGTATGTTGATGTGGTATAAGTAGAGAGTTAATATTGACCAGCTACCGCCTCGGTCATGTATTCGAACCAAGCGAAACGAGGCGAAGAAGATATCTTGCTTATAGAGTTTGGTAATGGGATATTTGCTTACCCAGACTGCATACCTACCAGACTATGAACATATTCTAGAAAAGGAAATTGATTCCTGATTAGGAAAATGGGAAAGGTAACTCAATGCTGACCCGGGCCAAGAACGGGGTTCAAAAGGTGCGAACCCGATCGATATGTATCATCGCAATATCTTTGCAATATCGTGTCGGTTATTCGTGTGGATTAAATGGACGGGCTGATGCAATTATTTCGCGTACTTGATCAGCCTACCTATGAGGACATGCTGAGAAGTTAATGCTCAGATCAGACGTGGACAACGTGACGTAACCATGGATATTGAAACCCTGGAAGATCAAAAACTTCGTCGACGGGCCGAAAGAAGAGGCAATAGAGGAACCATATCTTGGTTCAGTGGATGAAGCGATGACTATCGATCTTATGTATCGGTTATTACTGATCTCGAACCTCCACCACGCCACATAGTCTCGTAGAGCTCTCACAGAGCCTTTTGACTGCCCGATAATCGTTCATTAATTCAATGCTACTAAGCCTACAGCATCAAGGAATAATATTTTGATGGAAGGTGCCGTTAGATATGCGTTATAGAACTAGGAAGCGAAGGTACTGTACGAGGATTTACCTCTGGGGTTATCCTGTTCGTGGGGTACTTCAGACGACGCCACTGCATTGCTCTGTAAACAGATGGTTTAAATACTTTGAAGATAGGTAGTCAGATATCGCCTCATAGTAGAACCCGATATGAAGAAAAAGATGGAGATAGAGAAACATCTGACTGTGCCTGGTGGATATTGGCCACCCCCACCAATAGCCTTCCCTGGAACCCAAAGTGGAAAGGTGGCTCGGTTAATCGGCTTACCTAACCAGGAATAGACCTCGGCATCCAACAACCTACAAAATCTAATCAAGAAATGGTTCCGTGGATCGATTGCAGATTGAATAGAAAACGGGTCTGGAAAAGAACCAAACAGAGATTCAAGCTGCTTTGCGTTTAAGGCATTCCGATTTTCTGGACACCAATAAGCGGGTTGACCGCAACAACAACACGATGGCTCCCGCTCGCCCTACACCGTGCTGCCAAAGACCCTAGAGCTCCACGCCTCTAGCTCCACACAGCTATAATGTACCTCCTTCTGGGTCAAGAGAATCATAGTCGAGAGCGGCGACATGAGAGGCATGATATTGAAAATGTGGATAGCTGAAATGGCTAAGAGCAAGGACAGGCGCCCAGTGCGTTGTTAAAGCCTTCTGTCAGCACTATTCGCATCTTGGAAGTCTCATACATCTTGAGCTTGGAACATGGTTGGTCACATCCATGCTTCGGGTCAGAAGGTACGTCTAAAGCCTAATCATTTACTTTTGAGCTACGAATAGGTTGCCGCAACTGGCTGTAGCTAAGCTACGTAAACAAAAGCACTATGTGGAGTAGTACTGGTACAAAACGTGACACGGGGCTCAGGAATGCTTCACTATAATTCAATCTCATCCTCCTCTTTCATTTTTTTATTCCGCTTCTGCCTCGGTTTTCTTTCTATCCTATTCCTCCTTTGATACCAAGAATCTCCAGCAACTTCATAGCTCTTCTTCGCACAACCACTCAAATACTCTTTCGTCATGGGCTCGAACATAGCTGAGAACAGTCTGAAGCCTGTCAGGGCAGAGGATTTCGCCAAATTTGGAATGGCAGCGTATCGAGCTCCTTCTTTATATCAACCCCACAGGCTGCGAGAGGCTATCAGAGATGCCCATGAGGGAAAGATTCCACCTCTCATGGGATATTTTATGGGGTTGCCGTCACCGCCTGTTGCGAAGATGGTTGCAATGTTTGGCTTCGATGTCGTGTGGGTGGACTGGGAACATTCCGCTATGAGCGTCGAGACAATGACCCAGGTAAGTATTCGAGCTCATTCTTGGAAGACCGTTCTGACAAGAACACTTTGAAGATGGTTTACGATGTACAATTCTGCAGTGAGGGAAGAAGTGCAGCTCTTGTTCGGTACGTTGAAAAAATACCCATGATAGATGCACACGCTGATGAACTTAGTGTACCTGGCCATGGACACGAGAACATAGGGTTTGCGCTTGACGCAGGTGCCAGTGTTGTACTGCCACAGGTCGAGACCGTCGAACAGGCAAAGCATATCTGTTCAGCCGCAAAGTTTGGAAGGAAGGCTCGAGGAACCCGATCAGCTCCACCAGCAAGATGGTTCCCTGGAGTATCCGATCAAACTTGCGATCCTTCAAAGACTCTCCACACCAATCTCAACCAGCAAGCTGCCATTATCATTCAAATTGAGAGTCTTGAAGGTATCAAGAACCTGGATGCCATTCTTACTGAATGTGGAGATCAGATCGACAGCGTATGGCTGGGGTCTCTGGATGCCAGAATCAGCATGGATCTTCAGGGAGGTGGCATTCTGGGCGTGGAGAACGAATGGCAGGACGCAGTTGCAGTTTTTGAATCAGCCCTTGCCAAACACAATATGCCGGCTTCTGGTCTAGCTTTTGGTCCGCCAGAGATGAAAGCGATACTAAGCAAAGGAAGGAGTATGATCTTCGGATCTGCCGATATGATGGGATTGATGTCTGCGGTTGGCGAATTGCAACAAACCCGCCAAGATTTCCCTGCGAAAGACCATTCCAAGATCTTCAAACAAATCTAGATGGCAATTTCATTTTCTTTGCTTATTGAACATAATCTTCCAATGATGGCTAGAAAGTTGGCGTCTATCTTGGATGCTTCAGGACAAAGCTAAGCTATGCGAAACGGAATAAAATTATATCTCGGTTTTCTGGCGTTTTTCTGAAGATTTCTGTCTAAATTATCTTGTTTTTGTCTGTGTGCGAGAGCATATCGACCATTCAGGCAGAGACTTCTTCATAAGTAGTGTTACTTGACCTGGAGATTATCGATATGCGATATTTCAGAGAAGAAGTGCAACTCGTGTGCAACTACTTGTTCACCTTTCCACCAGTATATCTACCTCTCATGGTGTGTGGATTTTCAAGCCATCCCGGTTGGGACTTCGGGGTTTCTGGCCCTCTTAACATCCAAGCGGATGAAAGTTCAACTTTGGCTACAGGGAATATTTTCTGTTATAGTTGGGCTCTTGATCTTCAATATGTACTGTTGTGGGCCCAGAACAGTATATAATGCTTCAATTACAGTACACATCGAAGGTCAATAGCCATGTCATCATTTCTTTATTTCTGCATCACTTTGTATACTTCCAATGAGATTAGATGAGAGAAACCCCCATTGGATCCGATCTCATGGTCAATGGGAGTATTTTGCATGCCTCCAAATACCAAAACGATTGTTTCTCTATTTGTTGCGAGTTAGTCATTGTTGATATTCTTCACTTGTAGCACTTGCCTTGCAATTCCCGCCTGAACTGAATTAGCGTCCTTCGGCAGTTGCCAACGTAACTTCCATATTTAGAAGTGAATACCGCAGCGGCATAGTCTGTCGATACTATTGAGGACATTCCTTCGTACACCATTATTCCTACTCTTTCAGCAACATCAAATTTCTCCGTATCACCTGCTGACACCTTCTGATCATCACAAATATTTGCGCTCGAAATTACTAGATATCGCAATCCAACTTCAACATTATGCACTGATCTGCTCGATCTTGACGTGCGGTTTCACACAGTTGTGGTTTTGTTTCCACAATGGCATCAGATCCTGATAAACATCTGCTTTTCGAAGTTGATATTCATGACCTCAGTTCCATCCGAAGAATCATGGCTAGTACTGAGTACATGCTCACAAATATTGTTCTAAATCCTATGGCTGATCAACTTACCTGTTTGACGGAGGAAGAAAGATCATGGGTATATAGTGTCTGTGCTTCCATTCGAAATCATCCAAAGCGATGCTTGTTGTTGTGCGCAACTCTCGGTTTCAGTGCAGAATATCTTGGGTCCGACGAGGATATCAGAGCCGCAATAAGTGACTACTGTAGTGTTGGACCGGCAAACGTATTATTGCATCCTTCTCTTTTTGAAGAAGAGTACGATCAACTTGAGAAAGGTTATTGCGGAGCAAAACACCACTCTCCAGGTCCATCACACTTGGATGATCTCGTGATGCTAGTGAGTCTTCTTAAATCGAAATTTCTTCAGGCGTAGGAGTAGACACCTACAGAACTACCTACCGTTTGACTTGGGAGTGAGAATCTGATGTGTAATTAGGCACCTACAGCTTTCAGTCATCAGCAGATTTCAAGTGTTCGCCGCGCCAGACAACTCGAAAAGCTTGCCAGAGAAAGGAAGATCAATGTTGAGGACATTACCATCGAAGAAGCTTTAGCTCCTTTACCACAGGGCCGCCTCCTGGGGAGTTTTGGGCTTCAGACTGTCAATCTTGGAGCGTGTAGTTGTTGCAAACGGCTATCACGATACTGTGATAGGAGGGAGCCATTGTGCTCTGAATGCAGACGGACCTGGAACACAGGTTGCACTTATACGAGTCGTAGCGCTGGTACGGTTCAAAATCTGGAAAATGCTCGTCAAGCAAGACACCTGTACGAGGCACAAAAGAGGAAGGATGATGCCATTCAACGAACCGAGGAGAAACAGAAAACCAAAACTACAGGAGATTCCCAAGATGGGATCATAAACAACCTACCAAAGAATAGTGATATTAATTCAACCAATCGCTTTGGAACAGGACCTTCGGATACTGCGAGAGTCCAAACCAATAGAACTGTAAGATAAACGTTATTCATTTACTCTTTTCTAGTATGTTGCTGAAACGCTTTGCCCTAAGTCACTGACAATTGACGTGATAAGAATGACCGAAGCGATCAATTATGCAATAAACCTGCCTTGTCTATCGAAATCCCGAATTTTCGTAGCTATATTGGTCCTTACGATGAATTCTTTTACAACGACCGTGTCTACTCTCCCATCAGCCCCATGAGCCAGCTTTCTTCGGACATCGATGATCCCTTTCCTCCCGGCACTTTCGAATATTGCTCAAACGGTAGTCGGAAGTCGTCTTCAGAAACTGAACAGTTTGGCTCAGACACTAGTTCCGGTAGCAATAGTTGGCTGGAGTTTGTCACTGAAATGATGGAGTATCAGGATAGAGAAGAAAGCGAACAAAACCATATTTCTACCGCTCAGGATACTACTTTGAATCCTGTTGATGATAAGCCTGCGAGGAGAGGTCACAGAATGGTCACTTGGGAGGGTTCCATCGATTTTGACGCAGAGCTTGCGAAAGAGGAAGAGATACTGTGTGATAAAGAGAATGGACTTTTCAACGATAGAGCGGCTGGGGAATTAGATTTGATGGTTGTTGAGGATGAAACTCCCGACAGACATCACGAATAGGTTAATTTGATTCTAGAATAGAAGAACATAAGTAATCTTGTCTCTTAATCTGGGTTCGTGAATAAATTTCCGATATTGAAGAGAGTGGTATATTCAAGTTTTCAGCAACTCTACTTGACTTGAAATTTCGTTACCAAAGGAAGGGCTGATATGATGTGCTCTTGGAAGTAGTCACTGGCAACAAACGAGAAATAGCAACCAGATTGTCTTGGAAAATGATCCTTCACGCAGTCGTATGACTTGAGACTTTTTCCTGGTCAATAATTATCTTGGATCAAACAAAATTAAGTCTACACAAACTTATTCCGTCAAGGACTGCATCGCATGCCTGCCAAAAGTGAAGGTCTCTGTGGGGACATTTCTACGGCAACGTACTTATGTTCGCTTTTATTTACACTGTTGGCAGCCGTCTTTTAGAACATCGCGATGCGCACACATCCAGCTTTGTTTACAGCATCCAATCCGCATACTCTACATGAAAGAAAGTTCCAACTCTCCAGGTTTACCCTCACGCAAACACGCAAACCACGTCGTCTTTCACTCGCATCCATATATACACATAATATCTTCTTCTATCTCTTACAGCTCTAAGTAAGAAACCATACTTCACCAACTCCAAAATGTCGTCCCGAAGCACCTCCCCCCTTTACAACCCCTGCTCAGTCATCAACAACATAAATCTGAATGACACAAAATCGCTGCGAGAATTCATGGTCGCTTTCAATGCCTATATCAACCAGTCCTTCCTTGATACAGTCACCTCGGATAAGAGTATCATCCCTCTCCACGCCGCCCATGCGCAGACATTTCGTCGCATCATCCGATCCATCAAGGACTACTCTCCAACTCATCGATTATTGTTAGATGCTATGACCAAGTTTGCTGCCGCTGCGAATGGTTCGAAAGCGGATATCAAGAGGGCTACCATGGGATTGGTGAACTTGGCGGATTCAAATGCGCTAGAACGTCCGATGCATCATCCTGAAGAGTACATGGCCGCTTTGGAGAAATTCGAGAGCGAGAGTGGAGGTTGCAAATGTGAAGATGGCGACGTTTTCGACAGCGATGAGAAGAAAGAGGGAGAAGACGATGTTGAGATGCAAGAAGTTGTCAGCAGCAATACTAGGTCTACCAGAAAGGTCCGTGAAGTGCAGGATTCGGAGGATGAAAATACTGAGACTGAATGTTCAGAGAATGAAATGAGTAAGCGCTTTCAAAAAGATGAATTATTGGTTAGAATTCACGTATGACTTGTCGGCTTTCCTTGTGGATGTTGGAACTGATTGAATTGCAGACAGGGAGACGTAGCCCGATGTCGCTTCAGCCGAAGAAGAAACCTCGTCTTCGTACCCACAAGAACAAAATTGAGAAAGTACCCAAAGAGAAATTACGAAGGGCATGCTTGACATGTTACACATCTCATGTAATGTGCGATAGAGTGATGCCAGTTTGCGGAGCTTGTCACAAAAACGGGAAGGATTGCCAATGGGAACATACTGGCGAGGTTTCTCCTTACTGGGTTGCTGTGAACATCAAGTGAATTCTTACATTTTGATGTTTTGGTTCTTCTCAATCTTTTCACATAGTTGAATTTGGAAATTCTTGCGCTGGTGAAGTAGTCGGAAATGAAGTTAGGCGATCTCCTTAACTCTCCTGGATTCAAACCTCCCTCATCTCTCAGTATATGTTGTGAGGACTCTGAGCATTATGACAACCATCTGAACAATCTTAATGACCACCCACTCATTTTCCATTACACCATGTTTGTACATGATGTCGCAATGATAAGCGCCCAGTGAATACCCAAATATGAAGGTGAAGTTCACCCTGACGCGTTTATGAAAACACTGTTTTATTCAAGAGCAGACGCGCTAGTATTTCTAACACAACCCTTCCATAAAACAGACGTCCACAAAACAAAGTTTTCTAGTTTTTCTAGCAAAACCATGTCGCCAGACAAAGATCGTCGATCCGTTCTCCAAATGTCCCAAATATCAATACAACCAAATGAATTGCTAGTAAGTCAACAAAACGTCTGACAAGAGAACCAAAACAGACTGCCCCGAGTCGGGGATCATCTCCTCATATTATCGCGCATACCAACGATTTACAGTGTCTCCAATCCAACCACGTCCAAGTGGTACTCCAACCGCCGATTACGGTTATGGCACCAAAGCAGAGGAAGTCGACCATTCAAGGTGGATAAACGAACCTGGAACAGGCGTACAAAGCGCATGGGGTTACTTTGCCAATCTCGACACATCCGACGGAGATTCGATGAGACGCTTGGCCAAATACTTTCACTACAGACTCAATAAAATAAACGGCCGCAACGATTCAGCAATGTACGCTCTTGACTTGACCGAGATGATGGAGATGAACCGGATGTTTGAAGAAAGTGTCGGTAATGAGTTGCTCACTGAAATGTTGACCTGGTTCACAACATTTCGTGACGGTCCTGAGAGGCAGCTTCTAAATCGGGCGCAAGAGTTAGCCAGGATGGTCAATAACTTTGTGCGCAACCCAACTGTTTATCCGGTTGATTACTCCAAGGAGAAAGCGCTGTGGGAAAAGAAGAATAAGAGTAGCGGGACGGCAAGAACGAGAGGTGCTGCGACCGAGGAAGTAGAGACGGGGGAAGGAGCAAGCCCATCGCCAACAGTTCAAACAAACGGTCGCAAGTTTAGCGCGAAGACGAATGGGAAGAAGAGAAAAGTCCCTTCAACGGTCACCAGCGCTCAGCCAGATATCCCGATACGAACTGTTCAACCACGAATGTTTGAAAAGCCTAAAGAGGATGAGGATGATGATGAGGAGGAGGACGAAGAAGATCCCGAAGAAGAGGATCGAGAGCCATTGGAGAAGGATCACTCCGATGAACAGACTTACAAGTTTGATGAACCGGCCAAGCCAGGAAAGCGTCGTCGTCTGGTGAGCAGAGCGGTTCTTGCAGCTCTCAAGAACGGCAATATGAATGGTAAAATGGACCAACTGAAGGATGACGACAAAGACTATGGTAGTTTCAAGTCATCAAGTTCGAGGAGCACATCAGTAAAGTGGGACGAAGATCCCAAGAAAGAATCCAAAGGAGCGTCGAAGACGGCTCCTGACTCCAAAGGAAAGGGCAAGAAGGAAGATAAAGACGTGGAAACCGATTCTTCGGAGGATGACATGCCTTACAAGGTAAGCTCTACGTTGAGACTTGCACTACTTTGGCTGGTTTGTTGCTGAAGATTGTAGAATGTGTTCGAGGAGATTTACATCACAGACACCAGGAAGACTAGAAGTGGCAAGGAGGTTAGTTCGTTCCATCTCGCTCAAGTTTAGCTGCTAACAAACAAACAGTTTAATCCGTACGCCATCTAGCAGACGCTATTAATGACAACTTTACGAAACTCAAGATGAGAATTAATCGAAGCCTGCGAGCGAAACAGCAAGAAACTAAAGGAGCGATACCAAACTGAAGGGTGGAGGTAGAGGATGAGAGCCGGTGCAGATGCGACAGTCGAGTAAGGAACGCTTATACGAGCGGGAGATGGATGATTATTTTGTCGGCTGACAAGATTGGATTGATTGGTTGTTGGATTAAAAGGATAGCTTTTTTGTATGCTAGAGTTGTGGATAAACAAAACACTCTTTTGAATACTTGGTGCAGATTGCCGTGGCAGAAGAATGGATGGGTGTGAAAGTAATAAGAGACAAGGCGATCACTGGCCAGAGTAGATTCTCGATTCGTAGGCTAGATATGAATTTGAGTATTGCTTCATCCGCGGTCCTTCATTTACGCAGGATGAAGTAACGGGCGTTGATCATGATCTTTGTTGACAGACCTAGCGTTAGAAGTTTTGTCACTTGTCACTTCTCACTTACAGAACGACCCTTGAAAGTAGCCAAGAGACACAAGTCGCTTTTTAAATCGAAAGCATTCAAAATTCAAGAGGGAAAAGATAAATGTTAGAGGAGTTCTCTAAATACCGGTACCTTAGTGAGTGTCCAGGTGTAATGTTGGGGCATCATCGCTCGTATTTTTTCATATTATGCGAGATACAGGCCTTCAGTTATATGTACGAGTTGACAAATGCAAGATGATGGACTTTTGCAACTCTTAGTAACATTTGAGTATTGTGAGAAATGCTGTGCAATATTAATTTACAGAGAATTCTCGAGCTGAGGAAGGGAAACTCTAGATGAGGATAATTGAGATTCTAGAGAGGATCAATTAGAGCCACATGAAGCGCTTTTCATAGAACACATAGAATTATATGTTTTTTGAGATTAATTGGGTGTGGAGCCCACTAGACCTTCCCCCATGTGGATGTGTTGAAGTGTTCGCTGCCGCTGATGCTTAGGCTGGCGGCCTCAGCTTGAGCTCACTATCCTGCCGAGGCATTCTAAGGACACTGAGGTGCATTTAAATCAAACTATGGTGAGTTCTATGTGAGTTTTCTGAATTATAGGTGATCAATTGTCTCGATGAAAATAAATTCGATGGCTGTCGTTCATTACATTTTTGGAAGGTGCAATCATGAGTTTGGGCGTTCACATCTGAATCACCAGCGACACCATCATCCACACAGAATCAACACAACATCACAAGCTCTTATGGAAACCGACTGTTTGAGTCATATCGCACTCTAAATATAATCAGATCGGTGTTTGTAGCCCTTGGCCTTAAAATAATACGTCATATGAGAATAATAGTTTTCGTCAATCCACCATAAAATAGGGCGACTCCCCATCGAAACATCCTAACTGTTTTAGGTAGTCAGTCACCGACTCTAGCCGCGCTGTGATGTAATTGAAGCTTTTCATATTCTCGCAGTCGACAGAGCGATAGCAGATGTCTAGCGAAAGCATTGCAGACATTTCCCATAACATGTTGGACATATCCTATCTGTTTGAGAAGAAGCAGGCAAGGAATATTTATTATGCCGTGGTAATTCTCGTAGAGTCACGGATGAGATTGTCGGATTATCGTTGAAGATGGTTGCTTCGGTGGTGATGCAAAAGGCTGACGAGGCTGGTTGATTTCCCACAACAGGACACACCGTCGACCCTCAAGCATCGCTCATTTACCTGAGTAGATGCCTAGATAGTGAGCGATCACAGTCACACGCTTTGCAGATAATCGGAAGTAAATAGGCTTAAGTGATGGACGATGGGCATGGGCCAGATTCTCCTAATGGGACTGCGCATTTGGCGAAGGAGGGTCTAAAGTCACGGCACCACTTCACACAGGACATTCATCCGAGGCCAAATTCTATAACGCAGCCAGTTCGAGTCAAATTCAATTGCATGAGATGATTGTATTCAGCGACGACCAGCCGTCTAGACTTCGATCTCCTTCATTCGCGTCGATTCCCCTATGCCTTAGTTTTTCCGAGCCTCGCCAGACCTAGCAGCCCCAAGAACCGCTCTAAGATCATGTGAAGCCCTTAGTCTGGACGTTTGAAGCTGTGATGCAATCATCAGTGCTAACCTTCCCCCCTCAAATTCCACGCCGCGAAGGTGAATCTCTTCTCCAGCAACGCTCTCGTTCCACAACCAGAACCGTCAAGCTCTGCTTTGAACCCATCACCATACTCCTGAGAACTCATCACAATCGTTGGACATTCACTTGGCGCATTCTGCGACACATATTGGATGACTATTTGACCGTCAGCCGTTTGGCAGCAGTCCCACAGCATCACTCTCGCTTTCACAACCAGAACCATCAAGCTCTGCTTTGAACCCATCAGTAGACTCCTAAGAACTCATCAAAATCGCTGGAAACTCACCTGGCGCATTCTGCGAAACATATTTGGACAACTCCTAAAGTCCTCAGCCGTCAGCTTTCGTGGGAGAGCAGTCTGCAGCAACACTACAGCTTTCATAAGCAGAATCATCAACCTCTCCTTTGGATCTATCATTAGACTCTCGAGAACTCCTCACAATCGTTGGAAATTCACTTACCGCATTCCGCGACACATACTTGGATAACTCCCTAGGCGTCAACATTCGTAAGAGCAGCCCGCAGCATACTATTATCAAAACCCCCTTGTCGCGGACGGCCAGCAACAACAATACGAGTCGACGCTCAATACCTTCGATTCCATCTTCGCATTCTTGCGGATTTACTATTGTCTTCCTCCGCCCACCACTAGGCATATAAAAAGAAGGACCTTTCGCGCGACACTTGACGATAACTTCACAAGCTTTGGTACGTGCACTCCTAAACTCGTTCAGCCTGCTTCTAACAGTCGCAGAAATAATCAAAATTTCTTACTTGATTTCGGAGCCTTTGGAACCCCAATCTCTTCCCTCGTTCGAAGCATCACACAACCCACACATTCACCATATCATACCTGTTTGCAGGACAGCAGATAAGATACAATATCCGACCGCGACTCTACGCACCTCAATCCACCGCATTCTCCTCCTTCATAACTCGCCGGTCCTCACCAATCGCACCCTTCACTTCGCTGTTCCCTTACAATACCGAAAGCCTAGACGTTGATTCACGCGGTCGACAGGCTCTCTGATAACCACTACATAAGACAGGCTACTTTCTTGCATCACTTCCACTTATTCACAAGGCTTGTTCGAACACAAGATAAATTACTGTACAAAAAAACCTGCGACTTCCTGTCGAATCGATTCCTGTCATTCTTCTGTTGTCAAAGTTCGAAAAATACTTCGCTAAAATGAATACTGGCAAGATCTCGGCAGAGTCTGCCAATCAAAAGACTACGCTTAAAAGAGCAGGGGCCATCAACGCCAACGAACCCCAATCACCCGCAAGGGAATTGCTCACACCTCCAACCTCATCCCCTCGAGGACTGAGTGATTCGTCGCCCCCAAATAAACGCGTCCGTGACGCAGACGAGGACGACGCGGAGGAGGACGCTCCCCCAAAGAAGAAGTCGCAGGTGTCTAGATCCAAGTCGTTAAAACCCAAGTCGTTGAAGCGCAAGGAAAAGTCCGCAAGATCTTCAGCAGGCAGATTGACCGGCGTGCAAAAGGAATTGGCAGAGCTCTCTGATGCGCTTTGTAGACCGCTTCAAGGAAGGGATATTGCTCGACAAATTGCACGTATTGATTACGAATGCGCGCAGAAGGCTATCAGCCAGAAAACAGATTTGAGATCCGAGCAGAACGTCTCTCCACGTCACGCTCTCAAAGCACCAAAATCTGAAGGGTCAAGTGAAGTCAAACCTGAACAGCCAGCTGCTATTCAGTGCAGTGAGACCTCAGAGAAGAAGGAATCTCTCGTATCCAATAAATCCTCTCAGCAAGAAGACAACTTCAAAGTCGATCCTCAACAGCCCAAGTGCAAAGCAAAGAAAAGCGCTGAACCGCCCGTTGCGAGCACTGAGACAGGTCAGAGGACTGTATGGGCCCGCCATATAGCGGAGGGAATAGCTTCGTACAAGGGAACTGACAGTGAGAAATATTCAAAAGCAGAGGCGGCAAAGAGATCCATTGAAAAGAATCGCGCCAAGAACCAGACTCGTAAAGAGAACAAGCAGTCACAGAGGAAAGCGCGTCAAACATTTGAGAATTCCGAATATCATAATCACGCGATTGACTTCACTGACACTGGGAGTTTGAGCAGAAGTGAATTCAAGAAAAAAAAGCAAGCAGAATACGAAAAGAAGAAGGAAGCTATAGAGAAGGATAAAAAGCTAGTGGAGGATGAAAAACAATTAATGCTTGCTCTGGAATTCTCGCAAAAGGCCAAGGAACGAAAATTGTTTGGAGAAACCAAGACTTCACTTCACCTTCAGGATCCTGGTAAGGGAGAACTCTTCTCCCCGCTTTTATCACACTTCACCGAATCCGATCTTCGAGAAATCCTCAAAGAAGACGATTTGCTCCAACTCTCAACCGAAGATAATTTCAAACGATTTTTGCAACAAAATAATTTTGAAAGTCTTGGAAAGCTTCCAAGAAAGGCGGAACCGGTTCAAGCTATGCCTGCATCTACTTCGTCCTCGCCTGTATCAGCTCTCACAGGCCTCGAACTGAAACTCAAAGTATCTCAAAAAGCCAAGGACCAGCTTAAAATGGAGAACGGGCCACAAAATCAGAAAATTTACGAGTCACGAAATGTTGATCAAGTTGTATTCGGGGGTCTGAAGTTTCCTGCCTGGTTTCCTGCCGCTTACCCACCAGAGGTCATTGGTGTCAAAACTGCGGGCGCAAATACCATCACTGTTCCCATTTTGCACGTCTGCGAAAAATGTTTTGCATACACTGTCGACGTACGTGCAAGTCTTGCGCATAAGAAGTTCTGTTCACAGAATGAAGTTCCTGGGGAGTTGACATATAACCACCAGGGAAAGGGTATCTGGAAGGTCAAGAAAGTTGATGGAGCTGCTCCCGAATCTAAGGTATGTTCAATCTCAAGCATTTGCGATTGATTTTCTAACTTTTGTTCCAGCTGCTACTTCAACGCCTGTCGCTGTTTGCGAAGATGTACATTGAATCCAAATCCGTCTTGTATGAGGTGTGGACCTTCGATTATTTTCTTCTGACACACACGGATAGCTCGGGCGATGAGCAGATTGTTGGTTTCTTTTCAAAAGAAAAGAAGTCTTGGAATGACTACAACCTTGCATGCATTTTCATACTTCCTCCATGGCAAAAGAAACAATTGGGCAGGATCTTAACGGAGCTGTCGTACGAAATTAGTAAGGAGAAGATCGGTGGTCCCGAGCGGCCCATATCGGATGTTGGCCACGCTGCCTATATGCGCCTATGGGGAAAGAAGATATTCAAATATCTTTTGGATTCGCCGATTACAGACAACATCGCTGGCACGGGAGAAACCAACATCGAGCTCATTAGCAAGGCCACAGGAGTCAGTCCCATAGATTGTATGGACTTTTTTGAGACACTCCAAAACGAGAGCTCCACCCGGTCCAAAGTTCTTCAGATGAAGAGACAGCCCAATGTTCTTGAAGACTTCGAGAAAATACATCATCATAAATACGACCCCCGAGACAACAGCTTAATATGCAGGTGGCTCAAGGGAACAGCGAAGGTCAATCGTCTGGTCATCGATCAAGATCAAATCCGCGCATGGCTGGCGAAGAATAAGATCGATGTCAATGAGGTTTTCATCGATCCTAGACATGTCACGGTACCAGCACAGAGTCCTTGAAAGTCATGTTCAGGAAGAAGCAGAATTGTTGCATCAATATGGCGCGTGGATTTTGTACATTTTTGGGCATTAGATGATGATAAATGTTGAAAAAAAGGGATAGATTTGTGGTGTTAGGTTCAAACTTTTATATCCCCCGGGCCACTGGTGGCGTTTGGGTTGGGCGATATTAGAGTATCGATGATTGATAATTCGCTGGAATACAATTTTGATTTTCAAGTTCCTTCATTGTGAAAAGTGACGTTTTATTGAGGACTGGCAGGAGTGGACTTGTGTGACGATACATTATGCTTATGGCTGCGTGAAAACATACTATGTCCACACACGAAGTGACTCTTCTCTCGTTGACAACTCTCATCATGATGATTCCCGTCCTAACAAGTAGCTTATCGTTGTGTGTTCACCGTCTTTTCAGATGAATTATCAAGTATTGGCCAGACGGCATGAGGTTGAATGCTCATAGAAGGGTGTGAATAGTCACTCGAGGCTTGACGCCGAAACCTACTCACTCCAGCACCCAGCATAAGAGGGCGCTACATACGACACTCGGATGAAGGTTACTATTCCGATCTGTGAGTTGGCAGCTCGAAGCTCGGGTCGTGCGAGTGAAGTTATATCTGAGCCTTATGTCTGGAAAGTAGAAGATTGATAAGTGATCACACATACGACTCGTCAATATCAAGCAGGAGAATCGCGAAAAAGCCATCTGAGAACTAAAGCTCTTCGATATACTCGTACCACACCTAGATCTTCACACAAAGCTACAACCTGACGCCAGGGCACGTGAACATCTCACCAATCACACTCATAAGATCGAATCAGAAGAAACCAATATCTATTACTAACAACACAGACGTCCAGTCCCAACCTCCCAACCCTTGCGCGCGCTAAACAAGCAGCGACATCGAAGGGCAGTCAGACGCCAAAAGAGTACAAAAGAAAATCGACGATGACAGGCAGGCAGCAGTGTGATGACCGCAGGAAACTAATAGTAACAGGCCCTGCCGAGAGGGGGAATGTTCCGTATGTCTCCGGAAAAAGTTGTGCAGAGGGTTGGTACAAAAGGGTAATAAGTAGTAGTAGCAAGAAGGAGGTCCCCCCCAAAAAAGGGAGGCATTAAGAAGGTGTGTTGTGCAGTAATGCATGCCACTCAACCCATTTCTCCCAAACCCCCTTTCCCCTCCCAAAGTAGTTCGCTCCCCTTATGCCGCCGTTCCTCCCAGGTTTGTTCGGTTGCCGCTCGCCTTATGCAACTTTCTCTACTCGGTTTCTTGTGTACATGATTGAAATGCCTCCAACATTTCGCTCTGAATTCTAATCCCCAGCTTACATGCCCTCAAATTCCCCACCGAGGTCGTCTTCGTCCAGATCTCCGTCCTGAATCTCCTTTGCCATCTCACGCTCGCGCTCGCGTGCCTCTTGGGCGTTCTTGAGTTCCAATCGGTGTTGGTTCATAGGGAATCGCATTGCCTGTAGTTTGTTAGTTTTGCTAATGTAATTTGAGATTCCCGCGACATACCTTGACGCTTTCATCGTGGAGGCTGAGGCACGCTTGGATACGCTCGTGGAATGCTTCTCCCGGTTCTCTGGTGGCATAGACATCGCCAACCTCCTTGCTCTTCATGAATCCTCTCTCACGATCCAAGGAAGCCTCAATGACACCATCCCGGATTGCCTTTGCAACAATGTACTCGGCAGATTCCTCGCTCTCCAACTTCAAACGGATACAGATGTCTCGGAGCGATATTCTTGAATACGATAATGACATCATTCGGATACCGGTCTTGATGACATTTTGTCGCAGGCGCAGAATTAAAGTGTATGTGCCGTCACGTCTGAAAGCCTCACTGTGCTGTTTGATGGTACTTTCAAACTCCCCAAGAAGTCCCACACGGACGGCCTGAACAAGATGCAAGTATGGTTCTAAGGCACGCTCCATGCTGGCATCGCGGAAGGTGGCACGTTCCGGGATATCACCCATTAACAACTCAACGACCAACTTCAACTTCGTCGCACTCTGTGAGAAACCGGCCGCACAAGGACTCGAAGGTGCTTTTCTTGTTGCTGCTGTGAGATGTTGATGCGCTTCTGTGTAACGGAGTTGAATGGCTCTGATTCGTCCTAGATAATACAGATATCGTGCAACTTGGTTATTCGATGCGTTGTCAGGAAACTTGGTATGTGTTACAAGGAGATCGGCTTGATTAATATGGGATGTGGATAGATAATTCCGTAACAGTAGAACGATGACCGTAGATTGTGTGTCGACATCCTTTCGTAAAACGGCAGTTCGGAGGGCAGATAGAAGAGCTGGTCGAAGAGATACAACTGGTGATGCTGGAGAAGGTGGAAGTGGCTGCATCTGCTCGCAGAATAACGAGTAGTAAAAATACACGCGGGCAGATAGCGAGTCGAGGGTTCGGCGATTCAAGGAGTGTATCCGATCAGTGAGATGTTGAGAGAAGACCGCACCTCTGTTGTTGTCCTTCTTGTCCAAGTAGTGGATCTGGATAAGAACTCCAAGGAAGATGTCGACTTCAGGGAGGATATCTTTTTGCTCTTTCTTTCCCGACTTAGTCGCCTTGGATTCAGAATCAACTTCCATCTCCGGAGTGTTTGGTTTGGAAAATGTAGCATCCTCCCTATCAATTGCAACCAACAAAGACTTAGCAGCAGGGCTCGTCGATGGATATGTCTCTGTGATGACCCTCGCAAGGATATCGGGTGTCAGGCGTTTGCGGATAGACGAAATTGATCGAAGGGCTCTGAGTGTAAACCTAGCATCGAACAGAGTGACTGCGCGCTCGAGTAATGGAAAACTGTTCTTGATATCTGTGGAGTGATGAGAACAACGTCAGCAACGGGTTCTGCGATAGATCGTGGGGCCAAAGCAATAGGGCCTACCTGATACAGCCTTGGTTACTGGATCAACTTTCACAGCGCCGTCATCCTCTGCTGTTTGCTCTTCACCTTCCATTACCACATCACCTTCCTGATCTTTGCCCGGGGATGATGACAATTTTGAAGCTTTTGATGGCGGAACAACAACTGTCATCTCCTCTTCTCCATCTTTCGACTTCTTGCCCTTTCCACCTTTCAGGGATGTGGGCGCATCGTCCTTCATCTCGACGTCTTTTGTACCATTGACACCATTCTCGACTGGTTCATTGCCGTTGGTGTGTGGTGTTTTGCTGGGCATATCTGGAAGTGAGGACCTCGAAGGCGCCCGGCTGTGACGTGCTCTGGATGATCTCGGTGATCGCGTTAGTATGAAGGATTTGATGCGAAATCGGTATCGGGAATCGAAGTAAGCTCTCTGTGACTGTTTCCTGGTCACGAGGCGATGCTTTTTTCGAGTGTGCGAATTGTGTTGGTGTTGAGGTTGATGAGGTTCTCGAAGCTGTTGTCGGTGATTACACTCTTTGAAGCTTAAACAACGAGCTCTACGGTAGGCATTGACGCAACGTCGCGCACAATTTCGAGTGACGCGAGTCAAGGGAGCCTTACACAGTGGAATCTTAGTCACCAAGCAGCATAAGTTATTTTGGAACTCTCGAAGCGCTTTCCAAAGCAACATCGTCCGCAGACGACGATTATATGTGAATGCTAGTATTTTTGCAAGTTACATAGATTTATGAATGTCCCGACTGCTTTTCTTATAAAACTTACAGGTCTATTCAAAGGCCTATATGCTAGACATTGACCACGAGGCATGATTATGCACCTGACTATGAGCAGTGATTGCGAATCTCTAATTTCCATATATCTGTAGCGGCAATGTGATATCAATCTCCGAGGTATTCAAGTAACATCATCGTCAGTTACTTGAATGACTTGTGAACACAGACAACACAATATCATTGTGTGCGATATCTCTTCCGAGTCGCTCCGACCCGGGACATCGGTGACATCAAGCACAACACGTGACTGGTAGGATTGTTTCTTCAGAACTTGTCTTGTAATCTTCGTGGGGAACCCTGTTAGGATTTGCGTAGTGCAAAAGTCAAGCTGGTTCATCTGCTCTAACAAATAAGAATGCAACGATTTCTCACTTGTCCAACTCTGGGTCCGCCTTTCATGCGACTTCTTTCGCAATTCGGTAAGTGAAGCGGAGACGCCGGCCACCGGACTCGATCGGCGTCTCGGCAATGGACGCTATCGCTTTCACGAGGCGATTTGCTTCTCCGGCTTTTCCCTGCATGTTGGCAAAAGGAAAATCTTCTCCATTTATGAATCCTATATGATCGCACACACTTCTCCATCGACCCGCAATCATACAAAACAAGAATCAACTCACACTACCTATTCGCACGACGAATACCAAAACCACAAAAAAGCATTGAATCACAACAACGACAAGCCGACATTCGAACGCGTTTGGTCGGGAAATCAATCAACGGGCACTAGTTCTGCAACAAGCACACGACCAAAATGAAGGTCTTTTCCAACGAGGAGTCGTTTGATTACTCCTGGGAGGAGGTATCAACAGCGAACTGGAGAAAGTACTGTCCTTGGAACGACAAGTCTACACATGTTATTGCAGTCGATACTTTATCGCGAAGTGTGGACACCACAACCGGAATTGTAAGAGATTGCACTCATTCGCAACTTTAAATCTGTCTAACAAGTATTTCAGCTCCGCACAGAACGCTTGATTACATGCAAGCAAAGCGCGCCTAAGTGGCTTGCCTCGTTAATGGGAGGAACCGATATTTCCCAAGTTTTCGAAACCTCCTATGTCGACCCCGAATCGAAGAAGGTTACCATGGTATCGCAGAACCTTACTTTTGCCAACATCATAAACGTCCGAGAAACCGTCGTTTACCAACCCCTTTCCGCCGCGAGAACACAATTCAAGCAAGAAGCACAGATCACCGCGTTATGTGGTGGATGGCAAAAAGTCAAGACGGCAGTAGAGGATGCAACCGTCACACGTTTCAGAGAAAATGCTGTTAAGGGCAAGGAAGGATTCGAATCGGTCCTTGAAATGAGCCGTCGTGTTTTCAGCGAGGAGAAGTCTCGACAAAACCAGTCCACCGAGAAGATGGCACTATAGACGGTGTAGAGGGATAAACCACTCTGCATCTCGACTTTTTCACGACTATCACGTTATCGCGATCACACAGCATATTTAGACTATACCTGTAATTGGACAGCACCTCAAAAGTCATTCGGGAGGGCTTGAGATTAGGAGCAATTTGGCATTTAGCGCGGCGTTTGGATTTAGAACCAGGGGCATTTTGCTTTCCTACGCTTTGGACAATCTCCACGCGTGTACGCCGTATACTTATTAGATGTACATACCTTTCGCCTTTGAGCGAATTAGAAGAACAAAACTACTAGATGAGGACCTGCCAGGTCCCAATAGAGAAAAGTTAGACATATAAACCTTGTTAATTCTCAACAATAAATTGCATGTGACATTGCTTGAAACAAACGCTTTGAATGAGCAAAGAAAGTATTAATCTGAGTGGTGTCCCATATCTTAAACTTGAAAAAAACATCCCTGTTATGTAACAGCACAACCAACAAGCACATCACTCATCACGCTCCCCCCTTCACAACCCCAATCTTCCTCTCACTCCTCTCCAAATAATCGCTCACAACTCCCCTAAAATCCTCACTCAGCTCCCCCTTCAAAGCGTCCCCAGCAACCTTTCTCGCCTCCTCATACCGTTTAAAAAAGTACAATTCCTCGATCGCGTGTAATATCGTCTGAGATTCTGGTTTACTAGGATTGTTTATTGGGAGGGTGAGGGTTTTGTGGATCTATTTCGATCAAAACTTAGCCAGAGTGAGTGATGTGAGAGGGTCTGGAGTGGGATGGGACGGGTTTAAGGAGGGGGAGATTCACTTCTCCGGTTTCTATTTTGGGTCGCCATTGTTTTCGTTGGTTGTTGAAGTCTTCTTCTGTTTGAAAGTCTCGGGGGAGTTTTTGGGTTGAGTCGGATTCGTCTGAGGAGACTTCGATGTTGAAGAGGCCTCCGTTTTCGTCTTCCATGTTGGTCTGTCGCTTGATTGACTTCCCCCTCTCACTACCTAATAGCCATTGGTACAAATTGCCCAGGTGCCGTAAGACCTCTCATAATTTGTAAGTTGGGTGGATATAATTTGACATCACACCCCACCTTCCGAGGTTCACCCGCTCTGATATCAACCCCACCTCGAAACCATGACTTCCTCTCAATTGCACAGGAATTTTATCATACAATCATGGAAGAACAAGTGGATCGTCTGGTTGAGAAGACCTGGGGTAGGAAAGTCCCATGGAGAAAAAGAAGGGAATCATACAGAAGCTGAATCGAATATCTCACAGCAAAATATCAAAACACTCCTCCAGATCAGAGACTATTGATAGCTGTCTCTGGAATTCCGGGATCTGGTAATTCCCCAATCTTAAAATCCTTTCCAACTTACCAAAGGCCATGATCCCATCTCAATCCACCTATCTCATCTCACTTTCCTTCATCCGCCCTCAACCACCCCCAACTAACACCTCCACCCAGGCAAAACCACACTCGCCCTTACAATAACCACCCGTCTCAACGCCCTCCACACCACCCTCCACGGAAAGACCACCTCTCCACCACCAGCAACATTCGTCCCAATGGATGGCTACCACTTCCCCCGCTCCGAGCTCGACAAATTCCCAGATCCGAAGAACGCACATGACAGACGAGGAGCGGCATTTACTTTTGACGGCGAAGCTTGTACTTGTCCCCCTTTCCTTATTTCTCCCTCATCCACCTCCATCTCCTTAAACTAACGTAATTCTAGTCCTGAAATTAGTCCAACAAATCCGAAAACCCATCACAAAAACCACACCACCAATCCACGCACCGTCCTTCGATCACGCGTTGAAAGACCCAGTGTATGATGATATTCCCATCCCGCCTACAGCGAGGATAGTAATCTTTGAAGGGAATTATCTGTCGCTGAATACGGAACCGTGGAGTCAGGCTGCGGCGTTGATGGATGAGCTTTGGTATATTTCCTTCCTATGTTCAGTTCCAATATTTAACCCAATCCCACATAGTTAGAATCATACTGATGAAAGCAATTCTAGGTTTGTAAATGTAACCTTCCCAGTAGCAGGTGCACGTCTTGTTCCACGACATGTAAAAGCTGGAATAGCACCCACGGAAGAACTAGCGTGGAAGAGGGTAAATGAGAATGATCTGGTTAATGGTCAGGAGATTGTAGATAACAGGCTTGAGGTTCATGAAGTGATTGAGAGTAAGGAAGATGATTCGTGGAAGCCTAGTGGGATTTAGGAACCCATCTTGGGTGGAAATGGTTTGAAGATAATGCTGGAAGACTTCAATTCAAGTCTTTGGCTGTTTCTCATCCAATCATCTGCTGGGCCTTAGAAAAATCTAAACGAGTGATTTATTAATGATAATTCCTCTTGAGTAAGTTATGAATACAAACACCGCCAACTGGAATCTCAAAGACCCGCCATATGAGCCCACTCAATGCCCCCTATCTTACACAACGCTATCAATAGTACAGTTCGGTAACACCATAAAACTATGCCGTTTGTGTTACACCGAAATGAAGATTTATAAAGAGAACCGAATCGTGGAAAAGCAGAACACAGCCGGTGAACACAAGTCAAAATTCTCCCTCAGTGAAGATTCATCGTTCACTTTCCGCTTCAGATGTGGATTTCAGTGACACTCGCACCTAACATTGTCAGCATTTAGCCCCATCAGTTCTCGAATCAAACTTACTAACTCCATTCTTTCCTTTCTTTCCAGAGCTCAATTCTTGCTCGAGACGTATGCACTCCTCAATGCCCTCGCGATATTTGCGGAGTTCTTGTTCCAGGGCGCTCGCAGGTAAATCACATAAAGCGGTGCCATCTAAGGATATGCCGCCGTAAACGATCTTATCTGTCGAGTTTTTTGATCCTATGGCTTTAGACCAGTTGAGAACGTTTCTCTTGACCATAGCATCACCCTGTTCGCCACCAGTATCAAGACCGTCTTCGCCCCTGAAAGCATAATCACGACCCAGACGAAGAAAGACCCCAAGTGGTCGGCTCCCAGTCAATACGCGCATCTGATTTGTGAATCTTTTGTCGAAGAAGTAGATGAGGTTCTGCTTGTACAATCGTTGCTCCTCCATAGATGATCGAGTGTAGCCTGGATGGCATGCGAGACATCGGAATGTCTCGAGACGATCTTTCAGAAGCTTCTTGCTTCGAATACGCATGAAAACAGTGTACTAAGAGCATGTCAGAAATTGTAACTTCAGCGCTTGTTATTGCACACTTACTGCACGACTATCGTTCATGACTGTCACTTTCGCCATATCAACCAGAAGTAGGAACTGGAAACTTGAAGTTAGCTCAAATCATCGAGTAGCGTGTTAAAGGGATGGTTCCTTTATGTAGCACTTACCTGTTTACCTCGCCAATGACCTTCGGAGGCGTCTTGGGCCTGTTTCAAGGGATCTGCGGTTGGGCCGGCTGCCATGATGTCTTTCGCAATAAGAGAAAATCTTTTTATAGAGTAAGGCTCACGAACATACTCGTCACGTCCGTCTCGTCCAACTCTGATGACTACCCTTGCGTTTGGATCCTGTATGTTTGTCAATGCATACTCCCATTCCCGAACCATATCTGCTCCGAATATTGCAGAACCTAATTGAATTCTTTCATTTGAAAGACCTGCTGAGTGTACCTGGGGAGCTGGAGAACAGCCTTCGACCCGTTCTTCATCGGGAGACTGAGCATTATGGTCTTTCATCATGACAGTGGTTCCAGTCGGTCGAGCAATTTCATAACCGAGGTATCCCTCATAAGGCGTTTTGGAATACTGACTGGATGAAGAGCTTGTTTCGTCGGAGTACTCTTGGCAGTCATGATATTGGGGTAATTCAACATCACCTTCAACGTCAGTGACAGGCACGCGGGAGTTGGTACTTCTAGACTCAACGGTAACCGAAGTCTGCAAAGCCTTGTTCTTCTTCATGGGAGATTCCAGTGTTTGAGTTGCACTCGCGCATCTCTTCTTAGGACTACTAGGTCGAACGGATGAAGTCCTACGAGAGGGAGGATTGGAGGAACCTGTCTCAGCTTCGCAGCTGCCGATGGACGTCCTGGAAGCTCGGGAAGAAATGTGACTGTCATACTCCATGAAGTCGCTGTTGGAAGGATTTTTGAGGCCATCATCCATGTCATTTAATGGTGGTGTACAGACATTGGTATCCTCCGATTTTTTGGCCAAGTAAGGTCCCATCCAAAGAGATTCTTCAGGGGCCTTCTTCAACTTTAGGCGGATTTCAGTATGTGTGGAAAGAAAGAGGCAAAAAAACGCTTACTGTGGAACTTGAATTGGTGGCCCCCTTATTCCTCTTCTCCATTTGACCATGCCCCGAAGCCTTCACGGGTGACAAGCTGGACGATCGTAGGACCCGAGTTCGATCATGCTGAGGGTAATCTGGCTTTCGAGACCTCTCAGGCAATTTGGTGGACGATGTGACAGGCATACTTGCAATATTTCTGTTCAATACAGATACGTAATTTACTTCCGACGATTGGATCCAAAATTGGGTAGTTTGTGTTTCGAAGCTTCACTGACGACGAAATGTTTCGAGTCGAAAGTGGTTACTGAGTAGAGAAATGAACATCTGTGGAAGGAAATGGAAACGCAACCTAAGAAATGTACAATGGAAAGAGCCAACTGCCAATGGAGTGTATATACAAGGTAGCGACGACTGCCGCGCTCTCCGCGCAACGAAGCTCGTAATGAATTGATGATACACCATACAAGAAAACAATCAGAACTCTAACCTAACATTTCATGCTTGCGAGTTTCCGCATCTCGAAGAAGACGTAACACATCCGACACGAGGTATAGACTTCCAGCGGTGACAACAGGTCCGCCGTCTGCAGCGACTGCGGCCCAGCCCAGCGCTGCCATCACATCTGTTCCAGCATCTAGTTGCTGAGAAGCGTTCACACCTAGGAGAGTGGCAGTGTTTAAGATGTCCTCTGGAGGCATAGCTTGGACCCATGGCATTCCATCCACCGGGCCAAATTTCACTGCTGCAACGCAATCACCAGAACGAAGTAGCGGTTTGAGTATACCTTCCATTTCCTTCCCCTTGGACGCCGCTAATACCCAAGTTACTCTTTTACCTGGATTCCGCAACTTTCCATCAACATACGAACCCAAAGCCTGAGCTGACTGTACGTTGTGGGCACCATCAATCAGCACCGGCTCTGTTCTAACCATAATGCTTCGCATGTCCACTGTTTGAAGACGGCCTGGCCAGTGTATGTTCTGGATAGCAGGGCTCAATCGATGCAATGGCGACTGTAGCTTGGTATAAGCCAGATGGAACGCGGTATACGCACAAGCAAGATTCTCCCACTGATGAGGCTCGAAGTCCTCAGGGGAAAGGTCGTCAAGAAAGGAGGAATCTGTGGAACCGAGAACCACATCTGTCCCAATCTCCTTGGCGTACTCTTCAATCACTCTCCGAACTTCCGGCGGATTGGTCTTGTCAACAACACATGGAACGCCTGGCCGCATTACCCCCGCCTTTTCTCGGGCGATCTCCTCGATTGTGTTCCCCAGGAAAGATTGGTGATCTAGACCAATCTTAGAGATCACTGTGACCGCCTTGTTGCTCAACACGTTCGTTGCGTCCAAACGGCCTCCTAAACCCACCTCGATCACCCCCATCTCGATTTTCTCGTTGGCAAACACCTCGAAAGCCGTGGCTGTGAGAAGCTCAAACTCCGATGCCCCAATCTGCTCCTCTTCATTCCTTCTATGAACAATCTCCTCGGCATGGCGGAAGACGGATTCCTGTATGGGATTCTGATCAACGGTAATGCAATCCCAGCGGTCAATGAGATGAGGCGAGGTGAATCGACCACATCGAACCCCGCCAGCATGGAGCATCGCAGACAGATAGGCGCAAATCGACCCTTTCCCGTTGGTGCCGGCGACGTGTATGACTTTCCATGGCTGTGGGGTATGCCGGACGAGACGACCGATCCGTTTCAATCCCAGCTCTATCATGTTCTCGTCCTCGGCCACTGGCCAATTCAGTCTTCTGCACGTCGGATCGCTCTATGCGATTGAAAACATCGAATTAGGGGAAACAACCGGACTGCAGTATGCATTCACTGGCATTGAAAATGCTAGATGCGTTGTCGTGGGGGTAGCAGTGCAGTGCAGTCAACGGTGAGCGGTGAGCCAACTGCGTTACGACTCCGTATGTCGTTGAAGCAATTGATCCAAGCTTCCGAGTTCGTCTCTTTCTTCAGCCTCGTCCGGCGGGCCCCTGCACTCGGAATGCCTTGCAGCTGACCGCGAGACCCCCAAGCGAGCTAAGCCCCAAAGCTGTCTAGCGGCTTGGATCTCGTGGAGAGAAGTGATTCTGAAGATTCGCGAGACAGAAGGAGGACCATCAACCGCGATCCAAACATCCAGCACCAGCCATCGCGATAAACCAACCCCATCGCCACCGCCGTCAAAAAGTTCATTTTTCGGGTCGCTAAGGTCGTAGTGTTGACCTTACTAACTTTAATTACGCTCAATCGTATCTCTCATCGCTAAAATGGGCCTTCCGTAAGTTCTCGTTATGTTGGGGCGTTTGCGTTTTGGAGGCTAATAATATCAGATTGTTCATTACTCCTGTCGAACCTGAGGTCGTCATTGAAGCTACAGAAAAGACTGCTGCGGGACCGAGATCTGCTATCCGCCGACAACGCACCCTTCGAGGCCCCAATGCGCGTGCCGCGATTTTAGACAGCAGGCGGCGCCGTATCCTGTCCACAGTCGCCGATGTTTCGCCCGAAGAATATGAGATCTGGGAGATGCAGCGGACCAGTCCGCCAGCAGATGTCGAAGCGAGGGAAATTGATATCACACACCGAAGAGGAGCTCAGCGACTGCTGGCAGAAGCTGAGCGGTTAAGGGAATCGCTTGGTATTGAACGCCGTAATCGATCTAACGAGCCCGACGGGCCGTCAATGATGCCACCAGTCCCCGAAACCAGGGATTACTATGGCATTAGAGGCGAGCTCGCTGCTCCTCGACAGCCCTCTGATCTCCAACGTCTGGCCCGGAATCCTGCCCCAACCCCTCCATATACAGAAACAGATCTTGCTTTCCTCGCTCGAAGAGGCTCTGGCTCTCCACGACCATCCTCTCTCGCGGCCGCTCTCTCCTTACCGGGCCAGCCTTTGAATGACAACGAATCTAGACGAAGACGGATTATGGAGGAGCACGCCAACCGCACTGCGCGACGACCCCTGGGCAGGGTAAGTTCTTCTTTTTTACTCCAAGAGCTGCCTTACGGTCTTTGATGCTAATTGTATGCATAGAGGCCAATAAGGTCCACATTATCGGACAGAATCGTCGCGGCCAGCAGAGAAATTGGACTGGGTTCCACAGAAAGACCTCGACCTTTCGCAGATGGTCTAGGCGATCGAGACCGAAGTTTAAGTCCTGAGGGCGATTCAGCTTGGGATACTCTTCGTGCTAGTATTGCGCCCGACCCCCAGCCACCAAGTGTTGGATCATCTTTCGCTTCCGCAGCCGCTGCAGCCTCTTCCAGCACAGGCTCTGCTGTAACATCTGCGGGTACTTCTATGACAAGTGCAGGGCCGTCTGAAGGGGCCCCAGGCACTCGAGATTGCGATATGTCTGATTCGGCATCCAACACTGATGAGGATGAAGAAGACATGTACGGACTACAGGAGTTTCATCGAAGCAGCGGAGAGCATCTACGACGGTCATATGCTGAAATGGTGTCATCCCGACCACGACAACAATCTCGCAATGACAGCTCGGCCGATGAGGTCGACTGGGCAGCGATGCGCCGAATCATTACAAGTCTCGTAGAACGCGACGATGTCCCCGAAGAATGGTGGGCTTCAGCAGGACTGACCCGAAATCTTCGTCACGAGCCCATGTCTTAGCTGAGCTGGGAGATCTATGTTACACTATTCTGTACTCTAGATTAGACTCGTTATTTTTTTCTTGCAAAAATTCATGGCGTTGGGTTTCATGGGATTTCGAAAGTATTTGGCGTTTAAGAGATGATTTCTGATGGGCGGAACTGGGATGAAGGGGCTTTTGGATGAAAATGCTCGGTATCGGCGTCTTGATTGGGATGCGATTTTTACAGGATGTTGGCTTTCGTGGCATGGCATGTGCACATGATTGCACATAGCACACAAGGATGGGTTTGGAGTTGACACACCTTTTAAATATAGGATCAACCCTGGAACGATTTCATGGGGGATATGAATAAATGATTCAGGGTTCAATGATCTGCTAGATTCCGCTGTTCACTAGCAGCTTGGAACAACAACGCTCTCAAAATTGTAATAGTCCTTGAGGTGTGAAATATCCCTCGTCTTTCACTTGTGGCATCTCCTCGAGCTTCCAAATCTCTCCGCTATCCCATATAGTTTTGATAAGCAGAATGAGGCTGGCATGCGGAGAATATGGCAGATCATCGGCTGTCAACCAATTGTATGTCCAACGTGAGATATGAAACGTATTACCAAATTATTTCATGCATGTGGGCTTGTCAGATCCAGAGATTCCAGACTTTGAACTCGTCTGCAGGGACTTGGGAGGTAAAGCAGCGGTCTGGCAAGTCCATCCGCTAGAGGTTTGCTAATGGACGGTGAGTATGGATGGTGATTTTCTTGAGTACTTGATAGTCTATTTTTGAGATATTTTGAATCGTTTCTTAAATACCATAACTACCTTTTGGCAGTAAACAGTTCTATTCAAAATGGCCTTCCTGAGAATAGAATCAGGGTAGAGAATCAGGGTGGTGAATAAGGGTCGTGTGGGGCGTGTGCTCGCGGTGGACGAGATACATAATTCTGATTACCACCATGATTTGAGCTATGAAAAAGCCATGGAATTTGTCAGATCCTAAGTAGAGTTCTGGATGAGTAAAGTTACTAAGAATAATATAAAAACATGGATATATTAAGTTGTTGAATACCTAGGTAGATAACCGTTGTGTCTCGCTAACATTTCTTCAGCTCCATAATTTTATGCACCACGGCCACATCCGTGCAGAACTCCATGCCGCTTTTCCTCTGCAATCCGTATCTCGAGGCCGCGGTCGAAATTCCGAGCTCAGCCTTACGACGCTTGTTTGTCATTGCCAATTTCTTTCCGAACGACATCGACAAACGTTTCTGAACGTTTTTGAAGCCAACATTGTTCCCCGTCGCGACCTTCAACTGGAGAATGATCGCCCGATCTCCCAACGACGCTACCCGACTGCCACTAGACCTACGACGACGAAGACCCAACGAGGCAGGAGCGACCCTCCGTCGAGCCCTCGTGCAGTTCCCAAAATCGCATCGAACCAGCACCTCGTAACGCAAACCCACGCCCCTTCGACGATAATTCCGCATATACGCATAAACATATGATAATACGGCGCTGTACATTATGTTGGTCTAGAATCGCCGATTTGTGAAGATAGTCCCCCCGCGAAAGGTGTGGTGGTAGAGTTTGGCTGGAGCCGCTAAGCAGCGTGAGAAGATCGTGGGATTGGCTCTGGTGGTGTTGCTTGTCATTCTCGTCGAAGACCCTCAACTGGCCAGTCAAAGACGGAGGAATTCTGGATACTCTACCAAACTTCGCGTTCGAGTAGTCAACTCTCCAAAGGTGTGCATCTCCCCGTTTTTTGAACCTCACCGATTACCGTACGTCTGAATTCTTGAGTTTACTTGGTTTTTCGCTTTTCCACGTTCTGTACCATTGCTGTATAAGCTTTCCATAAGTGATTTCGATTTCGTCTTTTTCATCGTTTTCGTATCGATCCATTAATTCCATAATGTCTTTCTCAGAAGAACATTCTCGCGTTTTCGCGACTGCGTTCAAAACGCAATATCAATTTCCTGGCCCGTCTAACCGTATCCAAAAGGTCTTCGGAGCTTCTCCAACCAATAAATTCATTCTGAGCATTGCTCCTGCCGTTCGCAAGACAGCCAGTACCGTTACCCAAGGAATTGCAGCTTTCGCACCTTCCGTCAGTAACATCTCCATCTTCATTCCCGACATTACCCAAGGAGTCGCTGAGAACAACGACGTCCAACCTCTCTATTCTCCTACCGTCACAGAAGGTGACCAAAACCCTCTTGCCGAGAGCAACAACACCAAGGTCTCTGAGAAGACTTCGGTCCCTCCAACTAGCGATACAAAAGTCGCCGGAGCTCAAAAACTTCTCTTCGCCCCGAAGCGCCTTGCTTATAGGAAATTCAGCGTCTCTTTGGAGCTTGTCGTCAGGAAACGCCTTGTCCTTAGGGAGCCAATTGCCTTTAAGAAGCCGGTTGCTGTTGAGAAGTTTTCTACCGTTGTCAGGCACCCCGCCACCATCATCAGGAAGCCATTTGTTGTCAAAGAGCCTTTCACTCTCGATCGCTTTTTCACTCTCGAGCAGTTTTCTACCATTACCAGGCACCCCGCCACCCTTATCAGAAAGCCATTCGCTGTCAAAGAGCCCTTTACTCTCGAGCAGGTTGATATCATCGAGCAGGTTGATACCGTTATTAGGAAGCTATTTGCTGTCAGAAAGCTCTTCACTCTCGAGCAATTTGATACCGTCACCAAGAAGCCAGTTGCAACCGAGGAGTCTGCTACTGTCATCAAGAAACCCGTTGCCGTTGACGTCTCTCATCCTCTATGCGCACGTTGTAATGCCATGGTATCCCAACCGAAAGATGGCCCTCGACAAACGAAGGCAGTCCAGAGCCCTGGCCTGGAAGGATGGCGACTTGGTGAGTGCTTAGGAAAGGGCGCTTTTGGAGCAGTGTACAAGTCCATGAGCTGGACCACCGGAGAAGCTGTCGCCATCAAGCAGATCAAGATAAGGGATCTCCCTAAAAACAAACAGACTGGCTTGCCCGAGTCGCACGATGTCGAATCCGAAATTAGATTGCTGAAGAACCTTCACCATCCCAACATCGTCAAATACCTCGGCTCCGTCAAGACTCCAGACAACTTGAACATCATCCTCGAATATTGTGAAAACGGCTCCCTCCATTCAATTATCAAGAACTATGGCAAGATCCCTGAAAATCTGGCTGGTATTTGGATGGGCGAGGTTCTGCTAGGTGTCGTCTATCTTCACGAACAAGGTATCATTCATCGCGACATCAAAGGCGCGAACATTCTCACCACCAAGGATGGCAAGATCAAACTTGCTGATTTCGGTGTCTCTACGGCGCTGACTGGAGCGGACCAAGAGAACGAAGTCGTCGGAACACCTTATTGGATGGCACCAGAGGTTATCCAGTTGACGACGGTAACAATTTCATGCGATGTCTGGAGCGTTGGTGCTACTCTTGTGGAACTTGTGACCGGCAATCCACCGTACTATAGGCTTGATCCAATGCAAGCTATGTTCGCCATTGTCGAAGACGACCATCCACCATTACCTGAAAGTGTTTCATTAGCATGCCGAGATTTCCTTCTCCAGTGCTTTCAAAAGGATCCCAATCTCAGAATTTCTGCCAGGAAGCTTCTCAAACACGGTTGGATCACCGGCTCTCGTAGATCAGATGCACCAGTTGCAAAGCCCAAAGCCAACTTCAAGGAGGCCGTTGAGGAGGTCAAACTCTGGAACGAAGCGCTGAAATCGCCCGATGGTGTGAAGACTTTCCGTGCTTCCAAGCTGTCCTCGTCGATACCCAGTCCTTTGGCGCCAAAACGCGATCCGCCTCTACGAAAAGTACACGAGAACGAAGCTCCAAAACCTGCTTTCGCCACTCCCACAAAAGTGCCTTTGTTTCCCTCGAAACCAAAAGGCTTAGCCGAACCATCACACTCCGCCGAGTCTGATGATAATTGGGATAGCGACTTTGCCTCCGCCATCTCCCCCAGCGCGCTGCATTTACCGCGCTTCAAACCCCAAGACAACTTCGGCGGAAAACTATCATCTGATCATTTGAAATCCTTTGCTTCATTTGATCAGTCCTCAAACGAAAATGCGTTCGGGAACAACAATTCCTTTGGCGAATCTGCGACTATCCGTGGGCCTCGCAAAGCTTTGGAGGCCAAAAACTCCTTCGAACCAGAGACTATTCGAGCATACAAAGTCAAACCTACAGTTGTCACTCAAAACTTGAAACCATCAAAAGTCCTGAAAGAAGCGCCAAGAAAAATATCTTCCAGCGTTCCGCCACGCCCAAAATCGCCTGTGAAAAGTCAAGCGGAAAACAAATTTGTCTACCCAGCAAGACCAACCAAAATGTTCAGGGAGAGTTCAGTCGATGACTACTCTGAATTAATCGTAGATAATGACAAAGCCTTCGATCGTAGATTTGGCAACATCAAGAACGATGGACTTTCGCCTCTCTCTCCCAGGCTCTTCCATCCTTCCGACCTTTCCAGCATCTCACATTCAGTCAAGTCACCTCTAGTTATCAACGGAAGCACGCCCAAAGAGCACGGCTCTCGTAAGGATGATCCAGCAATGCGCCGGACAAGATCATCGGTAGAGATTCAAAGGTTCGCTGAAGTGGAAGCGGATAACGACTTTTCCGATTTAGTTGTGAAAGAAAATACCATCAGCGAACGAGGCGAGAGCGATCAAGATTCCGAGGATGGGATGGGCACTTTAATGCTATCGAATATGTCCTGGGCGGGTGACGAAGATGATTCGGAAGACGATGTCTTCGCATCCTTGGAACAGGGACTCGACGATTTAGATTTACATGCCAACATTGCCAGGGATAAACATGCTCGACTTTCATCTTCAGTAGAGACAATCATCAAGTCTCTGACTACCGAGGATACTGAGATCCGCGCAAATCTTGCAGCCCAGCTCCTTGATGTCCTCATCGAGTCTCCCGAGGTCAAAAGCATCATCATTAGTGCGCATGGCATGCTTCCCATCCTGGAGATTCTTGGCGAATGCGATACAAAGAGTAACCAGGATATGATCTGGCGCCTCTTGAAAGTTATCAACATTGTCATCTTGGATGACACTGCACTCATTGGAAATCTATGCAACGTGGGGGGGATTCCCACAATGACTACGTTTGCGAATAAAAAATTCTCCAATGGTATTCGCCTCGAAGCAGCCTTTTTCGTAGAACAAATGTACCAAACATCGACCACACTTCAGATGTTTATCACCGCCGGTGGCCACAACACTCTTGCTGACCTCCTCGACGAAGATTTTGACGACGCACGAGACCTGGTCTTAGTTGGTGTGATCGGAATTTCAAACGTGTTCGAACTACAGGGGCCAACTCCCAAGAACGATTTCTGTAGAATCTTCTCCAGGAGCCGGATTTTATCACCGCTAGCATTGATTTTAGATCGAGTCATCAGCGACGACGACGAATTATCCAAAACTCTCGAGGGTAAAATCGTAAACATTTTCTACATTTTCTCTCAAGCAGAGAATTATGTAAAAGAACTGGTTGTAGAAGATCGTCTAGTACTCAAAAGAGTTCTGAAAGGTCTTGGGCAGATGACACCAGTACATCAAATTACGATGTTGAAGTTCATCAAAAACATATCCATGCTTTCAACTACCTTGGACAGCCTCCACGCCGCCAATGCGATCGAAATCTTAATCGACTTGCTCAAGGCGAACATTCGACTGCGAAATTCCCACTTCCGAGAAATTTGCAACCATGTTCTGAACACGCTCTTCAACCTCTGCCGACTCAGCAAGGGGCGCCAAGAAGACGCCGCTCTGAATGGGATCATTCCCTTATTACAGGAAATCATGACCACGGACCGACCTCCAAAGGAATTTGCACTTCCCATTTTGTGCGACATGGCACATTCCGGAAAGCTAAGCAGAAAGCTTTTGTGGCGGCACCAAGGCATAGAGTTCTATACGACACTTCTCGAAGACCAGTACTGGCAAGCGACAGCTCTGAATGCCATCTTCATCTGGTAAGAATCCTACTTAACCGCTACTCTTACTTTGCTAACCAAATTTTAGGCTTCAAGAAGAAACAGCAAGAGTCGAACATGCACTTCTGGAAGGTCCATTCGTGCAAGCAATTGTGAAGACTTTCAACACCCCAAAACCCGGCTCATTCGATATCGACCTTCTCGATCCATGCCACAATCTCTTGCGACTGAGCTCGCCTGTCGCAGCCGCCATGGCTCGCACCGAACTATGGACTGGCATATACAACAAACTAAACCACAAAAAGCCTATCGTACGAGTCAATCTTCTTCGAATTGTCCGCGACATATGCGATGCTGTCGATCTCACATCAAACAACATCCGAAGGCACAAATTATTCGCCGCCATCGAAAATCTTGCTGAGCACGAACCGTCACCGGTAGCCAGAAGTTTGGCGCACGACATCATCAAAAGAACCATGGCCAAAGAAGGCCAAGAGCCCCTCAACATTGGTCGCTCTCGACGGGTGTCTTCAATACCAAGACCCAACCGGACACCCAGCGGCGAACACAAAAGCCGCTTACCCACACCAAGAAAACTGATGGGCACACCATCCAGGAAACGAGACAGCTAAACGACATAAAATCGATTGATTAAGAAACTTGTTTGGCAACTCATATACGAAATGCAATATACAGAGCATAGGAAGAGTACATGTTTTGGGGTTGTGAACAACATGGAAAAGATACTTTCTTGGTCTGGAAACGCATTGGGAATAAAGCAATTGAATTCGGGAATTGGGTTGATCATTGCATTGAGCAAAGGGGACAGCATTGGTATCAGCATACGGACACTTGTGGATTGTTGGGAATACACCCTTTTTAGGGAATAGATATGGGAATTGGGTTTGTACACTACGAATAATGAAAACGATAAAAATTAATCTTCTTTTGCAATTGATTTGTGATGTTGTGACGGAATTGTTTGGTAAGTGACTTGGGGTATGCTGGAGTATGATGAGTTATGTTGGCTCGTTTTCATTCAACATAACTCAAGGATTTTCCAAACACAAACACTTTCTGCCAAGTAAACCATGGAATCATTTTCGCGCAACACTTGACTCTAACACCTAAATGACACATGGCTTCTTGATTTCCTGGTGTCCAGAGGAAACAGCAATGTGTCTGAATTCGAACAGTCAAGTATATTAATATGTTTTCGAGACAGAAAGTCTCCTTCTGATTATTCAAGAAATGTTGTTTTACTCTGGCGGAGGGGACTAAGAGGCCAAGAGGCAGTCTGTGAGTTTTCTCAACTTATTGGTGAGTAGTGACAGAGCCTCCATCTTAAACCAGTGATCAACCTACTTCTACTAGTTATAGGGTAATCAGAGTAGAATAAAGTAAAGCATACTGCTATTCCTCGCTAAGTTAAGAGGTTTGACTGTATGAAGCTATACTAATAGTGCTTATGAAGGTCTGAGGAGATGAGTCACATGATATGGGCTGTGTGACGACTACCTACGTAGAATTCCTAGCCCATTTATTGGCTAAAAGTCATGATGTTGCGCCACTCACATCTACTCAAAGTACTTCTAATTAGTCTGAGTAGAAGAACGAAGATCATGAGTAGCGGTAAGTGTTCTTGGGGAGAGTATGAGTAAGGGTCGTGACTCTACCGAGTCTACTACACTCATTCAATACCTTGTTGGGAGAGATTACCCTCGGAATCTGCATGTCGGAGCTAGAAAAACAGCATCTCATTGTTCAATGCTAGTTGATCTGGTAGGACCATCCTTCTTTACTAACTACAGACCCATTCAATCCAGCCGGGTATTGTTACTCGGCCTGAAGATTTGAATTGAGATATAGTCATTTACATAGTAATTCAAGGGTCTAAATGCGCTCTGCCCTAGTCTTTGATTCCCCACACTGGCCTCGTCTACTGATTAAGAGAGTTGTTCGGTATTTCATGAAAATTTCGTGTCGAGATAAACATCATTTCTCATTTTTTGAGAAAGTCCAGGAGATCCTCTTCCTTCTGTTGGTTCCAAAATTCTCCATTCATGACACGTTGAACGTACGCCTCGCCTGCAAGACACCAATCGCCCTCGCATTTCCTCATTATCATCGAAATCGTCGCACCTTTCAACAAAACGATACTGTCTCCGATCTGGCTTTGGGGGTGAGCAACACCAACATATCCGCGACACGTAACCATCAAGCCTCGCCAGAATTGTGTCACTCTGGCTGCATGAAATTATGATCTATAACTCAAGATAGGATTTCTATCTAGCGATGGCGTCTCAGCAATCCCTACTGATCGCTCAGCTGTCACTGCCAAGAGTTCTGTTGATTTTTGAACATGAGCACAAGACCAATCACCCACAGAACGATCATGAATTTTGAAGGCGCGTATGTGATTGAACAGAGATCACTGGGTTGTTGGATCTCTATTGCTCAACATTAGTCCGTCTTCTTCGTGGAAGAGTGCTGTTGTCTTTACCAGAAAGGAGATCTAATCGTCAGCCAACTCCTTCTTGATCCGCTCAAGCGCCTGTATATCCCCTGCCACCGAGCCATGCAGCTCAGGATCAATCCAACCTTCTGTATTTCCCCCTCCAAAATCAACGACCCAAGCATCATCAGTGACCTCGTCAATGAGAATATTCGCCATCTTTGCATCACCCCAAATGATGTTCCGAGCGTGCAGAGCTCTCAACGTCTCTTCGATTTGGCCTGACCATTTCTCTTTTTGTGCCTTGCTAATGGTGATTTCTGGTAGCGGCGGTCCATTTCCTTCTTTGACCAAGGTGCCGCTTGTGGCTTTCGCACAGCGCAAAGCATCTTCGAGGTGGTAGCCAAGTGATGCAATGTAGTCGATTAGAAATCCTACAATGCCAGTGTGCGATACGATGAGTGCCTGAAGTTGTGGGACCCTGACAAATGCACCAAAATTTGTTGTTTGAATCTGAGAGAGCTTCTTGACTTCATCAGACATCGAATCATGTACGGCGTTTCGAGTCACTTTCGCACACATAATCTGGCCATTGACGAGAACTTTGTAAACGTATGGAAATAGCTCGGCAAGAACTTGAATTTCGGAGACTTGATGATGAGGGACACTGATACCGATTATGTGAGGGTCTGTGATGGGAGGGTGAAAATCGAGGGTTGGTGCATCATCCCGTTTGACGGCCACAAGTTTCCCGTCTTTGGTGACGATTTGCAAGTCGATGATTTCGGGGTACATCCACGAACGCAGCGGCTTAATCTGAGTCTCGTCTTGTGTCTCTGGAGCAAGAGCTTGCATTAATGATTGAGATGCCTTGAGAACAGCGATTTCAACCTCTGCTGACACTCTGTCCGATTCGTCCATCATCCTCTCAACATCTTCCTCGTCATCACCTTCGCAGGAGTCAACTTCCTCCAGTCTTTGAAGGTATTGAATTTCGATAGAGTTCATAGTATCGTAGCCGAGGGGAGGGTTGGGAGACAACAAAATGTTGAATATTTTGCCGTTATACTTGCAAACATACATGTAAGTGTATACCTCAGCTTCCAACTTGGGCGGGCATATCATCCATGCGAATGGGTTGAAGTCGGAATTGGTTGAAGATGCCATGTGTATAGCCAATTATCAGGTTTGATTGAGCTGTTAAGTTATCTAGTTTCGGGGTCTTTTCTAGTACGTGGACTTATGGAGAATTGGGAGTAAATAGGTGTGCTCCCTTAGGAATTTGGACACGCTGTCCCAATAAATTATGTTTATGATATGCCATAATTGTGGCCGCCAGGATTTATTTCCGCCAATTCTCTCTAACGAGTAAGGCGTGCCAAAAAATCACTTGGTATCGCCGAATAAATTCTCCTATAAGAAAGTGCTTCGGACGGGAATGGAACAAAGGGAAGCATTAAATATGTAGCTGTAAGCAATAGAAAATAGTAATCTAAACCCCTGACCCTAGTCTAAACAGAAAAGAGTCACTATCCTAGCCTAATTAAATTCCACTCTCTATTATCAAGTCTAGCCCAATCCTTCTCACCAACCAATCCACAACCTAATCTATACGCTGTTCTATTCTCCCATCTTACTACTAAGACTTTAAGGTATCTGCTCGGCTCCGCAATCGACCTGCCAATGACCACCAAATCCACTTCAGTAGCCTCGCTATCGCCCTCCCTAGGATCGACGAACAAATCCTCCGTCGGGCAAAATGGCCCATATTCCTCAGGGAGCTCTGTTCCAAGAAGCTTGCTTAGATCTCCTGTTATATGGGCGTGCCCATCATAAGTGATCGTCGTCTCAGCAAGTGGGTTTGCCTGACGCTTCTTGGTGGGAATCTCGGGATGTCGTTTTGAATCGATTTCTACCCCGTAGTTGGCGTCACCAACGATGACGCTCGCCATAGGATATATGACTCTTTGCATAAGTGGGACATGTTCGTAGAAATCCGTAAATGCTGTCCTCACTCCGCCAAATCTGGGTTTAGGTTCTGGCAGTTTTCGACCACAGCTCTTGATGGCTCCCGGGCGCTTTGTCCATTGAAGATCATCGCCTGAATCCAGGTGCAGCCTAATAGGCTCATCCGGATGGAACTCTTTCCTAGACTTGGGAAGGCCACTGTACTGTTCACGATCATAGTATTGTTCGCCTCTAGTGGTTCGATAGATCCAAAAGGCGGCCCTGCTGGACCAAAATTGAAGGTGGCCGGAGTCCACAAAAGGAGAGGTATTTGCCGTTAGTACGTGGTTAATGGAGTCATTGATCTTCGAAGGGGACCCCTTCCACTCGTTGCGTAGACCATTCAAACGCCAATCGTACAATTGGCTCCAGTGGCCCAGTAACTTGTTTCCGGGGGACAAGCGACTGACATGGATCGCTAATGGATGCTAAGCTTCCATCCACCCCTTCTCTGTAGAAATAGATTTCGGGGTCGACAAAGGCATTCCAGTCCCCCGGGTCTAGCCATGTGAGACAAAATTCGGACGATGTGTGGGTTTTATCAGATGGGCTCCAACCAATCCAGCTCCAGCTTGGAATTGCGATTTCTATGCTCGAGGCGTTGGATCCCATTACCTTGGAGTACGCCCGATTTCTGTGTGATTTACCGAAGGCCTGCCAACCCAGAGCCCAATTAAACCGTGAGGTAGGCAACCCCTAGAAGAAACGTTCGCTACTCTGCATCAAGCTCAAAGCACTCGTGATTCCACTGAATGCATTGAGTGCATCTGACTTAAAGGTGAGTTGCCTTTGATAATAATCGTCCACGAGGGCCTCATATGTCCGAAAGTATCCATGATCCTTCTGCGCGATAGCCATCTCGTCTTTCCTCCCATTCCCAGGGCGATGCATAAACTCCACGGCAATGCTGTTTTCCAGTACGGTCTCCTCCAACCAAGTAGCACATTGACATTGCCAGTACACTTGTTTCTCTGAAAAATTAACTTTCGTCGGGACAGCACCCTTTCTTGTAGTGTCCACGCCCGTTGAGTCCATGAAGATTTCTGAATACCGCGATATATTCCGTCGTCAATTACTGTCAGAAGATTCAGATCTGGGAGTTTGACAACCTCTTGATTTACCTCACGTGCTCTAGATCCAACACCTGGGAGCCCAGTGTGTGCATTATCACCTGCAGCCGCTACTATTGTGAAGACTGCAGTTGAGTATATGCTCCCCATTTGGTCGATCTGTTTCTGTTTGGAAGTGAAATCGTCCTGGACGATGCACAAAGAATCTACCCAGAGGAATTTCTCCCCAAGATCTCTCACTAGAACGATTGCATCCCAAATGGTGGCTGGAACGTTGCTTGATTTGAGGTATCCCGGGCTCCTCATCTCTCTTTTGTTTCATTGCTGATGTTTTAGTACTTGCACAGTCCCCCAACAATAGCTCAGCGCTACATAACGACATTTTGAAGGTGCCTCAACGACACATTTCTGAACAACGTCGATAACGAGGAGGCAGTTCAAATCAGGCATACTATTATCCACCCTGGGCAATTTCTCACATATAGTATGAGATGTTTCGCAGGTCGAAAGCCAGAATTTGACAAGGTTTAGGTCGAGAGGTCCATGACCGATGATTCGACCTGAGAATCTCGGGTCGTCCGACGTGTTATAGTGGGTAGCAATGAGAACACAGTCGTCCTGCGACAGACATCCTTCTTGAATGTCCTTAAGCTCGAGATGAGCTGCCCAAAGAAACACGTCTTGCCTCTCGTCTTGTGTCTGACCGGCAAACTTAGAACCTCTGAAACGCGAATCGTCAACTTGTCGAAAGGGTGGAGTCCCAGCCACGTCTGCAACTGTAGGAACAGACTTGCAACAAGCCTGTAGTTGTAGCAGATCTTGACAGTCATAGAGAAGCTTATGCCTGCCCTTAATAACCCCTTCATGTTCCGAAGATTTGCGGCCAAGTGTAAAGGACATCCGTTGTGTGTATCGTGTTGGGTTGACTTCAAGCGACTTCCCACAGAAAGTTTCACTTGAGACAAAACACTCGTCCTCGTCCGCTGCATGAAATGCCTCCAAGCGTTTCGATACGATATTGCAAAGCTTACAGCGTGATCTTCTCGTGTAAATATCCTTGACATACGAGAATGATGCAGCTGACTCGCCGTAAACTTTCTGATCGTCTCGATCGTATTGATCTTGATAATTGTTTCCTGGCCCCTCGGGATTTCGCGCGCGTCTCACGAGGCTGTGGAAGTTAAGTTTGCAGCAGAAGTCGCAGAGCGGACTTGTGTCCATAGCTGCTGCTCGTGCGTCGCGGATAATTATAGTCCGAATATCACAGTGGACCGTTTCTAAGCAGCGATATCTTGTCTTAAGATTGATTAGAGATTGTAAAAATTGTTTCCAGGATTTGCCCATTTTAAATGGGCGGACTGCTTGACGCGGCAGCCCCCCTCGTTGGGCAGCGGAAAGGTTCAGGCATCGCTACTGTAACAGTGAGAGAAATGGCCAGTCACACATGAGTAGGACCATGAGGCCATCCAATACTTAGGATGCTCACGAAGCCACATCATGGTGTCTGCTGTCAAAAATCAAGCTCAGGCCTCGCATTGAATCTTTTTCTGCCACCCCAAAATACAAAGGAAGGCTAGAATCGACGTGCAGCATCGAGGCATCTTATCAGGTAGGGGACGTTGTTGACCGTGATACAGGTGTCATTGTATGGGTGGCCTCAGCATTACGAAAGTGCTGTAATTCTGGGTAGCCATTTGTGCAGGAATATGTTTTCAACTCGCAAATGATATTGTTGTTGGTCGAAATGTCTGAAATTGTCAAGATCCGTATCTCTAAAGCCTGATTGTCGAGCTCGTGATACAGCTGTAACTGGGGACTATCAGGAGAAGAGGTGGTCGCGATATATCCAGTTTGCATATCCATCGTGCAACGAGAGAACGCCAATTCCAAGCACAAGTAATTTGGCGCATAAGTTCAAGGAAGACTTTGTGTCCTTGTTGACTTTCCTGTTTCCTGATAAGGCGTGAGGCTGAATGGTAAGCAGTTTGCCCAAATACTCAGCCCCACTTCCCCCACGAGACAAGCCGCATCATTTCTTGAAAGTCCCTTCCCATCGTGACAAAATTGAGATACCGAAATACTTCGTACTTGTGCTCGTGGTCTATAGTTGACTCTTGGTATTCCAATTCCAAGATTGAACGTTGCTCCCGCAACTGGGCCGACTTCCACGCACGGTGGTAGGACTGCACAAATCCAGCCAAAAGTACACCAAAGTCTCCAGACGAAAGTACCGCAGATTTGAGGTTTGTCGAAAGATATCGCGCGGATTATACCCCGTACTAATCAAATTCTGGAACACAGAAAGTCTTCTCGTGAGGTGTAGTTGAAGTAGGGAGCTACCTAAGCGAGGTGAGCCCCCCAACAGATGCTGGGAAACCTTAAGCGAGCCTATTTACAATATCCATATCACCAAAATTCAGAACATCTTCCACGGTTACAACTTTAGTGATGCTTGCTTAATGCCAAAGTCTAGATGTAAAATTACTCGCTTCGTTTGTTCCTCTTGCAAAGTTTTCATCAACTCACAGCCAGGCATGTGATTGTAACCAGACCTCAAGAACACGAAAAGAGATCTCCAAAAAAAATCAAAAACATACAACAGTAGGTATTCGCTGGTGGTCACCCACCCAACTACTAATCTACCGATCTGAGGCTTATATTTGGCAGAGCGGACGGGATGCCTAGTTCTCCTCAGTCTATGGTCGTATGTGATGATGGTGTCTCTGTTAGCGTTTATAATGCCGAAATTTTGAATCTTTGAATCCTGTCAAAATTCGCAAGTCTCGAAGTCTCGTCAGAAATCCATTACCATAAACATGACTCCATGATAATATGACCTAGCTACAGCTAATTTAACCGGCTGCTTCAACAGTTGAGTCACGGGCAGTGTCCGTCAATCAAGAGGCGAGTGGCCTTGGTAAGCGTATTGTTTAATTGGAAATAGTAATCTTTAGTAGCTTCTTTACTTCTTCAACCAGGTCCTCTCTAGAGACAAGTTGGCCTCGATCTTTGGTGTCATTTTCATCATTATCTGGCAGCAGAACTTTTAACCTGACTTGCCCGGCAGATAGTTCGTCCTGGCCAAAGATGACGGCGAGGGGCAAGTCCTTCGCCGCCTTGAACTGCTGAGGCAGATTGGGCTTCACTTTAGCTGCAAACTCGGCCCGGATACCCGCATCCCATAGTTGGCGAGCTACCATCATGCGTTCCAAAAGAAATCCGTTGGAATCTTTGCCACTAAACGCCATGATATACACATCAATCTTCGGTTTCTGCGCTTTCTCGCGTCTTTCTTCAAGAACGGTGCAGATGCGGTCCACACCAAACGAGACGCCGACACACGGGATAGGGCGCTTGCCGTACATGCCCACCAGACTGTCATACCGACCACCAGCAGCAATGCTACCAACCTGACTTGGCTCAGGCTTGCGCTGTTCTGAACTTTGAATTCCTTCACCAGAAACCACGGCAACATTACCGCTAGGCGGTTTGGTAATAATCTCAAATATCAAACCAGAGTAGTAGTCGAGACCTCGAGCGAGCGAAAGGTCGAAAGAAACCTTGTTAACAACATCTAGTGCCTCCAAATAGGAGACAAGAAGGCGCATGTCGTGAAGTCCCGCTTTCATATTCTCATTTGCGGAAAATCCTGGATTCGACTCGAGAAACTGTAGCACCTCGTAAATATCACCGCTGCGTCGAACATAGTCGCCAATTCGATCCGCAACCTCTTCTAAGAGGCCTTTCTCCTGAACCATTTCTCTCTTAACTTCGCTCCACGACATCTTGTCCATCTTGTCTAATGCTGAGCTAATTGAGCGCATCTTTTCGTCCGGAACACCCGCAACTGCGAACAGGCCATCCAGAATCTGTCTGTGATTGATCTTTATTGTAATCTTCAAATCGAGGGCCTCAAAGACCTCAGCGATGATACTCAGAATCTCAGCGTCAGCAATCATAGGGTCATAAAGGCCGGCAATGTCGAAATCGCATTGGTGGAATTCGCGAAGTCTACCCCGTGATATCGCTGGTTGGTCTCGCCGATAGACCTTTGCGATCTGGTAGCGCTTCACATGTGTGATTTTTTTCATGGCCAGCCAGCGAGCAAACGGAACCGTCAGGTCGAATCGCAAAGAGCAGATTTCGCCACCTTGGTCGGCCAGGTCATACACCAGATGCGCATCTTCGCCATACTTTTCTGCAAGAACTTCCTTGAGCTCAAAAACGGGTGTGTCTAGGGGAGTGCCTCCGTGGCGTTTGAACACACTGCTGATCGTCTGGCTTTTGTAGGTGAGTGAAGAGAACCTAAGACCGGTGGTTAAGTTACATACAAGATATCTTCACGCCAAGCCAGGTCTGACCCAACCCAGTCGCGAGTGCCTTTGGGAGTCTTTAGTTCAAAGCCTGGACGACGAGACATCTTAGAATCTTTGGTTGCCATCAAGATGAAGATTCGAGTAAGCTCTGGGAGGATTTTGATTTATGGTCGGTTGCAACCTTAGACATGACTCATCGCTAATGTTCCAGTACAAACACGTGCCCCTGAAGCAATCTTGGGTAGACTGCTCGATAGTTATTAGTTAATATATAGTTAGATTGATGAAATAGAACGCGGGCTCCCTCAGTTCTAGCAACCCTACGTTGTGACCACCAAGATAAGACAGCAAAAACTAACACGCTCCTAAGACCGAATGTAGTATCCCTTTCGAGCAGGTCACAAGGATGCTCCAGGAGGATGCTTCAGGAGTTGGGCTCTAGGCAGAAGGTTTACGATCCACGCAAACATCACTTCTACCCCAAACTGCCAGCATCACGTTCCTGATTATCAAATCCCATTTGAGATCTAGTGTCGGTGCATCGCCGAAATCAAGATGAAGAGGAGCGTCTGCCCAGTGCTCCTTATTCTTCGGTTCTATGTGACGGGAGTCTATTCTCTCAATATATATTGTTAACACGCTTACATAGGAGACACTTTTCGGAGGCAAAAATGGGCTCTACGATATGACCACCTCGGTAACTACAATTCATACATATTCAAACTCACGATGATTCTTTAGTTCGAACGTCTTCGAACGTCTTGGAAAGTCAGCGAAAGGAGACGATATGGAGAAGAGTCAAACATGTCTCGCTTAAAAGGGAGGAGGAGGCGAAAAGGAAAGAGTCTACTGTAAACCTCTTACTCTCCAAGCTACGAACGTGCATTGCTCTAGAATAGGCATAACGTGCTAGATTTCACTCTAGTGCTCTCTGTTGAGACGCATCAAATCGTTACTTTCCGAAAACTGTGACCAGGTCTGATCCTTTTCCTTGCGGATTCAGTATGCAAACATCGTTAACAACGTGGAGCTTACCACTCACTGACGAGATTCATGAAACACTATAGACTCCATGGTTGGGACTACAAACATATCTTTGACTTCTCGAGTGTTGGGAAATAAAAAGAACAATAATCTGTTACCGGTATTCTATGAGTATATACACTCTTCGTACCCACCTCTATTCTATAAACACTCGAACCGCTAAACGCATATACAAAAGCCCCTTACTTTAATCGTCGTCTGTGCTTCTTTCAGGTAAGATTACCAACCAATACCATTAATCGACTAGTCGTTAACCTCAAACCATCCCCAACACTCTTTGAACCTTCAACCAAGTCTCGAAAGCCTCAAGCTTCATCCCCACTCTAAAGTAACCTAACCAGGCTCCTAGGAGCCCCAAAATGCTTGTAGGTCTCCAAAGACTACCTCTTTTCTTCAAATCCTCCACCTGTTCTTCGTAAACCGTCCTCGAGCAATATCTTGCTAGGATTAAGAACGTCCTGACCGGTCCAAGGCGAGTGTGTAGATTCTCATCCAAACTCCGAGTAAGATCATTGGTTTTGAGAATGAGAAGAATGATTCGAGGAACTTGCCCAAGCATCTGGACAAGCTGTTGTAGCATCCCTTCACCGAGTGCGTCGTTGATGTTCTTCTTCTCGGCATCGCTTTTTGCTGTGGCGATACTACTCTTGACGACCGTATAATCTCTACCCGTGATCGCTGAAGCAAACAATGGGAACTGCTCATCGGTGATTCCAGCTACTTCTTTGGCATATTTCCTCATTCTCGTCTCATCGGAATCTATGACAGCAAGCCAAAGCTTTGCGTAACTTCTTCTCAGGTCTTGAGGAATATCTCGGTAAAGCCCGTGATCATACAAGACGACGTCAAAGTTTGCTCCCCTTCGGTTGTTGTTCTTTCGGATTGCTATGTTACCACCATGAGGGTCGCAGTGGAGGGGTGCATTTGTACCGAAGATCATCTCGTTGAAAATCCTCGAAAGGGCAGCAGAAACATCATCGCGGTCAATGTTGTTGGAGTCCAGAAATTCAAGGTCGTCGGGGCGATGTCCGGATACGTTTTCCATAACCAAAATTCGTTTTTTGGACCACAGTACATTTGGAATGACAAGGGGTAACTCGGGGATGTGCGAGAAGTACTCCTTGGCTCGTAGTGCGTTCTCCCCCTCGCGGACAAAGTCCAGTTCTTGAGGAAGCGAGTATTCCATCTCTTTTGATAACCACTCCAGGTCATATTCAGGGAAGAATCTCTTGAGAGTAGAAAATGTAAATTTCGTAAGACCCAGATCTAAGTCTGCCCACTCTGCAAGTGCTGGATGCTGAACCTTTACGGCGACCCGCTGTCCGGTTTCCTTGATAGTCGCCAAGTGCACTTGAGCCAAAGATGCAGCACCTATTGGTAGTGGCGAAAATTCGGAGAAATACTCTGAAAGCGGTTGGCCCGTATCCTTTTCGAACATTTCTCTGATCGATTCGATGGAAGAGACGGGGCATTTGTCTTGAAGTGGTATAAATGTAGTGGTCCATTCTAAAGGCAAAAGATAGCCCATCGCGCTCTACGGATTATCAGTATTGCTCCATGCTAGTGAAAGATTATGCTGCTCACAAGATGTTGCCCAAGCTTAATAAAAATACTGCCATTCTTCTCTAGTACCTTCAGCGTCCTATCTGCGCATCTTTGATGACAAGCCTTCAAGCTCTGGTTCTGCTCTTCCTCATGCTCGTCTCCCAATTGCTCGTTCTTATTCAAGGTGACTCGGTAACTACAAGTTTGTTAGACCTGGTTGCCTCCTCCAATCTCCATGTATCCTGAGTTATGGACGCACTTACTCATTAATACAAAGTGCCAGTGTCCCAGCAACTCTCCCCGTTCTCTGTACAGCTCTATAGGCATGCTTGGTTTCGTCTTGAAAGGCAAGTGCAGTGAGACCCAACGTCCCTGTCGTGGCAGCCAAAACTACCCTTCCTCTCTTCTTTGGCTTCCCTCGCGCCTTTGCCGCATATCTCCCGCCTGTGACATATCCTCTAATGCTTTTTTTCGTCTGCGATTGAAGCGTACATCGTGTACAGGTCCATGGCGCAAGAGTCGTTCGAGTGAAGGCCCTCGCTATCGGCTGCATTCTGCTATTCCTATTCTGCCTTGCGCATGCCAACTATGTTACCGTATCATGATCGAGAGTTTTAGTCTCAAGAGGAAAGAAATGGACCGTTATGGGCGTTATGAAATTGGTTGAGGAGGATCCGCAACAAAAGTTTCCCATGCGATGACATCGGCATTTCGAGGAACTTTAATCCCTGCATATTCTCGTGTCTCTGTCGACATCCTTGTCGCTCTGATTGAGCTTCATGACTGCCCCTCTCAATTGTATTTGCTACATAATCATGTAACAACTATAATACAAAATGGCACAGCCTAATTCGAAGTTCAATCTTACCGGACGTGTATGTATATTGTTTTACTTTAACAAAAAGGCACTGTTCGTCGCAGCTTTTTTTGTTTGGGCGTGCAGTATCATCTCAGATATAGAGACAGCAAAGCTAAATGTCCCATAGAAAGTCACGGCACCAATTGCAGCCTTTACTATGGCTATTTTACTCTTTGTTTACGCAAGGACGTCAATTCAAGCTGCCAAAAGAAACGCGCAGAGGCATCGAGAGGCTGACGGTGGTCAAATAAGTACGTCTACTCCACTAGGCCATTCCCAGTCCTTTCCTCCGTTCAGTCTTCTTTAGGGCAGGGCAGGTTGGAAAAGATGCTTGGGCGCCTACATCTTTGGCATGATGACTGATACTAGATGCTATGTAGATTGGCACAACGAATCCCTTCGTCGTCATGGAAAATTAGAACCACCCGAATCGCAAGGAACTGTGGGACAGATAGTCGGGCTGGCGAAGGAGAATATGAATAAGAAAGATGGCCCAGAGGGAGGGGAAACAGAAGCGGAGAGAAGAGTTAGAGAGGCGAGGGTTGGGAAGAGAAGTTAAAAGTGCTTGGAGTATGAAATTGACGAATGCGAATAGGAGTTATGGAACCGTTCGTATGCGTAATATACGGCGATTCGGGGACAAGCCTTCACCAATTGTGTATGAGATGAGTAGACCAGAAGTGGGCTTTCGCGGAAGAACCCTATGAAAAAGTGACGCCAGAACTTTTGAGTCATATGTACGATATGTATATGTCTTTGTAAATCCAAATATGTACAAACGCTATGAGTTTCCATAGCAGTTCCCAAAACTCAATCTGGGCATATCCCCCAATCCATAAACATACAACCTTCCGCCAATTTCAAAGCGAATCAGCTTAAACCCCAGGTATCATGATTGAGCAAAAAGTCTCGCATGTCGCTACCGCCCCAAAATTCCAACTTGGAAAATACCAACCTCATATGCATCGAAACAGCTGCCTCGCCCTGTACGCCTGTTTATCAAACAAATAAGATTTGCAGAATCCTGCCACCACTCAGAAGCCAAAAAGAAAATGAAGATTAACTCTTGCGAAGCTGGCCCAAATTTCCAGAGATCTATACAATGTCCTCTCGTGTTACTGTTATCGGATGTACTGCACTCAGATACCTGCCGAGACCCCTTCAATTTTCCGTAAACCTTCCGATTTGGCAACTAAAACATGTTTCATCACAAACTCATATGTAAGCATTGTGGTTGTTGCTGCCGGCACCGCTCTCATCATGTTGGTCCCCATACCGGCGTAGAACGCTCTCCATCCTTCTTCTTTTAATATGGTCTGGAATGTCGTTACAATTCCCCTGTATCTTGGTATCGTGGCAGCTATCTTGGCAGGTATTGATCCAGGTTTAAAGTCCCCGCCTTCTAGCCCGCCTCGAAAAGCTGAGTATTCTTTTGATGATGATGGCAAAGATCTTTGTTGTGTCTGTAATCGTGTACGAATTACTTCGTGAGGGTATGTTGCTGAGCTGGCCATGACTTTGCTGAGCACGCTAGCGGATAGTATACCCACCCAGTGATGTTCCATGTCTCCCGCCGTAGACTGGCCCATTCCCTGACCCGTAAACTTTGTTTTCAGATACTCATATGCTGGAAATTGTATAGCGACGTGTGTTAGACCAAGCAGCGCTGGAGTAAGCCCCGAATAAAACGACAACATGCCTTCAGTCCTATACATTTTTTTCGCGGCATCAAGAGTCGATTTATAATGCCACGGTGGTCGGGCTTCTATTGATGTCGACTTCCTACTGACCTGGGCCATTAGTCTGGTTTTGATTACCCATATGGGATTGGTAACCATCGTCGATGAAGCCCCAGCTACTATGGACGACCAGAAATTGACTATGTTCACGTTTGCTAGCGCGACCATCAGCAACCCACATCTCACATATCCAAATGATACTTACCATTGTATTCGCCAAAAAATTCCTTTGACTTTCCATACACCGTAAACCACACCGCCCATGTGGGCAAATATCCTAATATAATCGGTCCCAGTCCTCTGTACATCCCCCTTAAACCCTCTTCCCGCCAGATGACCCTCGCAGTACCCAACATGCCACTATATCGAGCCGATGCCAAAGGGGGAGCAGAACTGCTCTGTGCGGCCCTAAACCCACCCTGCGCTTGTAATTTCGTCTTAATAACATCCAAGGGACAAGTGACCACACCAGATGTGAAGCCCCCAGCTGCACCAGCTAAAGCATGAAAGGTCGAATCCCCTCTTCCCATTGAAAATCTTTCCAACACCGTAATCGGACCATTTTCTCCTCCAAACCCCGCGGCGGCAGAGCTCGCAAGCTTCGACGTTGCAGATTCGGGAGAAGAGGAAGTAGAAGAGGTAGCGAAGTCCCGAGACCCCGGCGAAGACGGCGTGCTGCGTTCATGCGACATTCTGGAGTAATCGTGAGATGGGATTTCGGCGTAAATAGTAAGTCGTGAGCTCTCCTCTCAGAACCGAACCTGGAGCCGAGGAAAAGCGCGGCTTGCTCTGGCAATGAAGCAAAGCAGCAGTATCTATTTTCTTGCTTATTCTATCACCTCCTTCCGTTGGTTTCTCCTTCACAATCTCGTGTCTTGGTGAGCGGGGAAGATTCCCACGCAGCACGCCAGACACAGCAACTAACGGTTGTAGCAGGCCATTGACGATTCCCGACGGGAGAGGAACAAGTATGTTAAGGGACACACGGAAGGCGTGAATAACGGGCGCAAAAGCGAAGCTTGAATGAATATGTTGAGGATGGTGGATGATTCCGGGCGTTAATATTGTATGCCGAAGTTTGCAGTTTTCCTAAGTGGGCAGCCCGTCAACAAGTTGTACCTCAAATTGTTGACGAGGAAGCTTCAGGGGTCTTGTGAGAACAAAGAGGCCCTTCTTCAACATGGATTATGCATAGTGTAGCAATTCCAAAAGATCTTACCTAAAGTATCTCAACCTGGTTTCTGGTTTGGTGTATGGCAGATTGTGTTATGTGAAGTGACAACTTCTATGGCTTCCAAGTTGTAAGTGACACCTCTTGGAGTGGGGGCTCCAACGTGCGGTGACAAAAGCAAAGTCCGACCGATGATTATACGTCAGGAGCTTGGGCCAGCTTGCTGCATACGATTGAGGTAGAAAGAGCGGCAGGAGACACTCTTACAGCTGAGATTTGCACGAAGATAAACTGAAATGATATTGAGGGGGTGATAAAAGGGAATTAATTAGGTTAAAGCACCTAATTGCTAGATTATAGCTGTTCAAGAGCTAAGGCAAAACTAGACACCGCCTAGAAAAGCTCCCACGATACCACGCGCCGCCCTAAGCCACTAATCCTCCACCTCTGATTCGCTACACCAACCTACGACCGCTGACTAGGCCAAAAACCTCAGTCAAGCACAACTGACATTCAAACTCCGAACGAACCTCATCGTCGCCCCAAACCGCCCACCACACCCACCACCAAGATGTCGGCTCCCTCATTGGCAAACGCCATTTCCAAGCGACCATGGCTCATGCGCATCATGAAGCCAATATCCAACTGGTACTGCAACGCTGCGGGATACAGAGCTTTAGGACTCAGGTACGACTCTACCTAGGATTTCGAGCGGCAGCGGATGACAGTCCATTGAAAGCGCCGGGCAACATGATGAGATAAGGGCTAATGTGTGGAAACAGAGCCGATGATCTGATCCCCGAGGAATCCGAAGAGGTGCTCCTAGCACTCAAGCGTCTCCCGCAGCAGGAAGCATACGACCGTGTTTTCCGCCTTCGTCGGGCATTCCAAGCATCGCTCGCACATCAACTTCTCCCAAAAGCCCAGCAGACAAAGCCAGAAGAGGTACGAATATGAGCCCCGCGAATGTGGAACAAGGCGTGAAGTGGGCGAAACTAACAAGCTTGACAATAGGATATTGCATATCTCTCGCCCATTATCGCCGAGATCGAAGCAGAGGCAAGAGAGCGTCTGGATTTGGAGTCTATGACTATCACCAAGAAGAAGTAAATCAATATGACGGACGAATGAATGGCTAGGTTGAGGGCGAGATTTGTATAAAGGGGCGGGCCGGAATGCATTAGAGGGTTGAAGGGGAGGAAGACTGTACTGTATAACGAGGATTCATCCACTTTTCAAGCACTCCAGTGTATGTGCTTCAATTTATGTGGAACCACCTGGTTGTGATTACATTGAAATCATCAAAAGACTGATATCTGAAGCACGAAGACAATTTTGTGAAAAGTTCCCTGGAAGATACACAATGCCAAATAGTACAGTTAGCGCTGCTTTGACAGTTAGTTGATCAAATCGACAGTATTTGATGTCCCACGTCAAGACTCATTCAATATAAATACTTGGCCCAGGGCCCAGGCATCTTCCCAAGGAGAAGCTGAGCAAGGTCAGATCATAGTAACAGTCCAAAATAACTTAATGTATGCATATAGGTAGTAATTCTTGCCGAAACCCAAACTATATACAGGAAATCGGCCTAGTTAAGTCACTAGCCTGGAAAGAAGTTTGTCTTTTGAGTAAAAGACGAATTTCGTACTATCGACCCCTGTTGCCATGTGCCGGGTCCTGGCCATCAATAAAAGAGATTTAACCACCGCTATTAGTTCCCTCGTCCGTATCCATACAGAGCAGCATGGATAATTCCATTGCCACTTTCCCTCGTCTTGATGCACAGGTGCATAGTCCAGTTCCCTCCCCTCCAAACAAACAGGTTTCAATTCTATTAAACGGAAAGAAGCCATTCACATGCCCAACATGTCAGATCCTGAGTCCCCTCGAGGCTTTGTAGACCCAATTATCCCCGTCGAAACTCCAGCTTTAGTAGCAGCAACACAATTGGAACCCCAGCAAAGAAAACATTGGGTGAGTGGGGCTTGGTCCTCTCTTTCATCGAATTTTCGCAAGGCTCCAAAAGACAGAACCTCTCTTTCTCACTGAACTCCATATATGCCTGGTATGCCTGGGAAGATGATCGACAAAAATTGAAATGTGTGCTTCGTACAATATCTGAGTCCCCTGGCCTAGGCATTACCCGGCTTCTCTTCCGTATCTACGTGCCAGACAACATAGTTTGGTAATCCAATGACCTCGTAACCTGCTCTCTTGGCCATTTTCGCGAAACCTTCGGTCTCGGCTTGATTTTCAAATGCGTATGCGGGGAAGTTAATACCTGAATCCTAAATTAGCGACCAAAACTCCAAACCGACCAGCTCTCCAGACTTACCCGACCGATGTACATCAGCTTTTACAATTATATTTACACCCCCAATACCATCTAATTCCAATTCTTCATCCTTATTGCGCCGCCAGTCACCCATTTTAGCCATATAAGTACGTCCGGTTACAAATTCTTTGTAACCTACAAAGTCCGTTAGCCATAGTTTCTACCGGATGCAACAAGATTGATCTACCTTCCACAATAATTGTATCTTTATCAAGCGTAGAAGCCAATTTACGCGCTTTGTCCGAGTCTACCCAAGAATTGTAATCGACTGCGAGATATTAGCATGTATCAGTATAACTTTTAGCTTGACCCACATCTGCCTTCGATATCTTTGCCGTCCTTGTAGCGATGGAACCAGACATCTAACACACAAAGTCAGCTTCGTTGTAGATTTGGGAACCCCAGATGTTCTTACTTGGAACGATAATATCACGATTGTGTGCTGTGAAGTCCTCGATTATTTTGGCCGGGCTGTCTTTGATATCGCTGTCCCTCCAGTACACCCATGAGTGTTCTGGTTTTAACGCTGCACTAAGCAGATAGTTCCTCGCTCTGGCCATAATCTTGCGCCGTGGAGCCTGGGCAGCGAAACCGTGTCTCTCTTCAACCGTTTGAGATGTGCTGGCCCCAAAGTCCTTTTCGACTATGATTACGCTGTTGAAAGGCTTAATCAAGCTGTCACCAGACTTCTGAATACGTTTCAGCTCCAAGGCAAGTACTGCGAGCGTGTCGTCAGATGAATCGCCCACCAGAAAGCCAAGGTCTATCAGATGATGAGGGTAGGTTAACGCTGAGAGCAGATCGAAATATTGTGGAAGGAAAGGGGCGGCATCACGAAGCGGCGTCAAAATAAGAACCCGTTCTTCATTCGTCGCTGCGTTCCTTGTTGACTCGATTGCGTTGAGGTCGACTCGTGTTATCGTCGATTCGTTTACCACCAGAGGTTCGTGGTGGTTAAATATCACAGGAGTCTGCATATGCGCATTCCACTCGACGGCTTCGTTCGTCGACATCTGCATCGGAGGTTTCGAGGGCCCCCAGCAGTAAAATCTGGTTCGCTCGTTAGCAATGACCTGAAAAGGTTGATGAAAGTGTCGAGCTCGTTCAGGGGAAAGTCTCCAACCTTTGCATTTCTGACGCCGATGTGCTAACTCCTCTCCAAAACAATAGAACTATCCCAATGAAGGCCACACAGAGTAAGAACCGTGTTCTTGTTATGAAAACCCATATCGCCCTCGTTGGCGGAAGCTGTGCTTTGGCCGACTTCCATGTCGTTCCTTTAGGGAGTAACATGACGGGCGAACCCCCCGAATCCTCTGCACCACCAAATTAAGGTATGCTCTCGAATTGCGGCGTCCAGATAAGACTTGAGGTCGATTGTAGCACTGAGAAGGTATGCGGGCTGGATGGCAAGCTCTGGCCGCTAAGATTGAGGTGGTGGTTGAAGTTGAGGTCTGCTGCGCGACGATGGCGATGGGTCGAGAAGACAGGGTCGTAGTACCGGGCCTAGTGGACTAGAATTACGAATAACACCGTTAGCGAGATGCGGACCGTTGTAAGTTGCAACTTTTCGAGGCCTCGACTTACCCGACAATACGTTGCTTTCGTGTTGGTAGAAATATCAAGGGGGAGATTTCGCAGACTTGGAACTCATACGAGCATTGGAAAATTATTATTGACAGTTCTTTCGGAAATATCGCGCCCTAGCGCAGACGGAGCTGGGAGTAATCTCCTATCAATCGACTCGAGATGACAGGGGCTACAGCCGCACGTGATGCTGTCACTCTTGGTGTAAGCTCGGTCGAACCCCCTACTCCTCTCCAGCATGGAATAGGAACGCTTACGAATGATCTTTTTGCATTTGATTCTTGCTCATTATCCAAGTCTGTAGTCGGTTTGTTTCCAACAACGTACACATACTTGTCCCTACGAATAGATATCTCCTGTTCAGATCTACTGTACTACTGTCATACCTTTCAACGGCTTCCTCACGCCTTCTGGTTCGCAGGCTACTGCTGCCTTTGCAATTGCTTTTTGACCGAAGCACAGGATTCAGTATTCTTTCCAGACCTTTTCCAGTACATCCAATTATGTCTACCAGAAGGTCCTCCCGTTTGCGTACTGCTACCGTTCAAGATTCAACGCTTCCCGCGGTAGCTCCAACGAAATCCGTGAAGGGTGGCAAGAAACGGAAAAGCACCACCAAAGACGAAGACAAGCCTACTGTTGGAAGCAAAGATGTTGAACCCTCGACTCCCAAACGAAAAAGGGTCGCTAAGCGTCCATCATCCTCCCCAGAAGCTCCAACGCCCGCTGTCACGAAGCTGCTATCCATGTACCATGGCCCTGGCGAGGTCAATATTGTGATCCGCCCTCCCGTTGTTAATCGTCTTGCGGTCCCAAATGGCACAAATGCACAATTGGTGTCTCCAGAGACTCGTCGCCTTGTCTCAAACAAACCGCTTGACCAAGTCTCCCCTTCTAAAAAGCCTAATGGTACGACTACGACGAAGAACATTCTTGATGCAGCATTGGAGCATCTTATTCAGGTGGAACCAAAATTGAAACCAGTGATTGAAAAGCATCCTTGCAATGTTTTCTCGGAAGAAGGTTTGGCTGAGGTCGTTGATCCTTTCAGTAGTCTAGTCAGTGGAATAATCTCACAACAAGTAAGTATTCTTCGCTTTCCACTTCGAGAACTAAAGGCATTGACATAATACTTAGGTATCAGGAGCTGCTGCGAAGTCCATTAAGGCCAAGTTCGTCGCACTCTTCAATGAAGGAGAGGACGCGTCTTCTCACGGCTTTCCGACACCATCTATGGTCTGCGCAATGTCTAATGAAGCCCTACACAGTGCAGGACTCTCAAAACGTAAAGCGGAATATATCAAAGGACTTGCTCAGAAATTTCATGATGAAGAGCTAACAACAGATATGCTCTTTTCTGCTTCGTATGAAGAAGTACTTGAAGCTTTGACGAAGGTAAGAGGGCTTGGGAAGTGGAGTGTGGAAATGTTTGCTTGCTTTGGCCTGAAAAGAATGGACGTATTTTCCACTGGCGATCTAGGTGTTCAAAGGGGTATGGCAGCCTTGGCTGGAAGAGACGTGGCGAAATTGAAGAAGGGGAAACACAAGTTCAAGTTCATGGCGGAGAAGGAAATGGAAGAAACCGCTGAGAAGTTCAAGCCATACAGGTAAGTGAGAAATCATATCGTTTTGGAGGCTATGTATTAATTTATTGATATAGAAGCGTATACATGTGGTATTGCTGGAGGGTTGAAGATGTGGACATTAGCGCCTTTGATTGAGCCCATCAATTTCCACAAATGCAACTGCTTCAGCCTCATTCAAAGCTCTTATAAATACCAGGTCTTGACCCTTGTTCAGCGTATGAACAACCGAGCGCTTCGGCGCTCCGTTGGATTCGATTCCTTTTTTTATTTAATCATATGAAAAAAGCAATAATTTTCTCGAGCCCGAACGTCGTTGCTTGAACCAGCCACTCTTTAGCATTTGCCCATAAATTTAGGGCTGAGCGAGGGCGCTATCGTCGAGAATCCACCTTTCGGTGAAGGCTCTGTATGAGATGCGACGCTGTGTCAAGCCACAAGCACTCATTGTCGGTCACACAGCACATTTCAACCCTATTTGACGCCAATTCGCGCAATTTTCGTCGCAACATGGAGAGCGCGCATTTGACGGCTGCAGATCAGTACTTAGTCCTAGATTTACCCAACATTGGGAGAGGCACTTGGTTTTCCCTGGCACACACTATCAACAATCTGGCATCGAACTACAACAATTTTTCATATTCTTTGACAGCACAATGAACCATGAGCTTAGAAACTGTTCCTCTTTTCTCACCAACAATATCACTTACAGTTGCCATAATCCATTCCCGAATTGCACTATAGCTGGAGGGTTTGATCTCAAAACACTTGCCAGTATCACCATCATCATCAACAATTCGTGCCCTTCTGATTCCAGATTATACCCTGGTTACAATTTCCCTAGCATAACCAACGATGCTTGTCAGATCTTCTCTGGTGGTAACGATTGGAAAAAATATCCTACAGACGAGGCTTGGGGAAGAGTTATCGCTTGGAAATTTGCACTATATCAATTGGCTGCGTTGTTTCCTAGACTTCCTCTAAGATTCATTGTCGAGCTTTTTGTCTTGGCTCATCTTATGGGAGATCCCATCACCACCCTGAGAGATATTCTCGTCAAGTTCGAGACTTGTCAACAGCGTGGTACGATGTGGAAGAAATTTCTTGCATCATCAAAAATCACTTGGCGCTCTCTGGGTCTAAGTGGGAAAGGAAAGCCCAGTACCCATGATGACAGACTATGGATGGCGCTTGCTGCAATATCGGATGCATACGGCGAATGGGGCCCTGATATCCGCGAGGAAACAGAAAATCTTATTCGGGCACTTATGTCCGTACTGCCATCACAGGTACACTTTTCTATCAACTGACTGATTATGTGTTTAGAGAGCCAAAACCTCGGAGATCTCGTAAATCCCGATTGTGGTTCGTCAAGCTGTGTTTTGGAGTGGGAAACTCACTCGCGGCTGACCGCACGACGAAGTTTTTCCCGATGATTATTGCACAGTTCTTCTTGGTATTCGATATTGGTATTGCCTTCTTCCCAGCAAAGGGTCGGGCACAGCGTACTGGCGCTTATGTCAATATGGACGTGCTGTCAGTTGCGTTTGCCTCGCTGTTCTTTTGGCTTATTCCTACCGTCGCTCTCGGTTCTATTATAGGTGTCTCCCAGTCGGCGCACAGCGTTCCAAGGATTATCTTACAATTCAGCAAAATGTCGAACAAGCCTGCCCTAGCACCACCAAACGTTTTGCAACATGATCGCGAACTAAATGGAGGCATCTACTCATGGCAACCGAGACGACGCTCACGTAACTCTCGTGATTCTATCGCCGACTCGGACAGTGGACAATATCGTAGAGCAGGAGTTATCGCCGACGTTCTGGTGTTCATAAAAAGTTTCAAGCATCATATCGCTCCAGCATCCACCATCGTCCCAATTTTCATTACGTCGCTTGCGTGCGTTACAGGTCTAATTACTGCGTACCTTGTGCCCCCTTCAGGCTTTGAGTGTCGCCATTTGGGTATGCTCTCGATATTCTCGGCGTGGATGCTCAGTTGGCTTTTCGGTCTCCTACTGCTTCCATCCAGAAATCATCCCTGGCATTTTCATTTTGCTTTGGGAAAAGATATTGTCTTTGCAGTCGGTACCTTAGCAGGTCTAGCTCTAGGTCAAGCAGGTATCTATAATCGTTGTTCTTGTTATACGATTTGGAATGGTAAAGGCATTATCATTCCCGGATACGTCGACTTTCGCACAATTCTCAATTCTAGAATTGTTAAAGAATACCCAGCTATAATTATCGGTGCTGGCATCGGTTTTCGACTTCTACTTACTTGTACCTTTGCTAGTGTACTTGAATTATCGGCTTGCTTTCAAGGTGTTTCTGCGAGGCGATAATGGAAAGGATTTACCTCGAGCACATCAAAAAATCAGTGCTAAAAAGACGTGGAAGCCAACATTTCACAAAAGACTTGGTCAGAATTTGCGGGTTGGAAAGCGAAGTGCGACATTCTTTGGCAAGTTCAGATGGCCAGCCTTCATCTCACGAAGCAGAAATGATACGGCTGTAGGGTACGAAATTCGGGGCTGGCCAGCGCAAAATATAGGGCAGAGATCGAATAGTCACTATTCGCCTGTACCACAGCCGGCCTGAAAAATTCATTATCTTACTCACTTCATCCTTGTCTCTGTCCGGTGGATCAAATTCCGACCCACAGTACTACACAATTTCGTGAGACCACGAGGCTTAAATTTTTAATTACCATCCTAAAGTCACATCTACGAGGTTCTTCGTGGTTATGTCATAAAAAAAATATGGGAGAATTTGACTAGTAATTGAGCTCTAGCAAAGTCCGAAATAAGTATAATAGGATTCTCCTGCATCCGACCCATCCAACCTAGGACCGGACAGGAAGGGATTATACTTGAATATCCACATAATGAGAGATGCTGCTCTAATCGGTCTGGTATCGAGATATTGCGACTTTGTGGGTGCCTCATCACTCGAACAAGCCAGTCTTCTCAATCCAATCATACGTAACGATCCGGCCATAGAAATAGACCGGATGATTCTGGGTCTCCGGCGCGGGTTGGGACCTTATATCATTGGCACTTGTTCCCTCAATGAGATATGAAACCGGCCTTTGCCGATGTCTGTCAAGTAATGCACTGGTTCTCGCCAAAGTCTCGGTAACTCTAAATCAGAATACGGCCTCGGCTGGTCGTATGCTGAAAAGGAATTATGAGTGCGAAGAGACCGCGGCGTAGAGCTCAGCCATCGTTGGTGATCTTCATGCCTTCCGAAGTTTTGGGCCTAATCAAATTTTAGATGTCCGACACCGTTAGATCGACCAATCCATCAATATTCCTAAAAGTATAACCAAAAACCCCTTCGCTCATTATGTAACCACTCTTGAAAGGCGATCAGACTTACGCCGCTCCTACGAGGCATTGTGGAACGAATTGTCGCTTATTCAGGGGGCCACACATGCATTCTCAAAGCCCCCTGCCCATCTGGTGGCACTGCTCGCTTAAGAACATTCGCAGGATCAGTGCCTACCAGCTGTCAGCTCTCTGTAACGGAGCATGCGATATTGACTATGCGGACTAGCCGAAGCGTAGATTTTATATGGTCTTGCACAAGATGGCATATCATATTCGTCTTTATATAAGGCAGTGGTCCCTCGTACGACGGTTGGGGTACCGCTACTGGCACTCGTACAGGGCTTCAATGTCTTTTCGTTCGTTATGCCGGGTACAGTAACACGACCTTCATTTTCTCGCAATAGACATCGTTACTGTACTAGTATGTCAATCACATTCGTTACTGATCTAGTATGTTGGTTCGCACCTCCTGGATTTTTTTGAATGTCGCCTTCATTCTTTTGGGCGTCATTGATGCCAGCTTTTTACCTCAGAAGCTCAACAGTTGGTTTTGGCAGTCCTGTAAGTCCCGACTCCGATTAGTATTCGAATATATGCTAACGTGCTTTGACAGCTGTGGTGGCAAAGGGATGGTTATTCATAGATGGTGGGGAGATAGTTGCACAGTTTAGTGGGAACTCTTCTGGTAGCAGCTCAGTGTGGAGTGAGTCTGAGTCTGCACTCCAGTATAACAACTTCAAAGTCCTAACAGAGTACAGACCAGCAGACAATTGCCATTGACTTATCCAAGTCATGGAAGACAACGGATTTGTCCCCTGTTCTCACCAACAAATCGTCTTCAGTTCCAATCGCCCGGCGCCCTGACATGTGGTATGATGAAGCCGCCGATCTTGTCTATTCGATGGGCGGGTGGCAATACAACTTCAGTGGGCCTTTCTATCTTGATAACCCTCCTGTAGACCTTTGGGGATTCAAACCATCTTCTGATGGCTCGGTTACTTGGCAACGTCAACCGTGGAGTTCGGACCCTTCATCCAATAGGCTAGCAGTGAACGTCTTCGGAAGCTTGAACGCGAATTCTCCTAAAGCTCACTATTCTCTCGGTGGTAGCACCATAACCAATCCTCACGTTGCATTTACTGGAGAAGAGCCGGTTCGCGAATTAGTCACGTACGACTCCCAAAATAAAACGTGGTCATCAACAATAATGCCTGACAACACGTTTCAATATGGCGAAGGTCAGTATATTGATACATATGGAGAAGAAGGCGTGATCATCTACTTCGGTGGCCTCGGAAATACGATAAAAGACCTGACAACCATCCTCATCTACGACATTCACACACGAGTCTTCTATCGCCAAAATACTACGAACGCTCCAATAAACCGCATTTTCTTCTGTTCTGTCGGAGCTAAGGCTGCTGGCAACGATTCGTACGAGATGTAAGTAATCTAAGCATTGGATAGTATCTTTTTGGTTCTGATAATGGCTCTAGTTTTATCACGGGCGGCTCTGTGAAAAACAGCAGCGGTGTTCCTAAAAATAATCTTCTTCCTGAGGAGCGCGAAAGTCTACGTTCAATATACATCCTTACCATCCCTGCATTCACATGGGTGAAGGCACCAAACCCAGATCCTACCTGGCGCTCGAGTCATTCCTGTAAGAATCTCAACGAGCGTCAAATGATCGTAATCGGCGGCACTCAAGAAGATGCCCCACTGGCAATGGAACCTAGGCCAAATGCTATAGGTATTTACGACTTGGTAAATCTAAATTGGACAGACACGTATAATCCCGACGCCAAACCTTATACTCGAGCATCTGTTGTACAGGATGTTTACACCAACACCTCGGGTCAACCAAGTATTTGGGGAGATGCGGCACTACCTGGTATCTTCAAGGTCAGGGCAATTCAACCAACACCTACCACTTCCACTATTCCAGTAGCGACTGGCTCACCGACATTATTGAGCACATCAACAGCAATTCCTCCGCCAACAAAACCTCAAACCAATCTCATGACCATAATTCTAGCCTCCACCCTCAGCGCCACCTTCACCATCGCTCTAATCCTCATCCTAACAATCTACCTCTGCAAACGCTCCATCGCCCTTCGCAGAGCCGAGAACGCAATTGCAGCACTCGCAAACTCATCCAAAGTTCCAAGCTCAACAAACTTTTACGCCTCAGAAAATGGAAGTCTTCCGGCCGAGGTCCACGCAGATCGGATTTGGACGGAAATGCTGACGACAGCGAATTATCACGAGGTGGAGGATAACCGTGTGGTTCCTATCTGGGAGATCGATGGGCAGGAGAGAAGTTGGAATGGCAAAGAATGGATTAGGAGAGGGAGCAGGGCTGATAGTGCGAGTGTTTATAGTGTGGAGAGTAGGCAGACTGCTGGTGTGTTTGATTTCGCACATGCCAGTTCTATCCACGATAGTCCGACGCTGAGGAGTCCTGTTATTCCGTTACCTAGTCCGGTTATTCCGAGTCCGGTACATGGGAGCCCAAGCATGAAGAGTATGAAGAGCATGAGAGCTCCAAGTGTTAGGAGTAATGTCGAGGATAGTCTTGAGTGGAGGAGAGAAAACTATAGTGAACGGCCGCAAATGAGGATGCCGATTCCGGTATCTATGCCGCAGAGGCCGGTGTTGAATGTCGTTACGAATGGAGATTGGATATGATGGGGTGTATACGGCGAGTTTTGGATGATTTGATGTGGCGCTTTATACCCTGATAGAATTAGAATGTACCAACATTAATATGCAGATGGCAAACATGCTTTTGCTTTCAACAGATTTGTCAACTGATGAGTTTCTTATACGAGGAAGTTGCCTTTAGGAAATGATTCAGTCAAAGCTCAATTGTAAAAGCGCGATGGAGGAGTCAGGAGGACACCTCCGTACTTTAACCAATCAGCTCAAGCTAACGATAGAAATGCTACACTGAACGTAGCACGGTCTGCTTAAACTTCTGGAAATGATTTTTTACTAAGCGCCGAATCATGAACAATCACATCGAAGGTGTTCAAACATCGCTCACTTCATTTCACCTTGAACATATCACGCACTTGCGGCAGCAAAAGAAAAATCGGTGACAGCATCTTCAATCCCTCAACTTTCTATCTTACCATGCTACCCTCTTCCCTCATGAATCCGTTCGCGTAAACTTAACTCCATTCCCTTCACTGAAAGTCTACAATATTTTATTACTTAGACAACCCGAAACCGTAAACCGGAATGATTGGTTTGTTGCGTTTGAGCATGATTTAGGTCTTGGAGCGGAAAGGGAAGTTATATCAACGACATTGACAAGAGGTTTACTCAAATGAGAGTTTTATCGAGAAATATTGAAATGGTCTCTGAAACGTCTGTGTTTGCAGAGTATTGCATACCTTTGTCTGTACTTCAAACAAAAAAACATCACTTTTCTAGATAAGCACTTTCGTTATTTGTCCATCGTTTTAATTTCGAGGGCGGGAAAATTGCTTACTTTGATACAACTGTGTCATCAGACTTCACAACCGAAATCTACGTTTTCTGCCCGGAAAGTGCTTGATAAATATGTCAATTTATCCCGTTCATCTATCAGAACATCAATCGCTGCCGTTACGACGGTATGACCGGGCGCTGGAGTGTCTTCTCTCTACTTCTGGACCGCAAGAACAATCTCATCGATTTGACTTTATTAAAGATACAGTCGAGCAAAAAAAATACATGCAGTTAATTATGTTCAAACTTTGTACATTCACTAATATCGCAGTTCCAAAACATAAGATTCGGTGGTGAAAAAGGAATCGGTGACAAGCATCTCAGGACAGGACTAATCTCCGCCACTTGAGCCAGTAACATTATCTCGCCATTCCTAAATCCGTCTAGTTTTACTCTATCTATTCACTTAACTAATAAGGGTTCAAAAATTAACAAAAGAAATCATACCTGCCATAAGGCATTTTTATGTCTGTTTTAAAGCAAATCTTAAAGGACTCCTATGCCGTAACTTCAACCCTCTTTCATAAACTATTAGCGGGGAACTCTTCTCGACAATTCCACCCTTCGCCCCAACATCAGCTTTGACTTCAATGAGTTTGATTCAAAATACAAGTTATCAACCGTGTGCTCTCGATAATTAGTGCGAAATCTTCATTTCTCGTTTCCTCGTTCGAAAAACTAGGATCTTAACCCACATCGAATCCATTTCTTGTGCATACCTCCGTGTCGCTCAGCATTTAGTACAATCGTGAACATACTCAGAGCCACAACAGTGTCCAATACAAAAAGCATACAATCAGTATCAAAAAGGACCTTGCCCTAATCCCACTTCCACCAAACCCACAATACCATCCCCTCCTCTAATATCAAGCCAAAGCCATCTCCGCCCGCCAAAAAAGATGACTAGCTCCAGATCGTACCAGATTAGAAATTCCAGGTCATCTCTACTCCTGCGAATATTCCAGGACACCGAGATACTTAGTTTCACTCCTACTCAACTACAAGTCCAAAGCTAAAATCGTTTCAGAGTGGGAATTTGCGTTTAAATTCAATTCCTACCCTTGGGATAGATGCCATCTTACGCAATCATCCACCAAACCAACCATGGGGAGAATAAATGAGTACATTGAGCAGGAGCTGCTAGTGGTGAGACGACTACACCGCAAAGAGAACATCACGGAGGATGAGCTGATAAACAGAGCGACGGCAAGAGCGTACCGACGTGTGAGAGGTACGCTTCAAATCCTACTACAGATATTATAAAGTTAATCTGAAATTTCTTAGTAAGTGGATTTGCAATTACCTCCGTGGCGTCAGCTTTATTGTAATCAAGCGAACTAATTCGGTAGTGAAATCAAAATCGGTGACAACTACCCTATTAAAACCCAGACTTTACTTTGCCACAAACTACATAGATATCCCACACTCTTATCTACAGCAAGCTCTATTCGTAATATACTAATGCCTTCAGCACTTATCATGTTAATTACTTCCACAACACAACGCCAGTCTTCTTCTCCCAGTATGGTTCAATGTGAGGTTTGACTCTTGACATCTTGCGTTTTCTTTTATAGCTTACTAGATTTATATCTTGGGGTTGTTTGTCAGGGGTAGGGATATTCCTTGACTTTTGAGGGTTGTGATATTAGGGGTGGAAGTTTTGCAGTATGAGAAAGTACGAGGTTGTGTTCTGCATGTAGGGTAAACTTTCTGGTTTACACCTAGATTAAATCTAGTATCTAGGGGAGAGTAAGATAATTGATCATGTTTAAAAAAATTTCAATCAATATATGTCGCAGTATATATTCTGGCGTTATAATATCTAACTAAAGTAAAGCGTCATTTGAAGAAGAGGAATACGATTCTCAAACTTAGAAGGCGTTAGTTTCTAGAATGTTCAATTTCTTAGTTAAGGAGTTTGTATCTAGGAAAGTCGAAGCAAAACGCCTTTTGTTAAACACCTATTAAACACACATTACCTACTCCCGTTTTCAGAATTTCAGTAGCAACACAAAACTCGGGGACAACCGCCCACATCCCCCTTGCACATACTTCAAAACAAGACCTTGGCTCTTTCTCAGAAAAACTAGTATACTAAGCAAATCTCCCAGGCATCACGTTTAGCGAAGTGTGAATTGGTCGTTTATCACGTCTTCTCGCAATAATTATTCAGATATTCATGGATTTGGCCAAGATGAAAATTCCCTCATCTCACCACTTTATTTTATATGCTGCTTTACTTGGTGACTTGGGGGGTTGATTTATGTTGAACAGAGGGACTTTGAAGGATGGAGATGAGTTTTGGTTGGCACCTCGACGAGGAGTCAAGAGGGCGGTAGTTGGTATATGTTACTGGTTTGATAAACATGACAGTCTTCACGGGATTTTGGGATAACAGATTTTCGCGCGGTGTTTCTCTACTTGTTTGTCAAGTATTGGTAACGCAGCATGTACAAGTTGTGAAATTAATTTGAAGTCCGAGGCACAAGACTGTGTAATTGTGAACAAAGTTGATTAGATATTATGACATCAAGATATACTTTATTTGTTTTTAGATAACTTGAGAAACTACACATTAAGAAATTATACAATAAAAATTACAAAGCAAAACATAGCACAACCCTCCTTCAGTGAAAAAAATGAAGCCAATAGATATCCCATGTGATTCCGAACCAATTTCATCCTGAACACCAAAAGACAGTCCACCCATCCCACAGTTATCAAAAATCCTTTGGCACCCTAAACTCTTCGTCCATATGTCCAGACCCAGGGTATATCCAATCTTAACGCCATTTTAAAATGAACAACCTCAACCCTTGAAAACCAAAACCAAAACCAATCCGTCTACAATTAACCACACATAGCTCCAAAAAATGCAAGTGACCGATCAGCGCCTGAAGCTTCTTTGGGTGTTAAATCGCAGTCAGAAATTCTCGGCAATAAGGGTTTCCTGGTAGTGGCTGATCCGAGTTGTACCGATTGTGCTGGAAAGATAGAAGAGGTTTGATGTCGATATATTAATGACGCAAAGTGTGTAGATGTCGGGTCCTGTCCATAACGCCAAGGCAAGCAGTCCGGTGACAGCAAGTAGCTCAATCGTCAGCGATATCACAACTCGCGCGTCAATCGTTGCAACCCGCCCGTTAGTCTTTGCAACCGAGACACAATGTCTTCCGTAGCAGCTTTTATTTCTGCGAATAGTTTCGCATTGTCTCTGTTGAGTTGAGAGTCTTTACAATGCTTGAAATGCTCTATATACCCAGAGACGGTATAGTGAACATTAAGCTTAGGTTCCTCCTTCCTATGACTAAGAATACGGAGACTACGATCGCAAGCTTTGCAAGAGACCCCCCATCCTAACCTTCCACTTCGTTTGTCGAGGGTAGGGAAACGCAACAGTGGCAGAAATCGCCGTAGATGGTCTGACGTGCTGAGAGTAAAACACTCCACGAAATTGAAACCGCGAGCTTTGCCGAGTTCAACTGCGACTTTTTTCGCCTCCACGAAACGAACAAGCTGCTGTCGTGGCTGTACTCGATACCTTTCGGTACGAAGAGTGTGGACTGTACGGAGTTTACGTATGGTAGTTTCGTTCAGACCACGCAACTCTGCTGAACTAATTTCGATGGAGCGCATAAGTTGGGAAAACGTTGCGCAATCTACACAACACCGGCGTCCAGTGATCGTGTCGAGAAGTGGTCCGAAATCTCCACAAATGAAGCAGTCCTGGCGACAAAGTTCATCGAGTATGTCTTGAGGGGTGGAATAGATGGCCGTTTCCGTTGATAATAAGGCACGTACGGTGTCGGGCGAATACTTCATGAGGTCTTTGTATGCTGGAATGGTGTTCACAATAGCTCGAACTCCCCAGGAAACTCTTCTGAGATCTGTGAGACTTTGGAGGTCAAGCATGCTGAGAATCTTTACAATGATCTCGGTGGGTATGATTCTGAATAAATCGGAAGTAGAGCCAGGAAGGATCTCTATTTTCTTGGACTCGTGACGGCCATAGTCGAGCGGGGATGACGCTTTGAAGGTGGGAGTTTCATCGATTGTCGGTCCAGGGAGATCCGGAACTATGCTGGTGAGAAAGCAGAAGTCTCTCCTCGTTAGCGGTTCAGGTTCTGACGAAGACATTTTGGCTGCGATGAGCGAGGTGTTATCAAGCTGTACAGGTTGCAAAATGTTCTGAAGAGAGTTTTTAAAGGTGTGGTTGGAACTAAAGTAGGTACTACGGACGATCACGTGAGTGCCTAGGACTTTAGTACACTACACTTCGCACTTTGCATAGCTTTGGCCTTTGGTGAGGATATATGACATAAGAACTATGGCAGTTCTTCCGACAAGGCTCGGACCTGGATACATATTGGGCGTACAGAATCTGATCTAGGATACGCATCAGCAGAGCTATCTGGATGCGGAGTTAGCTCTAGATGAGCAAATAATCATTTCAACAAAAAGAGTTTTGTCCGACTTGGTTGAGTAGACACCTCGTATTAGATTATGAGATACTGAATACAATTGAGAACTCAAAATTAGAGTTTTGCAAATTCATACGTAGGGAAACATGACTGTGAGATGTTGTGACGTCGAGGACGATCACGTGACAGATAACTATAACACCATTGTAGAAACCTACGAAGTGCTCGATGATTGTCACAAACAGACAAGTAACTCTCTAAGATTGTCGAGACAAACTTGGTCGGTTTGGATATGCCAGCATGGGAAGGCAGCTGATGAATAGCCACTCCGTTTCCCAGCATAGTATAATCGAGACGACGAAATAGAAAACCGAGAGTTCGGTTTGAGCCTCCCCGTAAAACTTGTGCGTTCCATAACTGGAGGTATTATAGTTTATCGGACGAAGATCAAGAGGTCTGTTCTTGCGAAGGTCTGCGATGGCTAGGGGCGATCATGGTATGCGGGGAAGTGACAGAAAGGGCAGAAGCTTCATAGCTGGTGAGTGAAATCCGAAGGCTTCCACTCCTCTTCAAAGGACTCTCCAGGGAGGAAAGAAGAGAAGAAGCGGTGAAATGTTTGTTGTGAATTCGAATTCAGAGAGCCAACATCATGAAGTTCAAAAGCCAAGGCAAATTCCAAGTCGCCAAAAAGGAAAGTCACGGCAACCGATTTACATGCCCGTTTCAGACTCAGTTAATAAGCAAGGGTTCACTCCTCGAAATGGAGAAGCCAGGATTAATGAGACCAATTTACCCTTATCTCCTTCCTGCCTGAAGATCATCCGGCGTTTTCAGTTGGGTTGTCTCAGGCAGACATTTGTATCCTGGGGAAACAAATTGGAGGAAGATGGTTCATTTTGTAGGGTGGTATTGTTGTATTTCGGTCCTTTGGATGATGTGCAAAGATGAAACGTTTGGATATCTGGGTATTTGACGAATGGTAAGCTGATCTGGAAGCTGACCTGATCTGGCGAGTTGAATTCTGGCGTTTAGGGGAGTCGTAAAGTACAGTAAGCGCATCAAGACTTCATTTCTCAGACCACGCTTATGGAGTGTGCATTTTCGTGCTTATGGTTGATAGAGCGATATCCTGGGTAAGGTAATCGTGTTGGAAATGTTAGGTTTATGCAGTTGGGACGGGATCTTCCAAGATTGGGGATGGGATCTTCCAAGATTGGGGATGGTTTAAACTGTTAGACTGTGTTAGTTCGTGGATCCTCGAGATAGTATCTGGGACATGGTTGTCGATGTCGTGTTCTGATGTTCGCTAATCGCGTTCGTGGGAATCTGGTATGTTCGGACGAGTCAACGACAAGTGGCTCGAGAGTCGAATCATTGTCGGTGCTGTGATCTGATCTTGGCAATTTTTGGACACTTCTCGTGTCTGCATCTTAACCTTACATCTTCAATTCTGGTCCTTCGTTTGTGCTTTGGAAAGAAAGTCTATAAAAAAAGGCTAGGAAAATCTGCAAACGCGTGACAATAATCCGGATGTTATGATTAAGTTTCTGTACCTTGAAAGGGGCTCTTAGTGGCTTGACTTGCTTGCGTAGTGGCGCACCAAAACGAGCGAACTTTGATCCATCAGCGCCAGACCAATTTCGATTTTTGGTGGAGATCAGCTTGTGGTCGATCATTGGACCGTGGGCCGTGAAGCTAACTCGTCCAACAGAAGCAACCGGCGGCTGAAAGACAGCCTTCTTATGCCGGAATAATCCAGTGTTGCATAGCATAAATTCTGCTGTCATTTGTGAAGGGACATCTGTGAGATTGAGAGTTTATGGACCCGGATTTCTCTCCCAGCTTTGCACACAGATGTCTACTGTTCAAAATACCTCCTCCATCGTATTCAGAATCCGAGGATCACAGACCAGGGAAATAGATTAAACTCTCTTGGTCATGACGAGTCTGGCATAGCTCTGCGGTTGACGGCGCGACTTGGTCTTGTCTCGACAGCTGTAAAGCGTCCAGCCAACCAGAAACATTCCTTTGACTGAAAAGATGGAGCCAAATGGATCAACCAACCAGTCTTCCCCTGCATGCCATTTCCCCCAATCCGGTAAGCCCGGGCTGCAGCGACCTCGAAGAAGCCGTGCGGCCAGCCACCACATGCATCTTGGTAAAAGAAGATCCGGAGTCGTTCCTCACCACCTTTCGACTTCTACCGTCCTCCCTCCTCACCTTCCTCCACCTTCTTCCTCACCTCCCGACTGTCCATCGAATCGATACGGAATCTTCGTCTTTTCCTTTTCTCAAAGAACGAAAAAAGTTGTGTTATTGCATCAATTTCTCCGCTGCGGTCTCTTTTTTGTTGCATTTATTTAGTCCCATCTCTCGGTCGACCACTGGAATTTCTACCCTCCGATCTTACCCTTCGAATATCGACCAGTCGCCCGTAGTAATAGAGCAGAGTTGACGCCTTAACTGTCTTTGACCTGCTTGTATATTACCGTTCCGAAGAGTCTTTGCAATTTAATTTTAATGTTCAAATTCTGAGTCTGGAACTCCATTCAGTATCTCTACCTCGTCTTCCTCCCATCTTCGGTATACCAACATCTCGAAAGCCGTTTACGAACCATCACCAGCACCTATCGATTCGTGTATAAACCTGTCGATAATAATAGCTTACGCGGACGTACAATCTGCGAACTTCACTGCAATTGCTTCACCTGTTTTGGTTTAGTAATATATAGTACATACCTTCAACACTCGCGCAGCAGCGTTCGATTCACTCTTATTACGCTCGCAAGAAACAATTGGATCCGAAGAATTACCTCGACACGACTTCCAGCATACTAAGCGTACAAGGAAAACTTCTGCTTGCTTTAGCGATACCCATTCAGTTGATTGTCGCGTAGACGTGTTCGAGCATACATCTTAATTGGAAGCGCAACCCGACTTGCTTTGAATCACATACAAAGGATTACGATTTCATACCGACGAGCTTTTTATACACTCCAATTTTATACAAAGCCTCCACTACATCTTGTTTCCTGTGGTCCGTTAAGCCCAATCACAAGCACCACTTTCGAAATTCTCTCCCGCCCGCAGGTTACCTTTGGATCCAAATGGTTGCTTAAGTGCATTGCATTTCCGAATTTCTTCTGTGGAGTAGATTAAGACCCTCAATCATGTTATTTCCACAGAGCCTGGTGTCATTGGTGACACTATCGTCTCTCGCCAGTGCTTCCTACTTCTATACGCCTGAGTGGTATTGCACCTTAGACAAGAACTGTACACCCAACAAGCGCAATATAGAGTCGAGCAGCAATGAGGCCGGTATAAGTATGAGAGTCGTTCGAGTCCCTCAGGTACGATGATCTCTACCCACCTAGAAGTCGCCGCTAACGTGAGCAGTCCAATACAGTCCAAGATGCTCGATCCGCTGCCAATCGATTGGTAAGAAAATATCAAGATCGATCAGGGAAGAGAGCGAACACATACAAGGTGGTCTCAGCAGCAACACCCTCAGCGACGAATGCGATTGGCGTCGATCAAGATGGAACCGATTATTCTTACTTTGTCAAAGTTGGAGTTGGGTCTGCAAATCAACCTCTGTATATGTTGCTTGATACCGGAGCGGGCACAACATGGCTGATGGGCCCATCCTGCTCGACCGACTCGTGCAAGTCTCATAATACCTTCGACACGTCAAAGTCAACCACGTTCAAAGATCTAGGCGTCAATTTTAGCATCAACTATGGATCAGGGAATGTTAGCGGTGCCACCGGACAGGATACGCTATCGATGGCAGGATTCAAGGTCACCACAACCGTTGGTGTTGCACAGTATGCTAGCGATGACTTCAACCACTTCCCAATGGATGGCATCCTCGGGTTGTCTCTCGCGAAGGGAGACAGCCCTCATTTTTGGGAATCTATGGCTGCGTCGAAAGCACTCAAGTCAAACATATTCGGTCTGGACATCAATCGAAACTCCGACGGAGCTAATGATGGTCTCATTACTTTCGGAGCTGTAGACACAACTCGTTTCACGGGAGACATCAAATATTATCCCGTTGCCGATAATCCCGAGGGTGACTGGGCTGTGGCTATTGGAGATATTGGATTCGGGACATCAAAATCTGGAATAAAAGGTCGTCTCGCATATATTGATTCCGGAACCTCGTTCATTTTTGGTCCACCCGAAGATGTGAAGAAATTTCACGCACTTATCCCTGGGGCTGCCACTACTGATGGGTCAACGTATACCGTCCCATGTGACACAACAGCTCCAGCATCCTTCACATTCGGATCCGAAACATATAATATTTCACCAAAAGATTGGGTGTCTCCCAAGGTTAACGGGGCCTGCACAAGCAATTTCTACGGAGTGGCCGTTGTGAGCGAAACATCATGGCTCGTTGGCGATGTCTTTTTGAAGAATGTCTATGCCGTTTTTGATTACGACAAAACAAGACTCGGTAAGATCCTATCATGCAGCGCGTTTTCACACAAAATCTAACATGAGATAGGTTTCGCGGCAAATGTAGCAAGTCCTGTCACGACAGCTTCCTCTTCCTCTTCGGCGTCGTCCCCATCTTCAAGTGGTCAGTTAACCCCAACTAGTTCGACTACATCTTCCGCGGCTATGGTCTCGAGTTCTCTGGTATCTAGCTCTACCACTGGACCCATATCAGGATCATCCACTACATCATCAACTACAGAAACACAATCTAATGTTGATTCCACAGGGTCGTCCAGTTCTGCAGCTGTATCCACGGGTTCCACGACATCTTCCGCGGGCCCTGCTACTACCTCGCATGTCTCCCCAGGATTGAATGGACACGAAACTCCAGCTTCAAGCACCGGATCGGCAGCATCCGTAGTAGCATCACCAACTTCCGCAGCTCCAGCCTCAACAAGTACTGGAACCTCTTCCGACTCCAGCTCATTTCGACCAACCTCCTCCTCCAACATATTGCTAGCAATCAGTGCCACTATTGCCTTCCTCTTCCTTTGATCCAAGGATATGAAACAAAAAAATACACTTCTAGTTCGGTTATGAACATCGGAGATAGATGACACGATGATACCCAAAGCCTATCAGGCATGTTTTTTGTAAAGATTCAGCGAGCGGCTTACCATTTGGTTTAGCATTTAAAATAGGGAGGCATATAGCCTTAGAAGTGTACATTCATGGTCGCAGTACACATAATTGACCACCATTAATAAGATCATCTACTTCTCTTTTGACGGTGATGTTCTCTATGCGCGTTGATATTTCTCCACTTTGCCCCCTGCAATAACCCTGCTTCTGCATATCACAAACCCTGAGCTGCTGGTCCACGACCTCACTCGTGAAATACCTGGGTAGACATATGGGATGACTTCTCAGAACGTGTATCACGAATGATGTTTACTATAAAGATACGGAGTATTCCATTGCTCCTCTCCCACGATAATGCGTCTTCTAACCCACAACGCCACAAACAACACCTACACCCTCCACGACTTCACCAACCGTGATATCCCCTCTTACGCCATCCTCTCACACACCTGGGGTCCTACGGACTCCGAAATCACCTTCCAAGACTTACACACATCCACCCCCTCAGACGCCAAACCAGGCTGGCTCAAACTCGCCTTCTGCGCCGCCCAAGCGCTCAAAGACAAACTCCAATATTTCTGGGTCGACACCTGCTGCATCGATAAATCCAACCCCGTGGAACTGCAATATGCGATCAACAGCATGTTCCGCTGGTACCAGGGGGCGGGGCGGTGTTATGTGTATCTTGAGGATGTGGATGTAAATCAAGCTTCGTTTGACTGGGAAGCCTTTCAAAAGAGTCGCTGGTTCACGCGCGGCTGGACGTTGCAGGAGCTATTAGCGGGGCGGAATGTGGTGTTTTTCGGAAAGGGGGGCGTGAGGATTGGTGATAAGATGGAGCTTGAGGGTCGCATTCATCGGATCACGGGGATTGAAGTTGGGGCTTTGAGGGGGGGTGCGCTGGCGGGGTTCTCGGTGGAGAGGAGGTTAAATTGGGCGAGGGGACGGAGGACGAGGTATGTCGAGGATGGGATTTATTGTTTGCAGGGCATTTTTGGGGTGTATATCCCGTTGATTTATGGGGAGGGGAGGGAGAATGCTTTTGTGAGGTTGAGGGAGGAGATTGATCGGGATGCGAAAAGTGAGTGTTGTTTTTGATTTGGGGAGTGGGGGTGTGCTGATGATATATAGGGGCTAAACGGGGAGATTTCCAGATTGCGTTTAGTCTGGAGTTTGTTTTTGATGTTGAGGGGTTTGTGGGGAGGGAGGGTGAGTTGGAAGAGATCCGTCAGTCACTTGTTGGTGAGGGGAAGAAAAGGGTTGTTTTGCATGGGTTAGGTGGGATTGGGAAAACGCAGCTTAGTATTGAGTACGCGAAACGGTTTAAAGATTCCTACTCTGCTATATTCTGGCTTGACGTCCGGGATGACGATACGTTGAAAGAGAGCTTTGGTAGAGTTGCGAGACAGATATTGAGGGAGCATCCTACGGTGGGTTGTCTGAGTGGCATTGATGGGAAGGATTCGAGTGAAGTGGTTGAGGGCGTGAAGACATGGTTGGGTATGCCACATAATACGATGTGGTTGCTGATACTTGATAATTACGACAACCCAAGGGGTCGTGGGAATACTGATTCAGGTGCTGTGGATATCGTGACGTTCCTTCGAAAATTATATCAAGGCTCTGTACTCATCACCACGCGGTCGTCGAAACTTCGGAGCGGTCATGCTATCCACATCCGCAAGTTCAGTAACGTGGACGACAGTCTTGCCATTTTGTCAAGCGTGTCCAGACGGCAGGATCTTCAGAAGGGTACGAACAATCCGTCCTTTATGGTCAACTCTAACATTAAACCCAGATCCTGATGCCATCGCCCTCGCTCGAGAACTTGATGGTCTTCCTCTTGCCCTCGCAACCTCAGGAGCATACCTCGACCAAGTTTCAATAAGCATCTCCTCCTACCTCCGCCTGTACAAATCATCATGGGCGCGTCTCCAAACCATAAGTCCTCAGCTCGACTCCTACGAAGATCGAACACTCTACTCCACATGGCAGGTTTCCTTCGATCATGTCTTCCAACAGAACCCGCTTTCGGCAAAATTGCTTTGTTTCTGGGCGTATTTTGATAATCAAGATCTATGGATGGAATTACTACAACATGCAGAGTGTGGATGTCCTTCGTGGCTCCAAGAAGTCGTAGACGATGAGATTAGTTTCCATGATACCATGAGAGTGTTGTGCGATCATGGTCTTGTGGAAGCAGATGTGAGTAGCGACGCAACAGCAGAATCGCGGGGCTATAGCATACATAAATGCGTTCATAGCTGGATCATCCACGTCTTGAATCAAGACTGGGACTACGAACTTGCTACGCTCGCCGTCCAACTGATTGGCCAACACTCCACCGTTGACGAGAAAGACGATCGACCATGGCTTACATATCGACGACTTCTTTCGCACGCGAGTAGAGCTGTATATCTCATCTCAGATGGATTAATACAAGAAGATAAAGTCACATTGGCATCCTACCAACTCGGTCGTCTCTTCAACAAACTAGGAAAACGAGACGACGCTGAAAAAATGTATGAACGAGCTTTACAAGCAGACGAAAACACCCTCGGACCAACACACATCTCGACTCTAAGCACGCTCAACAGTCTAGCAAACATCTACCGCGAAAAAGGCAAGCTCGACGTAGCAGAAGAAATGTTTGAGCGCGCATTAAAAGGCCACGAAGATGTATACGGCAAAGAAGTCCCGTTAACACTGAATATCATCAATAATCTCGGCAACACGTATAAAGACCAAGGGAGGCTAGACGATGCAGAACGTATGTATCTGCGCGCGATGGCTGGGTATGCGAAGGTTGGGGGGAAGGAGGATGTACAGTACCTGGATACGGTTAATAATCTCGGAAACGTGTATGCTGATCAGGATGAATTCGAGAAGGCGGAGGAGGTGCTTGATATTGCGCTTAAGGGGATGCAGAAGGTCTTAGGTCCGAAGCATACGTCGACGCTTGATGTGATGAATAATCTCGCGTTGGTCTACGCCAAATTGGATAAACTCGTTGAAGCGGAGGATATGTATCAGCGTGCCATCACCGGGTATACGGAGGCGTGGGGCGCGAAGAGTATTCAAACGCTTGATGTGCGAAATAATCTAGGAATGTTGTATGCGGATCACCTAGGGAGATTGGAAGACGCGAAAGTGGTGTATGAGCAGGTACTTGAGGGGTATGAGGAGGTGCTTGGGAAGGAGAAATTTATGGAGTATGTGCCGGCGTTGCATACGATTTGGAATTTGGGGGAGGTGGCGGAAAAACAAGGGGATTTAGAAGGTGCAAGGGATTTTTATAGGAGGGCGTTGGAGGGATATGAAAAGGCGTTGGGAGTCGAGAATGAGATTTGTGTTGAGTCGAGGGAGAAGATTGGGGAGGTGGATGGGATTTTGGAGGGGATTGGGAAAGAAGGTGGGAAAGAAGGTGACAGAAAGTCTGGTATGAAAGAAGGTGGTGAAAAAGAGGCAGATGAAAACGAAGGAGGTGAGAAAGAAGTGGTTGTCAAAGAAAGAGGAGGAGATAGGAAAGAAACGGAAGGTGTTCAAGAAGAGATACCCCCGGTAACTGAAAAGACGCCGAAGAAATCGAAACGACATAGGTTCTTAAAGAAGCTTATGTTTAAAAAGATGATAGGATAGAGGTTATAATTGCGAAAGTAGAGTCTTAAAAAACACGTCCTAAAGTCCTGTTCGTAAAACATACGTTAGCTTAGAATACGAGGAAAAGTAGTGTCAAATAGGAGTGAGTAGTGAAGCTTGATTGAGTAACTACTAAAAGCCATTTCAACGGAAACCTAGGGAGGTTGTAGTAAAAGGAATGATACAGATTTTGTACTCTGCTAGATGAGGTTTGTTTTGTGAGTTAATGAGGTAGATCAGTTTGTACGAGTTAAGATGTTGCTGGAAGATGGTAAGTGGAGTAGGTGGAGATAAAGGCTGTCACCGAATTTTATTTCACCACCGAAATTCTGAAGGTCACGAATTGTATTCAGGGAAATTTGTAACTAGACGCCACTGAGTGCCCGGAAATGAAAAATTCATTCTTTACATTCAATCACTGATACACTAAGCAGCTACAAAGAAGTGACTAGTTGAGAAGCACAGAGAATCACATTCAGTCCCTGAATACAGCCCTTCGTTTGCTGTTGAAACAAAGACAACAAGCTTTCTGGTGTTTTATAATGTGACTTTCAAATTAGTTTAAGTGTAAAAGGATTTTATTGTGAAGTCTTGATATGGTTTTACTTAAGTTGTGAATGTGGAAGAGCTGTTGAATGTGATTTAATCTTAATATTCCTCCTAGAAAGCAAAATACTTGCATGAATTATATAACTTACATATATCAAAATATTGAGATTAGTTACTTTAAACATATACTACCTCCAACTTACACGCTAACATACATCAAACCATCCCTCGAATTATCGCACATCTTTAATAAGAAACTTCAAGAGACTAAATCTCTGGTTACTGATTAAAATTCAAAACAACTTCCAGTATATGTCGAGTATTTAAGTTTCGCTATGTTTAGTGTTAGAAAGATTGTGGAGAAATATAAAGTCGGTTGAGAGGGGTGAGAAGTGTGTTGGAATGGGATAATAGAAATAAAGGGAGGGGGGGTAGAGAATTAGAGGAAATGTTGTCACCGATTTAAGATTCACTGCTAAACCATGTCTCCCGAGATAAACATGCTACTGGCAACCTGACCGGAATATATAATTTGTGTTAAATTAAAATCAAAATTAGGTAAACTTCATACGTAGAAAACTATTAATTTTGATTTGACATCATCATCATGCACCTAGCATATCCTATTAAGTGCCTAGAGATCTGACTACCCGAGATGTAGATTTTTTAACGAAAAGGCTTCTGCTAATACAGGCAGCTGTGGAAACTAATTTGGTCACTTCCCACACCTCAAAGTTCCTTCTAATGCAGTCGGTAAGCAAGTTCTTATACCTTAGACAAAATTCCCAAGAAATCTGTGTCGTATGACATTTACTCGCACTCAATGGATCGACGTGGGTCAACCTTGCGAACTAGTGAGAGAGAAGTAGAACTCGTGGAAAAGAGTTTGACGGATAGTATCTATTGGCTATTACCCAAGCTGTAAATTTCAAACGTATAACAACATGGCTTAACCTAATTAGGTACCATCTCGCTTGACAAGTCCTCTTCACTCATGTCAGCACTTTCACAACATTACTCAAAATCCACACAATATCCTACCATCTATAAAACCCTCAAGAATTGACTTCCTAAACTCATCACCACAGAAAAGAATCCGATGTTATATACTAGGTATGTCGAGTAATCAAGGCTCTCGAGCATAGATTGTGAATATTGCTGCAACGATGAGACGGCCGAGAAGATTAGGACACCTATTAAGATAGCATCAGAGCTGCAATAGCGTGAATGTCTGGTTTTCGACGTGAGGAGTTATCACCGATTCTGAGTTTGCTGCCGATTTTAGCTCTTTCACCGGATTTGCTTGGTAGTTAAGCCAGCCCGTTCACAAATGGAGCACCTAGCTTCGGTCTACAAATTGTAAGACCCGCTACGAATCTTCTCGCATTCATAGGCTACGTTCACATAAGCATAAGGTTTCAAAGTCTAAAGCAAGAGTGTCGAGCAGTCGAAGTGCTAACCAAGAAAAGCGCTGGCTCCCCATGATAGTTGACAGAATTCAATTTGAGTCTCTCGTTTTCTACAATTCTGTATCTTCGACATGGGTATTGAAGGTTGATAAAGATGATGAACATGGGATTTCGACATGGATTAGGCTTGCGAATGGGGTATAGAGGAAGGAAAGGAAGATATGGTGGAAAGAGCCGCAGGGAATAGTGTCACTTCAGTCAAACAGCAATTGCCCACAGTCAAGTCTTCGAGGGCTTAGAAGCAAATGTAAGATGTCTTGGTAAGATCCAACAATGTAAGCTCGCGCTCATAGGATTAAACAAGTACGTTTCTGCTCATAATAACACTTTGGTAGCAACGCTTAAAAGCCACGCAGCATCCTGCCAACCTCCTACTTCATCGTCTCGAAGTGGAGGCATTGCATCTTCAGGCTCCTCAGTCCTTTCGAGATTCCGTTTTGACGCTCTAGAAGATATCTCAGAATCCTCCGCCTTCTCATTAACAGTATCTGTTTCCGTCTCCTCTCCATCTTCGTCCACAGCGAACAGATTCCAGCCCAGCATCCGTTCCACCCAACCACCAAGACCAGTGCTCCTTGCTCCAGCAAGCTTCTTGACGACTGCCTCGTCGTTTTTCGCATCTTCTTCATTCTCGAATCCTTCTTCTTCAACATCAACAAAGTCTGGTTCGGCAAGAAACTCCTCTTGTACACCGTCTCCCAGGTCGAAATAACCCTCTTTCTCCATAGGCAACGGTGTGAACATATGTGCTCGACTCCCTCTTCTACTCCCAGCTCTGCTAGGAAAGCGACTGGCCGGCCGACTGTTAGGACCGAAACTAAAACTTCTCCTTGTGGTTACTGGCGAGAATTCATCATCTGCGTCAAAAGCCCCAGCCGTACTCCCTCTCCTACTTTGCCGCGCTCTTTCTCGTGCCATCTCAGCTTCCCTGTTCTCATCATCCTCATCCTTCTGTGCCGTCAAACTTGTCGAACTAGCTCTTGATGCCAACCAGTCTTGACCTTTTGCTTCTCTCGCAGAGGCAGCCAGGGTAGCTCCAGCGCGTAACATCCAATCCGAATCATTCCTGTCCAATTCGGAAAACGGTTTCAACTCCTCAGCGTCTCGTACCACACCCTTCTTCAACTTTGTCCCACCTGGCGTAGTGGCAGTAGACCTCGGCTGTTTCGCAGCGAGGAAGTTCGTGCTGGATTTGCTTTTTGGGATTGAGATGTTGTTTGGTCTTCGCATTGACACCCGTGAGGAGGATCGGGAGAGTATTGAGGGTGTGGTAGGAGCGGAGCGTCCTTCGATATACGAGTATGAGTTCATGTCGGATGGTAGAGCATCTGGGTCAGAGAGGGGAAGGCGGGAAGTTAAGGGTGCCAGAGTGAGGTGATTGAGGTTTGTATGAGAGCGGGAGGCATGATGCCTCGAGTATGGCGAATGCTGATTATATGCCACGTCCATGATTGCTGTATATGAATTTGTTATATTATTTGGTGTGAGGTGGGAAATCGACTTGTGGTTAGCTGGTGAGGAGACTGTGAACTGGAACTGGGTTGACAATCCGGGGAAAGCAGGGATTGAGGAGTAGCGCCATTTCGACAGTTACATGTGATAAGTGAACCCTCGACGTACAGGTTCAACAGTTTGGTACAAAAGACAAAATAGCGAAGGAGATTTCTTGGTCGCAAATATGCGTTAATACTATCAAATTTTAACGCAGATGTCTGTATAGCAACTTCGAAAGTGTAGAATTCTATGAAGATGAGGGCTCAATCGATGCCGCTTGTCGTTTGCGCCGGTCCGTGCACACATAAAACTCTTATGGATGAAGACCAGATTATTTGTGCAAGTCGCAAGGATGCGGAGCGAGAAATCACAACAATTTGAAGCCGCTTTTTATAAAACACCAGATCGCATACAAGAGTCTTATGGCTACAGAAGAAAATGCGCAACCTTAGGAATATTCGTTATGAACCATGGACTCCTCCAGCTCAATTTCATGGGAGACCGGTCTCAGCAGCTACCTGGGATCTAGCCAATGAGTCGATCGTATGTACTTTTGGACCATCCGAGGACAATGCTGTGATTGAACTCGTTCGAGTCAAGACAACTCCTCAGTTTCAGTAAGGTCATTGAAGAACATGCTCTACAGTACTATTGCTAATTTATGACAGAGAAAATACTCGAATCACTTCCTGGGATGCGCCTTGTCCCAATCCAGAACTTGCTTGTGACAAGATTCTCAGCCTTCATTACTTTAGTGACAGCTTAACAGCATGTCTAGTACTAGCTGGAGGCGACATTGTCGTTGTCAGAGAGGAGCCTCAGCCAGGAGAAGATCGAATTGAGATTGTTGGTTCAGTTGATGCTGGCATCACTGCTGCAAAATGGTCACCTGACGAGGAGCTTTTGGCCATCACCACCAAGGCAGATACGGTCGTTTTTATGAGCCGCAGCTTTGAAGGGATTACGGATGTCGCTATGAATGGCGAAGATCTCAAGGCTTCTAATCATGTCTCTGTCGGTTGGGGAAAGAAGGAGACTCAGTTTCATGGCAAAGGGGCTAAAGCTTTGAAGGACCCGACTATGCCTGAGAAGATTGACGAGGGTGTTTTGAGTCCCAACGACGATTCCAGAGTTTCAATTAGTTGGAGAGGTGATGGGGCTTACCTTGCCATTTCGAAAATCGAGGATGGTATTAGAAGGTTAATTCGCGTCTACTCCCGAGAAGGAGTTCTTGACAGCGTTAGTGAGCCAGTGGATGGGTTGGAAGGTGCATTAAGTTGGCGACCCGTCGGGAATCTTATCGCGGGTGTTCAGAGGCTTCAAGACCGGGTCGATGTTGTCTTCTTTGAGCGAAATGGCCTACGACATGGTCAGTTCAGTCTTCGCCTCTCCGCCGAAGAAATGCAGGCTTCTGGTCAACACATTACTCTGTCCTGGAACCAAGATTCGACAGTTCTAGCTGTCATTCTGGCAGACTCGATACAACTCTGGACTATGGGAAATTACCACTGGTACCTAAAGCAAGAAATAAAGACTAAGCATGCAGACACCTCATCTTGCAGTCCCTTGGTGTGGCATCAAGAACGGCCCTTGCAGTTCCTGACGATCGGTTCAGGTACGTTTACTCCTTATATAATCTAATCCACTCTTTCTAACATTTCCAGATCACTTGAGCACCTTTGAATATATATTTACCGTTGCCCGTGGTTCGGTTATTCCTCCTCATGATTTCGGAGTTGTCGGTGTGATTGATGGGCAGAATATCAAAATCACCCCAATGAAGATTACGAATGTCCCTCCACCAATGGCACTTCATGAACTCAAGGTTTATTCAAATGCTATAGATGTGGCTTTCAGCGCCGACGGATCACTTTTCGCTGTCTTGCACTTAGATGGCATTGCTGTATACGAGTGGAATCCTGCTGATTCGGAATCAGCACCCTCCCTTACTGGTCGTGTGACCTTCGAAAAGACGGAGCGTGCCGACGATATGTATCAACAAATAACATTTATTGGCAAAAATAGCCTACTGGTACTGCAGCCAATTGCCGCATCCGATGAGCCGGTCAAGAAGTATGCTTTCGATGATGATACTGGCCGAATGGAAAAAGTTGTATCTGGTATTAACACAAACTCGATCATCCGAACGATGTCCAGTTTTGCTTCAGATGGATTGAGTCACCCTTTTGTACAAACAGGCTCTGGAGAATTACATAGCTTAGCGTTTGGAGACCACAGCCTAGGGGAGTGCACCTTCCCTGCATATATGCCGTGGGTAGAGATAATCCCCTATGACGAAGGATTTATTGCGTTTGGCATGTCTATCAGCGGAAATCTCTACGCTAATAGCCGTTTACTGGTTAAGAACTGTACTTCTTTCCTTGTAACATCAGCACATCTCATTTTCACCACTACCACTCACCTTATAAAATTCGTGCACATAGTAGATGCTCAAGGTATTTTCTCCGTCTGATTTACGCCGTCGTTTCAATACACTAACTTTTCATAGATCTCGTAATACCAGAGGATGACCCAGAAATAGACGAACGATGTAGAAGTGTAGAGCGTGGTTCTTGTCTTGTCACCGCAATGCCCACTGCACTTAGCCTTGTCTTACAGATGCCAAGGGGTAATCTAGAGACAATATATCCTCGTGCTATGGTACTTGCTGGAATTCGAAAATTGATTGATGAGAAGAATTACAAAAGGGCTTTTACTCATTGCAGGACTCAAAGAGTGGATATGAACCTATTGTACGATCATGCACCTGAGCAATTCATCTCAAACATAGCCTTGTTTGTTGATCAAGTCAAGAAGATAAGCTACATTGACTTATTCTTGTCCTCGCTAAGGTATTCATACTCCTCAGCTAATTTTAACATTTGATTAACACATACTATAGAGACGAAGATGTCACCCAAGTCATGTACAAAGAAACTAGGGTACCGAAAGCTGCCGAAGCTACACCATTAGCATTGAATGGCACAAGTACTCTAATTGCTATAGAGCAAGCATTTGCCCCAAATGTGTCAAAGATCAACCGAATCTGCGATGCATTCCTCGAAGTACTCAAAACGAGAACGGCCACGAATCTTCAAAACGTAATTACCGCAAACGTGTGTAAATCACCACCTGCACTAGAAGACGGGCTACTGGTTGTAGCCCAGTTCATGGAGAAAGATGAGGCCATGGCGGACAAAGCTGTTGAGCATATTTGTTTCCTGGCGGATGTCAACAAGCTATATGATAACGCCCTGGGTCTATACAATTTAGACCTTGCGTTACTTGTTGCTCAGCAGTCGCAAAAGGATCCCCGAGAATATTTACCTTTCATGCAAAAGCTGCAAGAAATGCCCGACCTACGCCGTCGCTTCAGCATAGACGACCATCTCGGACGTCATAGCAAAGCACTTACTCATCTACACGCCCTCGACGCCTTCGAAGAGCTTCAAGCTTACACCAAGAAACACGCACTCTACCAATCCGCTCTCTCAATATACCGCTATACTCCAGCCCGCCATTCAATCCTCACCGAACTCTACGCACAATACCTGGAATCCCAATCCTCATTTAAAGAAGCCGCCTTAGCATACGAATCTCTCCACAACTACACCTCCGCAACATCCTGCTATCTCTCCTCTGGCCCTCAACAGTGGCGCGAAACCCTCTACAGCGCCCTCTCCCAGACTCCACCTATCTCGCCCTCAGCACTCGAAGATTTAGCTACTTCACTCTGCGAAGCTCTCACAGAATCAAAAGACCACTTCGCAGCCGCCCAAATCCATCTCCAATACCTCTCCTCCCTCCCCAATGCCCTCCGATCATACTGCAAAGGCTATCATTTCGCCGAAGCCTTCCTTCTCGTCGCCCAAAAACAAACCCCAGAACTACTAGAAGAAGTAATCGACCCAGGCCTCACCGACGCCCTCGCATCCACCACCGAACTCCTCGCGGACTGCAAAGCCCAACTCCTCGCGCAGGTCCCACGAATCCGCGAACTCCGTCTCAAAGCCAAGACCGACCCGCTGGCCTTCTACGAAGGCGAACGCTCTGGTGGTATTGATGGAGATTTACCGGATGATGTCTCGATCGCCGCGTCTTCCCGACTGTCGACGAATCGATCGCTGTTCACGCGGTATACGGGGAATGGAACGCTTCAGACGGCAAATACGGGGACGAGTAGGGCGACTAGTAAGAATCGACGACGTGAGGAGCGGAAGAGGGCGAGGGGGAAGAAGGGGAGTGTTTATGAGGAGGAATATCTCGTCGCTTCCGTCGGGCGACTTATCGCTCGCGTGGAGAGTGTGCGTGAGGAAGTTGGTAGATTAATTGAGGGATTGGTGAGGAGGGGGATGTGGGAGCGTAGTCGTGCTGTGGAAAGTGCGATGGGGGATGTAGTGGGGTTGTGTAAGGGGTGTATTCCTGAGGTTTTTGGGACGGAGGAGGAGAAGGTTGAGAATGGTGGAGAGGAGGGTGAGCAGTGGAAACCTACGGGTGGGGATGCTGTGTTGGCGGATAGTATTAGGGAGAGGGGACTTAGGAAGGGAAGTCCTGTTATTGGGGCTTTTGAGAGGTTGACGCTGTTGGGGAATTAGGGTTAGGATTGGGATCCGGTTTAGATTAGGAAGGTGTTGTTATAAATTGATTTTCATAGAAACCTTGTAGCTTCACAACTTGCTTCTTCTTTTTGATCGATTTCTCGTATAAGCCAACCTCATTGAGTTCACAAACAGGCAATATCAAAAGACTTTTGAACAAATGGAATAGGCCTGTATAATATATCTATCCTCACCCATCTCATACAAACGCCATCAAATGCGATTCCTATATGGATACAATCCCGATTTACATATCATACAAATTCCACACCCTACGCAGGCAAAACCTCAGGCGTAGGTCCAGAATCCTCCTTTCCAACATATCCTTTCTTGGCCGCAATAGTCTTTCCTATCTTCTCCCACATGTCAGGCGTAAGCTTTTGTTTCTTCGCCAGCTTCTTCTTCATCTTCCGCTCCTTGCGTTTGGCCTCCATCAGCGGCGTACGCATCGCCTTGATCGTTTTCTTCTGATCGAGTTTCGCTTGCTCCTCGGCTTCCTTCGCGGCAATATATTCTGGTTCGTGGCGGGTTCGGAAGACGGAGAATTTGTTGCGTAGTTCGTCAATTACGCTGCGTGGCATTGGAGGACGGAGGAGGGTGGGGATGTAGGACTGGACGTCTACGTCGATACGGAGGGTGTCGGATGGTGTATCTGCTTTTGGCTTCACGACTCGCTTTTCCCGTTTGGGCCATGGTACTATGATGTCTAGTCCGGGGATCATACGAGACCAGCTGTAGCCGCTCCTGGTTTTGCGGAAGTTTGTGTTAACGAATTGCTTGACGATCACGTCTTTCAGGTTGCCATCTTTGCCCGGGATGGTAGCGACTACGCGGACGGAGTTGATGTCCATTGGTCCATCGATTGTGCTGACAGGTCTCTGATCGGGGTTTTCCTTCTCGACGAAGACTTGAGGTATTTGAATGTCGACCTAAGGAGTAGTAAGTATATTGCTTCTTTTTATTCAGTTTGGGAAGAGATTATTCTTACCCTATTCAGATCTTTGACCGTGACCTTAGCCTTTTTGCCGTCTATAGCAGAGATGATTCCGATCTTTCCCTTATCAGGACCCTCCAGAATGACCACTCTATCTCCCTTCCATATGTTGAGATACTTTCCACCGAACGGCTCAAGCCTCTTGAACAGCTCTTTTTGTGGAAGAGGAAGACCCTGGAGCGCCTGATTGTCCAATGTTCCGTATTTACTCTTGAGATCTCCGACATCTCTTTTCGGTCTTATGGGCCCGAGTTCATAATCCTCCCTTCTGTTCAGTTTCTCTTCCTTCAGTCGGGCACTCCTGTCTCGCCCGAAGGCAGTATTTTGCTGTCGTTGCGTGGTTGCCCATTGTCGCAGATTCTTCTCCTTCCGTTTTACGGCTCGTCGCTCATGTTGTCTGATTGCTAGCGCCGTCCGTCGGAATACCTTCTGCATGTTGCAGAGAGGGCGTTGGTGGTTGATTGGAGTATCGTGGTTCGCGATTCAACTTTTTGGTGTTCAGAATTCCAAGCTCATGATTTTGGCTTGGCGCGGAAGTGCAGGGTAAAAGCAGCAGCCAATATGGAATTTAATAGGGGAATAAACAATTGCTTCTTCAACTAAAGAAGTTAAGTCAGTTGTTTAATAGAGCCGACGCAAATGATAAATGCTTCATTGGCATAGTTTTTATTCATCTGCATGGGTACAAGTGTTTACTTTGTGCCTTTCTAAAAAGCTGGCTCTGAGCTCACTCGTGAGCTTGAGTAGAGGCATCACGTGCCTATTCTCTCCGCCTTCCAAGCTGGTTCCACTGTTCCCGCTCTTGCATCTCTCTCTGCAGCTCAGGGGCGTGCAGCCTCTAGATTCCGGATGTGGCTCACAGAGGGACGGGTCTCTCAAATGGTGAAATGGGTGGCCATTTATGAGACTTACAAACTGCGTTTTCCGTGATTGATGTTTCATCCGGGATCTTTGTTTCCTTCATAAGTCTGAATATTTTATGAGTTTCCGGTAGCATGGACTGCCGGGAATAAAGACGAGAAGTTGAGCGTCACATTCTGTGAGCTCCTGATGATGCGGTCGCAGAGAAAAGAGTCCTGCAGCTCCTCGCCTTGCCCAGAAAGTCCTGAACAGCCTGACAGGAGTCCTGATAGTCGTCTGCATCTGCGGCTAACACACCTTTCTAAGTGAACAATATAACGAATCATTTGCAATAGCAACACCCTCGCACTGATTGCATCATCTTTACTGTATGCCCATACATCCATTTAGTCCCTCCGTATCAACGTTGGTCCCTCGCTTAGCGAGATATGCAACGAGGACGTCCTCACCGTCCTGCAGGCCAGATATAGGCCAACAACAACACCTGAATCCGACCTGCGACGCAGTTGGCGCTCAGCATAGCAAACGGCAATTCGCTGTCAATGCGAGCAGACAAAAGACAACACATCTGAGGAGCAGGAGGGCCGCAGGCGAGTTGATTCGATACTGGTCACGAGTAGGGCTAGTCTGGCAGGTGTCAAGGGCTCTAGCTTCTACCGAACAATGGACCTTACGGATGGAAAGCGGTTATCTCCAGACTCCAAAAACGAGGCATGCCAATGCCTACCTAGCTAAGTACTGGAGCCAAGTTTCGCGGGGAAGGCAGAGGACCGACCAACAGAATTGTAGGCAGATCAGGACCTGAATAGGCAGACCATGTACTCTTAACATGATGATGACTGGTTTAATGTTTGGACTGAAGTTTTCCAATATATGATTATCATTACCTTGTCTCCCCGTGCTGAATCACCGGTCAAGCTTAATTCTCACGAGCTGGGCAGGACTAATCAATCATTACCCGGCTACTACGAGTAATAGTCCTAATCAAGCCGTTATCCACTAATAAGTTCGTGATACGGAGTGGCTGCACGTGTGAGACCGGTCCAAAGAAGAGTGCTTCATTACAGAGACATCGATTCATGATCACAACGGCTTGAGCTCCAGCCGCATATGCAAGCCTTGCACGTGAATCATCGAGAGCTATAGAAGCATAATAATACCATGCCAACTTTTAGGAGCTGTCCAAATACTACTAAAACCAGCAATCCTCATCATCTTCCACTTCATCCTTCCACACTCTGCATCCTATCTCATCCGGTCTATCCACTCCACTCCCATCAGCCTAGTCCGATCTCTCATTGAAACTCAACTACCCCTGGCCTTTACAGCTGGACAAGGTCAGTCGTCGGTCGTCGGTCGTTTGTTCGTAAAACTCGCCTAAGGCCGCCACTGTCTAGCGCTGCTACCCCAGGCCGCAAGGCAACCGGTTGCTGCTGGGTCGTGAGGCAAGAGCGTCTTGCAACTTAACTTCAACCTCCCTCAACAACCACTGACGAATTTCCATCTTCCTTCACGCTCGAGCAACGCAAATCAACAACACTCCATCTCCAGCCCGAATCCAGTCGCTTTCTCACCCTCCTTCATTTACATATCTCAACAATGGCGGAAATCCGTCGAAAGCTCGTCATTGTAGGTGATGGTGCCTGCGGTAAGACTTGCTTGTTGATGTAAGTCTTCTATCAAGATGGACCTAGCCGCCGTCCACCGCCGCGGATTTCTTGGATTCCTAGCTAACAAGTCTGCAGCGTATTCTCCAAGGGTACCTTCCCAGAGGTAAGCTTCCGCCGATACCAGTCCAGTCCAGGATTCCGAAATGCACATCTATCTACACCGCGTCAACCCCTTCACGATAGCTTCGTCGAACATTCATACCATATAACCAGGGCATCATTTTGTTGGAGCAAGCGGCTGATATTAGGTGTTATAGGTCTACGTCCCAACCGTCTTCGAGAACTACGTTGCCGATGTTGAGGTTGATGGAAAGCACGTTGAGTTGGCCCTATGGGATACGGCTGGCCAAGAAGATTACGATCGTCTCCGACCTCTCTCATACCCCGACTCGCATGTGATTCTCATTTGCTTTGCTGTTGACTCCCCCGACTCTCTTGATAACGTCCAGGAGAAGGTACGATGACACCAACAAATCCCGTTTGAGGCTGGAAGATAAGACATCGCTGACACGTGCTCTACAGTGGATCTCCGAAGTTTTGCATTTCTGCAGCGGGCTTCCTATCATCCTTGTTGGCTGTAAGAAAGATTTGCGATACGACCAGAAGACGATTGAGGAGCTTCACAAGACCAGCCAGAAGCCAGTTACCCCGGAACAGGTAAGATTTCTTCGAGTCATAATCAAGGTGGCCCGGGCATGCTTTGAACCAGAATCTAACATGTCCAACAGGGTGAGGAGATCCGCAAGAAGATTGGTGCCTACAAGTACTTGGAGTGTTCTGCAAAGACCAACGAGGGTGTCCGTGAAGTGTTCGAACATGCTACGCGCGCTGCCCTGTTGACGAAGAAGTCCAAATCCAGCAGCGGAAAGAGGCATTGCATGATTTTGTAAAGATACCGCTATTGACCTTTCTTTCTCTAATACGAATCGGAGTCTATCTTACTGGGAATCCGTTGCTAGGTGGTGAGATTACTTCTAGGGCAAGATGTATACTTGCAAACATGTGCATGGCTCTTCACTCGGCGTTGATCTGTCATCTTTGATACGATACCGAGACCATACCAACACTTCGCAGAAGTCTCCCACAAGTCATCGAATACGATACTACCTCCATTACTACCTCTTCATCCCTCTCGGCTTCGTTCGGATACATCTTGGCACGGGGGTACTCTCTGTGCTGTGCTATTTCTTCCTCCAGTATCTGCGTTTTTCCTGCAGCAAGATCTTGTTTGCTTTTGCGTCGCGTCTTTTTCTCTCTGCACTAAAGAGTGGATATGAATCATAAAGGCTATGCGGCTTGTTGTTGCCAGGTCTGGTTTCTTCCTTGGGTGCGCTTGTTATTTTGGAGGCAACAGGGAGATAGGATGCGCATTTTGTACGGTGTAATAGCAATAGGTGTAGTCTATCAAGAGGTGTTTTTCGAATATATGATGTCTTGTGATTTTAAGATTTTCTCTTGCATATTTGATGGTTTTGTCAAGCCGTACCTGCCGGATTCAAGTGCCTTGTACTGTGTGTTGGAATTAGAACTAATGTCTTATCTAGGGTCTATGAGTTTAGTACATCGCTTCTCCACCATGTCGTCCTCATCTCTATGCCTCGGAAACCTAACAATAGTCTAATAGTTTAATAGCGATATTACAGCTAACATAAAGCTTCCAAACACGCCAATGATTCATTTTCTCATCACCCCCGCCAGGTTGCTAAGCACAAAAGAAGCTCTATCACACCCTTCCCTACATGAATGTTCCTAACATAAGAACAGCTCACTAACACGTTCCCCAAGTACACAATCTCAGCTTTCGATCTACTTGCGTGTTCTTCAACCTTTCCGTGATGCATTTTGCATTTCCAGTGAAGAAATAGCGCCTTGTAAGTACAACCTAAAGATTTGCTTGCACTTATTTGTGACTAGAGTGACATACTGTTGGATATCAAAGAACAAGAAATGTGAAGAAGCTACTTTTTCACCACGGTGTGAAAATATTTTGTTACAGTTTGACATTCTAAGCTTCGCCTCTAGAAATACAGGTGAACTGTGCAGACCTAGGTGAATGTGAGTTTTACAGGCTACATGGAAATATGATATTCGCCAGAACGGGAAGAGGCCCTTCTTGTGAAAAACACTTCAGGTTCTGACTAGCTTCAAATCAAGGTTCTGGGAAATAAATTTCTAGGAGACAATTCCGCCAAATTCGGACACCTAAAATTTCATTACAAAGTTTACGATATACATCATCTACGACTGAAATAAGTTAACGATATCGGCCCAGAAGCTGGAAACACTCGGGTGAGATCATCCCTCCACGCTTTTCAATATTTACTTGTCAAATTATGTTCACCTCGGGTCGTTAACTCATACAATCGACCATGTGCCTGGAGACCTTCAAAAAATCCAAATCATGCCGGTCCACCTTCAGACATTTGCAAATATGCAACGCCCATCTCTCGATCAACCCAGAAGTTAATCGTGCCGTTGATTGCAACAAGTACAAGGGGAAACGCGTCAAGCTTGCCAATGGAAGATGCAATTGTCGTCGAGATGGTAGCACATGCATTTTCGAGCATAGAAATGGGGAGCGTATTGTTACTTTCGAGGAAAAGGAGGATAGTGACTTGAATAAAAGGGGCATGGCTAAAAAACACATGGATCCAAGGGAGGGATACTGGAACCAGAAAGGCGAAGCTGGGAGTGGCGCGTTTTGGCGGGATTTGGGTGTAAATCAAGGTGCGCAGAAAGTGGTTGGTCAAGAAGCTACTGAATATCGAGAATTTCTCAGGCGTGTTAGGGAATTCGAGGAGTTGCCAAAAGTAAAGAGAATGACACCTTCTTCCTCTAAAGAATCTTACTCTAACTTAGACGAACGCGCGAACACCTCCAATAGCCAAAAGGTTAGAACTCCACTGCCCAATGGAAGGCCAGACCTTCAACCCAGCCAGTCTGGGGGTTCCCAGAAGAACGATACACATAAATGCGAAACTACAACGATCTACAATTCAAAGGATTCAAAGTGTTAAAGTCGCGCAATGGGAAAAGCATTCTACTTCTCACAAGATCAAATACTCGCGCTGATATCGATCCGGATGAAACCGAGAACGCTACACGAACTACTGAGGCGGAATCCACGAAGGCGAAGGAGGACTTAGTCACCAGCAATTCGGATCCTCATGATAACCACCCTGACGAAGGCGAAATTTCTTCAACAATCGAAGAGGTTAGCAATCTGCGCTCGGAGAGCCTAGGTAGTGAATACAGGAATCAGTCAGGTGAAAGTGAGGATACTTCCAGTGATGAGGAAGTCACCGCTGCAAATTTCATGAAGAGGAAGAGGAGCCTGCGTACTCCAAGTGTTGAACCTCTGTCGAATGTCGGTTCTCCAACTGAAAGCGGCGAGAGCCACAACATCGACGGGCTCCAGAAGGAGCTTGAGATAATAACTCGGGACTCGACGATATGTACTAGTAGACTTCGGCAGAAGAAAAAGCTTCGCTTTGAGAATACGGCGGGTATGTGTCTTGATGAGTCGGATTCTGATGAGGAGAGGGATGTTTATGTGCCAGCTGTTCAAGATGGGTCTCAGGAGGAGGAGGAGGAGGAGGAGGAAGAGGAAATGGAGACTACCCTAAACTGTGATGAGCGAGAAGTCTCGGAATTATCAACAGTGACAACTATCAATCGTCCGATGGAAAACCCCGATGCTCAAGAAATACTCAGCATATTGACATCAACTGCCGACAATCATACTCCTGCTAATAGAGAACCGCAACACGCATACTCACCACCCTCTATATTGCGTATATTTCCAGACAGGGAAGCTGCTCGAACAAATTACTTGGGAGGCCTGCGTCCTGCTGCACTCCGACAAGAGGCAGGATACCAGTGTTTTCCAGGGCAAATAGAACCAGGGAATGTGTGGCAACAAAGGGTCGAGCATGAAAAGGCGAGGCAACTGGCGTTTTACTTTGATTTGTATGGGATGCCCGATGAAAAAAGAATTCAGTTTCAGATTGAAAGATGGTCCGTATTGACACTTTTACATCATTCTATGGCTGACAGTTTATCGCAGGGAGAACCTCAAAAAACTGGCTTTTGAGCACAAAGCTGCTGGAGATACTCGGTAAGAAACAAAGATGTTTCTAGAATTAAACTCACTGATACTAAAGATGACTAGAGATCTGAACGAGATTACCATTAGCCTCGACACTTTCTACCATTCTTTATATCCTAAAATCTTGGACAAACCCTTTCCCTCTCATGTTCTTAAAGCTATAGGAAGAGTATCCTTCGAATTCTTAAGATTAACGGACTTTAAAGAGTTCAATGTGGATGAGCTGAATATTCCCTCGATACGCCGCACGATCAGATCACTTACCTGTGGCAAAAGGTTCGTGTATGAACGTGATGAGACAAAATGTCTTGCGGAATGGTCGGTGTTGGAGGATTATGAAATGACGAAGGATCTACGGGGAAAACCTGGGAAAGAGATCTTGAGATGGTATTGCTCACTGTTTCGAGGCTCGTATCCCTGACCACTTGCTGACTTGGTGATAGGGACGATTACTGTTGTCAAGCTGCCCGGTTGATTACTGATGGCGATCGAAGGTTAGTTCTCCCTTTTCCCTTGGAGTGATATGATATTAACATAATGGATAGGTGGGTAAGTGAGATTGTTTTGGATTTAAATACGCAGTTTCAAATACACAGTGGAAGCGAGACACACGACGAAGAACAACATTCCGTAGGAGAAGGCGGCGGAGTCGAAGATGTGAGAGGCAACGAAGAACGGGATACGGAAGAAGGGACGGCGGAAGAGGAAGAAACGACACGATTTGAGGGAGTTGATGCTGAGGTAACGGTGGACGATGTTGCAGATGATGAAAAGGATGACGACGATATGACAGATGAAGGGAGTACGATACACGTCGCACATCCTGAAGAGTCTAATATGGAAGCATACATGGAAGAAAACGAAAACGAAGAAGAGGAAGAGATTTCGGGAGACAGAGTTGGTACACACCAAGCAGTAACTGTTACGGCAAGCATTGAAGAAGATGAAGGAGCGATAACGGAAGAAGGAGAAGCTATACACGTCGCAAACTTCGAACAACTTGATACGATAGAGGAAGTTGAAGAAAACACGGCAGAACACGACGAAGTGACATACCTCGGAGAAAGTTGTGGGGGGCCAGAGACGGAAGAAGATGAAGAAGCGACGGTAAGAGAGGGTGAGTGTGAAAACCTTTGAATAATTGACAGAGAAGCCAACTGTGGATGTAGACCATGTAGAGCACGAACTATTTCATTCCGAAACTATGAAGGCGACAGTTCCCGAAGAAGCCACAACACAGAGAATATCAAGGCACGAAGAAAAATCACACACGGAAGAAGAAATCGCACAAAATGGGGCAGCAGCACAGGCTGATGGATTTAACACGGAAGTAAATAATGAGGAAGCGTATGAACAATCTCCACTTCAAAATCATCGAGCAAGTCACGGCGAAGGATCATGTGCGGCAGAACAAATTCCAGCAGATGCAGAAGCGACACACATTGAAGGAGTCAACGTAGAGGCAGAAGGAGACGCCTACGAGCAATTTCCATTCTCAATCGTTGAACCCTTACTTCCCGCAACAATCGACCCGCAGAGATCAATGGAACCAGAAGACGCCGAAGAAGTCAATACAGAGGCATCAACCAGAAGCGTGTCAGTAGCAAACACGAATATCTCGGCGGAGGTGGATGTACAGATGACAGACCCGGAAGAGGCCAACTCGCACGCTTCATCTCCGGCATTTTTCGAAGCCGACGAAGGTAACGCGAATGTATCGATGGAAGCAACTGATATAGTAACAGCCCCTAACGTTGTTATTTCGGAGGATGTGGCAGAAGTTGTTGAAGAAGCGGTAGTCCCCAAGGAAGCCTATACGGTGAATATAATCGAAATCCATGAACCAGCGCCAAAGCCCAGAGAAGTCAACACGCAGCAGACATCCATGAAAGCAGCTGGACAAAGATCGATTATTCAGGATAAGGATAATATTGTAAATATTCGAGAATGGCTGTTGTAGTAGGACTTGTGACACTGGCGAAAGTTGATGTAACAGTAGTCATATTAGATTTCTTCATGGTGTAGTCTGAATATGAAAAGGTCGTTGAGTGTCAAATTGATTTTTATATCTACATAGCACCTATTTTTGTGTAAAGTGATTACTAAACTTCTTTTTTTTTGTTTCCCGGAGAGGAGTCAAGCGTCCATCACCTCGTCCACAGATATAGGATCACATTTACTCTATCGAGACTACCCCATCCGTAAGACAACATCCCCAGTCATAACAGAGACTCCCAGTTTTATCAAAAGACACCAGCTCATTTACATCTCGTCTTTTTGTAAGCTGGTCCAGAAGCGGAAGGATCCTCGAAAATACTAACATCCGACTCCCCCTTGATTTCTACACCATGAGTCGGACACATCTTTTTGACCGACGTATCAAGCTTAAACTCGTCTCCAGGAAGCGGGATGAGATTAAAACCCTCCATCTCCCTCGAAAGCTCGATGATATTCTGAAGCTGATTCAGCGCCCTCAAGTCCGGGGACGAGGGTTCGGCTTTGATATTTGGCGATGGCGAATCTTCCGGCATAGGAGTATCCTGCCTCTTAACAACCTTCCCATCCATCGTCTGTTCCTCAACCTCCACCCTCCCAACCTCCCGCCCCCTCATCCCCATCCCCGTACTATCCCCAAACCGCTCATCAACAACATGTCTCCACGCGCCCCCAAACCCCCTCCCAATACCACACTCATGACCCTCCTCCCCCCTTTCCCCTCCACAAAATACCACTTCCCCTTCCCTACACACCACGGTCGTCTCCCCTCCCCCTTTTCATTTAAATCCCAAACCCACCCCCAATTCTCCTTACCGCCCTCGCTTCTCCGTCCAGATTTCAGCGGCTCCATGAACGTCCAATCGCCCCTCACATGACCCTCGAACATCCACACCGTGCCGCAGCGCTCCTCACACGCGTAGCCATCGTATTGCATGCCCGCCATGGGAGAATTAATATCGTCGTTTCCGCAGGGCCCTTCGATCTCGATGGTGCGCGTGATGAGGAAGGGGCAGGGTGCTTGGTTTATTTGCTTGCGCGTGTAATCTTGATGGGGAAGGCAGATTGCGTGTTTGGTTGTGATGCAGGGGCAGGTGGTGTGGGTTATGGTTGCTGTTACGCACATGGTTGCGTTTGTTGTGAGGTGGTGATGTTCTGGTATTTTGATGTTTTAAGGTTCAAATGTTCAGAGGGGTTGAGCTTGAGATTTCGACTGCTTGTGTGCTTGGTGAGAGCTGACATGGAACAGGTAGCTGATGTTGAAGGATGTTGAAGAAACCGCGTTTTTGTAGATTGAGTTACAAGAATCTGGTGTTGTTTTTGATGTTGATAGAGAGAAGTGATTTGAAGGTGAACTTGCATCTCCTCCTAGACAAACTTGGGTAAAATCAACAGGTTGTTCCGATGTGGTGAATAGACAATTCGCCAATTCAGACTGTCCAGGAACTCAATCACTGTTTGTACTTATCTCTTTGCTGTCTTTGAATATATTTATGGTAGAGCCACGTTGTTCTGGTGTGAGTGAATAGCTCATCCCAGACCTAAGAAGACAATAACTGAATGCATCTAGCTTATCAGTGGCTTTGAGGCTGTATGCTGTCAGTCTTGTGGGAAGCTTTGAAATAGTAAGTAGCAGCTGGAATGGCCTCGAAGTTGGGACTGCAGCAAAATTAGCTGACCATGAGGAAGAAGAGTACATATGGACAAAAATGTAGGTTGATCTAATAGTCAATTGCCCATAAAAGAGAAAGCGTGGCAACTCGAAAGACCATGAAGCAAGCAATATAAACTGACATATAGTTTTGTTTTCTTTCATAAATATCCTTAAATACCCAAATCCCATATTGTACACCGTTCTATGTTCCGACCTATACAAAGGTCAATTTAATGACACTGCGCCGTCCCCCCTTCATTTCTAATAATCTTAGCAACAGCCTGGACGAGACTGATTCCCATAACCGCAGTCCCAAACGCCACAACCCCCATTGCAACAAAAGTTCTCCAGGAGCGGGTGCTCAGTTTAATATAACATAATGGTGGAAGGATATATGCTAACGCGCAGGCACTCGTTGCACCTATAAGCTCGAATACGGCGCCTAGATCACATGTGATTAGGGACAGCATCATTGCAGATACGACGAGAGCGGTTGAAAATATGAGGTGGAGATTCATATTGAAAGGTTCGGCGGGGAAGTAGTAGTTGAACATAACCTCTCGGCAGACGAAGGCTTCGAGGGGGAGGGTGGTGAGCATGTTTAGACCAAAACACAGACGGGCGATATTGACCATGGTGTTGCTGGTTGGGAAGTTGTTGAGGACATTCCCTTGGGTTAAGGAGCCGAAGGTTAGGAAACCTGATAGAGCCATGAGAAGACATGCGAACATGGAGATGGTAGTGCTGTAATGGGTTACACGGGCAAAACGGTCGAGTGTAGGAGTTTTGAGAGAACCGTATATTAGGAGGGAGTTGTGGTGGCAGACAAATGCTAAGACTCTGTTAGAGTGGGTAAAGGCATGGAGGGGTAGAGGGGTAAAACGGGGCGTGGAATGATCATACCAAATGATATTACACCAATTGCTTGAAATATCCCATCATTTACCAGAAGTAAAGACGAGTCGAATGTACCTCTCGATTCAACGGGAACGAAGAAACCTTGGGTGACCACCGTAAAAAGGATGACCATCATGCTAATCAACGCCAGTGTACTCGCTTTTGCCAACTTTCAATTGTGTCAGCTAGCGTCTCTCTATAATCTACCAGAACTCCGCCAACTGTACATACCTTTGCAATGTCCCTATACAAACTCAGCGGGTAACTGACTCCCAGTATAAAGACCACAATAACAGCCCTCCTGTCCCCTAGCAGACTTAACACAGGAACATCCGTCAAACCGGGCCAAATCGCTAGAAAAACATGCGGAATAGTATCTCCCACAATAATCCCAAACGCAACCATGCCTCCAAATGCGAATGCCCACTGCGCAATACTGATAGCAATCAACCCCGACTTCCCAAAGCAAAACTCCACAGTACCCTGAAAACTGTCTCGTCCACTCAGTTTTGAATTGATCACAATAAGCCTGATAGTCCAATCCACGGTGATCGTCAACCCAATCAACAGCATAACTCCAGCGAGAAGCCCCGCTTGTTTAAAAGCATAAGGTTGACCAATAATGCCCGCGCCGATGATCGAATTCGCCATATTCATGAATGCGCTCCTCAGTCCTGATTTCGGCCGGGAGCGTTCGCGCTCAGCCCAATCTTCGAACTCTTCCTCGCCCCATGGCGAGTTGGCAAGGGCGACAGATGGAGCTTCGATATTGGTAAGGAGAGGTGTGAATTGTTGTTGGGGCCTGTCGCGACGTCCCGAGAGGGGAGGGGAGTAGGATGGAGGACGTTCATTTTCGGGGGTTGGTATATCGAAATGTACTCGATTCGGTGTACGTGGTGTTCGTCCTCCAGCGTGTGCATTTCGCTCTGAGCTTCGTGATTTACTTCGTGCCTGTCCATCGCCGGGATGAACTATAATGTCATCTTCTTCCTCGTCGGAAAAGCCCCCAGAATCGAGGAGCCCGCGGTCTTCCTCATTTATTCGCGGAGGGTTGGATGGATCGGCATCCGCGCGGATGTTGGATGGTTTGGCCTTGGCCATGCCGAGTTATCGTGGAAGCATAGTTGTTGTGTTCATGTTGAGATGCTGGATCAGAAAATAACTTTAGGTGGTCTTTGACAGCTCTACTACTTCTGCATTCATCACTAATTGTCGGAGTCGGACCCCTGCTCGCTTATTACTGTCAGCCTCAAGTTTGAGTAGCAGATAGCTATTTTTGGAAAATAGCATTTTGGAATTGTTAAAGTATAATAGAATTTTTGAAAAGGTACAATGAACGTCGAACTTATACCACTCTTTGCGAAAATCAGCCTTGAAGGTATGGCTTTATTAGCCAGTTTCTCAAAGTAGCATTTAGGCGAAATACTCAGTAGCGTCAGCCCAGTTATTTACTTAAAATCGACCATTTCACCTTGAAGTGAGTTTCCTTGTGGGTCAGTGGGTTGCAATTTAGACGTAGTATTGAATTGTGTATGTAGTATGGAGTTATTATCATTATTCCTCCACACCCATAAACTTAAGCACGAGCGCCCAAAGCGTAATGCTTGATAGAAATCTACCAAACATAAAATTAATAAACTGTTTCGTTTGTGATTCCAGTGATCGATTAAATGGCCTGAAATCTCAGTCACTGGATCATGATGCATTGGCGGTAAGTGAACGTCCTTAAACATTAAATCAAGACGGTCTTTAACCAAGCAGTAGGATCATACTAGAATTCTGAAATATCTAGGATGTGGGGTGTAAATCATATTTGGATACTCCATCTCACCTCAAGCGTGTTGCTATAGTACTACCACTGACAGGCTATTTTATTTCCTGCCCATTTGCGTTTTTGAGTCCCTTATTGCTACATGAGTTCCCATTTTCCCGCCAACCTGCCAAAACAAACGCTTTTCCATTTTTCCTCTCTTATAATGAGTGTATTAAGATTAAATTCTTCGTCCTCGTTCATGGGGTATCGTCCTTCTTGCGTTATCAAAACGACCGCTTTTCCTCGCTTTAAATGAGTGTATTAAGTTTAAAAACTTTCTCGTCGCCCATGAGATATAGTCGCTCATGCGATCTTCGTTCCAATTCGTAAAGTCATTATTTGAACCCTTCTTAGAGCTCCTCTCCGTCCACTATGACACGCATGATTACTTACCGCGCAGCCCTTCCTCTGATAGTTGGGTTTCTTGAAGCTGCAGTCGCTCCAGTAACGGTGGGAGACGCCAAAGTAGTCATACTACCAGTGACTGTCGTTGCTGGAACCGATGTACTTGTCGCGGAAGTACCATTTCCAGCAGCGCAGCTAGCGATAGATGGTAATGGAGGTGTTCCTGGAAGAGAGACCTGACTACAGAGATTCCCACCGAAATCTGCTGCGGCTTTTTGGTCTCCAGCGCTACATGACTTGGAAATACAGCATGAAATCTCTGATATGAATTGCTTGTTCGCGCAGACACAAGCTACGTTACGAACATCACACCCAGCAAATGTAGTGTATCCGGAGGAAGTAACGAAGTAGGGCTGTGCACACACTTGCTGTTCGACGTGTCAGTAAAAGCTCCATGCGGATTCAGTTGTAGGATTGGACTTACCACGCAGGATGGAAGGTCTGGGGGGAGATCCTGCGCCGTTGCAAGAGCTGCGAGAGCGAGAAGGATTGAGCTTGCTGAGGTCTTCATTGTAGGTAGCGTTTCTGTATGCTTGAGGGCTTTATGTATTTGATGGCTGTGATATGTAGGCAAAGGCTCGACAGCTGACAATTAATGTCCTGAGTCGTGAACAATCTGAGAGAAGTGTGATGGTTAGGAAAAGGTTTTATACGATTGAATTAACAATTGACATAAAGAAATCGCCCCAAGTGTAGGACGAGTCAACCTCTTATATTCAGCACCGAGAGCTCCACCGGCACTCAACCATGAAAAGCATTTAACCAGCCCGACTGACCCGCATGATGTAAGTTACTCCGTAAAAGTTCGTATCTGTCGCTGGTGGTGGGGAAATCCAGGTGCAAGGGACAGCAGAACCGAGACTGGGGTCAAGATTCACAAACCCATATGCAGGGCTACTTTAGATGTACGAAGTATGTGCGACCTTCCAGAAATAGAGAGCTTTGGCGCAACCGGAACCAGCAGTGACATGAGTGTCGTACCTTCGAGAAAGATGGCTAACAAAATATGCAAACAATCGGAGTCGTCCGTAGAGACTCGACACCTGCCGCTTTTCGGTCGAGGAAAGAACTACTGTACAACGAGTCAGTTAATCGCTATAATATCGACTCGGGCCATGGGCGACAGCGACAAATAAATACACGATAATCTGTTTCCAGATCCTCTTCTTCCTGAGTCAGACTTAGCTATTGATAGGTTGACAGTTGTTGAAATGCATAAACGGACGACTAAAGGGAAGGGACTTTAGTCATGATCGTCGCCCTTGTACTAGTACATTGAAAACAATGAATATATGCTCTCCTTGCTCACTCTTAGACCACACAATGGCTTAGTACAGCATGAGCGAAATATAGCAACCTGCTGACATCATTCGGCGAAGATCTCACACCAGAATCTGAAAAGCTGAGCATCGGAGTATCTTCGACTATCTTAGCACGGTTTCTTAGCCTCAACAAGTGTGGTGGGTGCCAAAGCAGGAACACAGGCCAATTTTGAAAATCCCAGAAACTGATACTGTACATCAATCAAGTTCATATTTTCCTCCGGAGTGATTGAAGTGAGCCGGGTTAGGCTTAACAGTGGCTACGAGATGTTGGTAAAGACTGGCTCGAATGACCTCTTGCTACACGTTCGCGACCAGCATAATGCATTATTGGTTTCCTCTTTTGCAGGATTCGCGTGCTTGCCACACTCTAGGACAGCAATCGGGTGAAAGGCCCTTTGGCCTGATGTCTGAACACGACATTTGACCAAACACTTCCCGTAATAATGCTATTCAGCAGGTAGCCATTAAAGATCGTATAGGTGACACTTGCCTCGCTGGTTCTGCTTCCTTACCTCCGTCTCTGAAAACAAAAAAATAGTATGCAGGGAGGATGGGGTGGAGAGGATTGGATCCGAATCACCGCCGCAGTGCCGACAGATGTACGGAGAGAGCACCCAGTACCTGGCTAAGTCTGCGATGCACAAGCAGAGTGAATCCCATATCCAAGGTATGATACCCTTGATAACCATACAATTTTGTATTCTCTCCTTGATATCTAGATCAGTTGAGTATGCTGGTATGTATTGTGAGGGGCAAACAGACTGTCGAAGGCAAGTCACCAGACAACGACCACATCACAAGATCGTCACACACCAGCCTCCTCACATGATGAGTTCCCTTCCATTGTTTGTGCTCGTTTCTGAGAAACTCGTAGGAAGATGTCCTAGAACGAAAACTGTCAATAAAATCATGCTGTTACCCGCAAAGTTGAAAGCTTCGGCTGAACACAACAACGCATGCTGAACACTAATATATAATTGTCTGGGACGGGAGCTAGCTCGTGGTTGTCAAACCTGAGAAGAATTGTCCATTGATGTATCTCCGAATTCGAGGATTGCATAGCTCCAAGTGGTGAACAGAACATCTGTGACAGGCAAGTGCTCAAGCAATGTGAAATGACGATGAGGTGAAAAAGAAATACGTCTTCAAAAAGAATTGGTTCCTGGCACTTATCGCCAAGACCCTGCACGGAGCTACCCCTGCAGCAGATCCCCATGTTCCAAGCCCCCTTCCAAACACCACAACAACATCTAGACATCAAAATGCATGGCCTTCACAATCCCCAAGACCTTGAAACTCAGCCAGCTGAAGCAATTGACGCAAAAATGTGGCCTTCCCAGCACCGGGACAAAACCCATCCTCACCCAACGTCTCTACGATGAAATCACAAAGTCCAATGCGTCGCCCCCGAAAGACGTAACTCGAATTCTGAGTATCGACATGGGAATTCGAAATCTGGCGTACTGCATTCTAGAAGTTCCGCCCGAAAAGAAGAAGGAAGAGAAAGGAGTTCCAATAGTACGAGCATGGCATCGTCTTGCTGTGTCTTCTGCGCCAAAGATCCTGCCCATCGATGAGAAAGCGAAGAAAGTGAAGAAGGAGGTTGAGAAGGAGAACTTTACACCTACGACGCTCTCTCAAATCGCCTATACCCTGCTGCGAAAAAGACTGCTGGTTCTGAAACCGACGCATGTTCTGATAGAACGACAACGCTTCCGAAGTATGGGCTCGAAGCACATTCTAGAATGGACTATCCGCGTGAACATGTTCGAGTCGATGTTGTATGGGGTACTATATACCCTGAGAGAAGAGGGCATATGGAAAGGCAGTGTTGAAGCTATTGCGCCGGGGAAGGTAGGCCCATTCTGGGTAGGCGAAGATGTAGATGTAGATGCTCAAGGGAAGTTGCGGAAGTCGAAGAGCGCCAAGATTCAGAATAAGGGAGCGAAGATTGATTTGGTCAAGAGATGGTTAGAGGGCGAGACGACGTTGGAATTAGGGAATGCGGAAGTTGAGGGTATGGCTCGGGCGTATAAAGAGAAATGGAAGAGGGGCGTTGGTGGGGGAAAGGCCGTTATGAGCGATGACGGAGAAAAGATGGGGAAGCTGGATGATTTGGCAGATTCGCTATTACAGGGTATGGCATGGATTCAATGGGAGGAGAACAAGAAGTTGGCTCTGAAAAGAGGGGTCGAGGTATTGCTAGATCACTAAATTCAAGACCGACCAAACACTTCCCTCTTAAGCTAAGGATACCAAATTGATCAGGATCTCATGAAAGAGCTTGGTCAAGAAATCAAAAGATGATTCTCTAAATATCAACCATTTTGCATTGACTGTCTCTTGAGGCAACCCCGAACACTACTTGCGTAGTGTAACTGTCCTCTACCCCGTGTATCCAACGAGAATATGCCAAATCTAAATCATGTATGGGGCAACGATGGCAATAGCAGCTACAATTGGCGCAATCGCTTTGACAATATCCGGGGTTGTGAGACCAGAAGCGGCATTCGAAGTCGTGCTACTGGAAGGGCTGGATCCGGTAGTAGTAGCAGCAGCATTGGGGGTTACTGTGGCAGATCCACTAGGCATAAGTTAGTAGTTGTAATGTAAGATGTGCATGGCTGGAGGTACATACGTCGAAGAGCCGGTTCGGGTGGATGATCCGGTAGTAGTTGCAGAGGCACTATCAGAACCAGTAGCAGTAGAGGAAGAGCTTTTAGTTGCAGAGCCGGAGCTGGAACTTGAGGACGAAGAGAACGCTGCAAATGGATCAGTATCTCCATGGTCAATAATCACGAAAGTAACCTACTTATGGTCACAGAGGCGGACGAGAGACAAGTGTCAGCGTATGCCTTCTTAGCCTCTGCCGCAGCATCTCTGCTACATTTCTCGGTTATGTTCCCTTTCATCGACTCGGCGAGAGTTCCGCAAAGAGACTTGATATCGGATGGATTGGTTTGGACCCTGACAAGTATTAGACCACACATCTGACCTAACTGCCGCGGTAGCTTACTGGAGGGCGCCAAGCAAGCAGGCTGGGGGAGTTGCTGTCGCAAAACTAGCAAATGCCATGATGGCACCAAAGACAAAGGCTGGAGAGGTGTACATGTTGATGTAATCGAATGGAACGGGATAAGGGTATCGAAAGCAAGTACGGCGAAATAGTTGTGAGAGGAAAGGTAAAATGGGAGCACTGTGCGTAAATCAAAGGTGCTAAATGAGCGTGGGGTCAAAAGAGTGACTGAATGAACGGAAGAGAAAACTGCAGCGAACGAGTTGACGATACCAGAGTTATGGATGTCACAGCAATTGAATACTCGAGTCCTCGCGATCCCTCGAAGGGTCTCCACATTAAGGTTAGCCGTTAATCTAGTCAGGTACCAAACCCCTGACAGGTTTAAATTAAGTTAGCTACAGCGGGCCGAGTCGGCCGTACGGTAGCTCCGATTTTGACACCGATGCCCTTCGGAAACCACGCCTCGATAACAAGCAAATAATGTACTATTTTGCACATGTAGTGACTTGCATCGATGATGATTTGTCTTGATACCATTTATCCTTAATTCCTGTATCTAGGTCGATAGCTGCCCCTTTATCCACCAGTAGCTTCTCTGTAGAAAGTGATGCTTCGATTCGCTCCAGCAGTTGCAAAAGCTTCGCTCTTGTTCGACACCTTTGGCAGCCATTTGACACACCACAATGTCTTATCAGTCTCGCTATGCGTAGCTACACATGTTCTTCGATCGATAGACCAGACTTTAACCTTTCCATCGAAAGATCCGCTGAGTAGGTATTCGCCAGTATCACTCCAATCGACAGAGAATATCCATGAGGAGTGGCCGGTGAGATTTGCTACCTGCTCTCCATGTTGCACATCGTAAAGTGCTATAACCTTTGCATCTCCAGCAGCAGCTAATCTCGTGCCTGCTGGTGAGAATGCTACCGTTCGTACTGGCTTGACAAGACCTGTTGGTTGATTAGAAATGTGATGTTTGCAGAATACAAGTCGGCTCAGCTTACCTGGCAACGAGTATAATATCTTTCCAGTATCATTATTAAATATGTATACTCCGCCATTTTCATGACCACTAGCAGTGAATTTCCCATCTCTACTCATGTCGATACACATCCCAAAGCTTCCCTTCGTCTCGTACTCTCGAATCTTCTTCCTTCCGTCTTTCAGGTCCCATACATTGATTCTCCCATCATATGTGGTGCTGGCAAGGAACTGTCCATCTTCACTCAAGGCAATCGCCCAGATCTCTCCAGCTTTATTACCATCCACAATCTTTCCCTCTTCTACCCATTCTGAGGCTTCAGATATGCTCCATACTTTAACTTCGCCACCAAAGCCTGCTGTTGCTGCGATGCGACCGTTTCGGGAAGTGACAATATGGTGGCAACCAAGTTTGTGAGCGCCTTGGATCGTTTGTTCCAAGGGTATCTCGGGAGAGGTTGTAGAATGTACTTTTATACACGACGCGCCAGAGACGGAAAGAACCTGCGTCGGCGTGGTGGCGATAGAAAAGATGTCGGTGATATGTGCTTGTTTTCGTCAGCTAAATGGATGTGATGGAGGGGTAGCTCGAAGCTTACCATCGTCTACCGTATGTGTCGTAAGGTATTGTTTAGACTACTGTTATTAGTATGTATTCATTGTACCAATAGAGAGATCATATACCATTGTCACCTAAGCATTTGAAGTGGTTGATTGACGTATGTTAGACTGTGAGGAAAGCTGATTGAATTTTGGTGGGGTGAAAGTTGGCGCGAGGATTTCACGACCAAAATCGCAGCGCCGAAATATATTTCAGACGCAGCCCTCAAAGCTCAACGACTCTCCGTCAGAGCCGATAAGAAGTCAAGTCAAATGGAGTAAGTAAACATTGAAATTTACAGGCGGCTAACATTGTACATCTAAAATATTACATGACCTTCCAAACGCCGTAATGATGCAATGCCTTTTTTTTACAAATATGCAAAGCAAAAGTGCACACCCTATATTATTCCCTTCATCGTACCGTTTTACCTTCTTGGTCTACATCTGGCAATTTCTGAGCATCTGTTGCGGCCGCCTCGTCTGCCACCGCTGCTGGCTCTTCTGGGGTTTCTTCTATAGCATTTGCCTTCGCCTCTGCTTTGATACCCTTTCTGAAATTCTCGGCCTCTTTCGTCAACGTATCAAAAGTTTTCTGCACTGTCTCCTTCCCTTTGAAAAAATCGCGCACCTCTACTACAGATCAGTGAATATTCTGCGAGGGTTGATGGATATGCTGACCCTGGACACAAAATGGGCATAACAGATGCGCTCTTTTAACATTTCCACACACAGAGCATTTGTTGAGTGCTTCAACGTCCTTCAATCCCTTTCCAGCCATCCGTCTAGACCTCTGCTTCATATGTGATGTCCTCTTCTTGGGTACTGCTTTCAATATCGATTCCCATATTCCCTCAATCATGCCCGGAACATTCAATTGAATTGCCGCTGGAATAGCGAATCCGAAGGAGGGCAGAAGTGGGTGTGACAACTGTCGCGATAATAGCGTTGTGTATCTTGAGCTGCTGGATGCTGTTGGCGCAGATAATCGTGGGAGGAAGGAGGAGAGTATTGACCGCGTGGAAACGTGAGCCGCAGCCATGCTGGCGATTTGAGTATCCAGATGAGATGACTGTCGTCGTATGAATTGATTGAGGTACCAGCAGTTCTATGCTGATTGAGTTCGGAACTGTGAGTTGAGAGCTGCGAGTTCATGATCCTCAAACTTTCTGCGGCATCTCCATACCCATGCATGTGCTAGGCCCGATAGGGCTTAGCTCGGGTGTGGTCGCGTTCGCAAAAGGGGAAGCAACGAAATTGTGGAGGAACCCCTTCTGAATTTCGACAATCTCTCTACCTCTCGACCACACTCTCAACACAACTTCACACTTTGATTTTTTGAGCAGTGTAACTAATTCTTTCCGAGACTTTTGCAATATACATGGCATCCATGGATCGACACGCCCCCCAACAATCGGTGTATCCTCGAAGCCACGTCGGTTTTGATAGTATCACAACGCAAATTGAGCGCAAGCTCTTGAAGCGCGGATTCCAATTTAACGTGATCTGTGTTGGTAAGTAGGGCTGCGGACTTCTGCGATCTAATTGTTCTTCAGCTACTGACTTTTGCGCTTTAGGACAAACTGGTCTTGGAAAATCGACCCTCATCAATACCATCTTCGCATCGCACCTGATCGACTCGAAGGGTAGACTTGCTCCAGATGAGCCAGTCCGATCTACGACCGAAATCCAAACTGTGTCTCATGTGATCGAAGAAAATGGAGTTCGTCTAAGGTTGAACATTGTCGACACCCCTGGTTATGGAGACCAAGTCAACAATGATAGATGTTGGGATCCAATTGTCAAGTACATCAAGGACCAGCACTCAGCGTACCTACGAAAAGAGCTTACCGCTCAGCGTGAGAGATATATTCAGGATACCAGAATTCACTGCTGTTTGTTTTTCATACAGCCATCAGGACATGCGCTAAAGCCTATTGATATCGTTGTTTTGAAGAAGCTTTCAGATGTTGTCAATGTCGTCCCAGTCATTGCCAAGTCCGATTCGTTGACTCTCGAGGAAAGAAGCGCTTTCAAGGAGCGTATAAAGGAGGAGTTTGCGTTCCACAACCTGAAGATGTTCCCGTACGACAACGATGAGTTTGACGAGGAGGAGCGGGCTTTAAATGCTCAGATCAAGGTAATTCCAAACACAATGGTCGCACATGATTTCGTTGCTAATTCGATGCTCAGAACATTATTCCATTCGCTGTCGTTGGATCAGAAAAGTCAATCATCGTTGGTGGAAAACAAGTTCGTGGGCGACAAAACAGATGGGGGGTTATTAATGTCGAGGACGAGAACCACTGCGAATTCGTCTACCTCCGAAACTTCCTTACACGCACCCATCTCCAAGATCTTATCGAGACGACATCTCAAATTCATTACGAGACATTCCGTGCTAAGCAATTGCTTGCGCTGAAGGAGAGTAGTGCTGCTGGACACAACGCCGGTAGCCGACCGATTTCACCATCAGCTGATCGGGAGCTAAGCAGAAACTCTCAAAGAAATACCATGAACGGCTATTAAGGAGTTTTTGTTTAATCCGGGGTACGGGAAGGAGTTGTATTTTGACGGCGAAGCGTATCCATCTGTGTAAAAGCGTCGTCATTGGTATTGATTTCCTTGAGCAGGTCAAAGGAAAGAGTGTTTTTAATGGTTACTTGTGGATTGCAACCCGGACTACTTTACTTTTTATTGTCTTTACGCGGATTCTCCCCAATTATTTTCTTTGCTTAATTAGCCTTTCTCATAATGTTTGAGGGATTCATTTCACGAGTAGTAAGGTTTCCACAAAACCGGGTTATGACAGGATGTAGAACGAGAGCGATGGATTATTGAAAATAGAGCTCTTTCGCTCGGTTCACGAAATTGGTTTCTCTGCTTTGCTTATGAGGTTATGTGAGATCTCATCGCCAGTGTAATATCACATGTGGACATCAATCGAGCATCATCGCTGTTTGCTCAGCCTACAATATCCGCAAGCTTCGCTTAGAGAGGAATTGATGAGTCCGAATACATAACGAGTATGAATATTTTGCAACCTCCCTTAGATGACTGAACCTCCACAGTTCATGATAGTTTTGAAGATGTGGTATTTTACTTTTACTTTGCCAATAGGTACATAACGCTGTACATCTAAGTCTATGTAGATCCTCAAGAACCATACTCGGAATCCGAGATCATATGAAAGTCTCCCATTTGCATGCACAAAACAGACTCCCACACTCTCCTCTCAAGGTATTCAACACCAAGCACTCCCTCTCTCCCTCCCTCCTCAATCCAACACACTCTCCCCCGCCTTCCCCCCATCCCTCGCATCCTGCTCCTGCGTCTTCTGCCCCCGCCCAAAAATAAAATCCTCCATCTCCTTATACGCTGCCTCCAAATCATCATTCACAATCACAATATCATGCACGCCCTCCGTCTTCGAATACTCAATCTCGTTCTTCGCCTGCGCAAGCCGCTTCTGAATCGACTCTTCCTTCTCGGTGCCACGGCCACGAAGGCGTTTCTCGAGCGTCTCGAGCGCGGGCGAGGGCGGCGAGATGAAGATGTAGCGTGCTGAGAGGGGGGAGGCGTGGATTTGTTTTACGCCCTAATTCAGAAGTCAAGTTAGTTTAGAAGGGGAATTACGGAGGGGGGGAAGACGAACCTCCATCTCAATATCCAACACCACCACCCTCCCCTTCCCCTGCATCTCCTCAATCATCTTCCGACTGGTCCCATACCGGTTCCCGCCAAACTTCGCATGTTCCACGAACCCGCCCTCCTCGATCATCTTCTCGAACGTCGCCATGTCGGTATAGTAGTAGTCCACATCGCGCGTCTCCCCCGGCCGTGGATCGCGCGTGGTATGGGAGATGCTGGTACAGAAGACGGAGGGATGGCGCTCGAGGAGCAGTTTGTATAATGTGCCTTTTCCGACGCCTGAGGGCCCGGATATGATTATGGGGTTTGTTGTTGGGGGGACTGGAGGGTGTTAGTATGGAGCTTGGAACTGAAGGGGGTAGGGCAATTGGGGGGCTTACGGGGTGCCATTGTGGTTCTGGTGGTGTGTAGTGATCTTGTAAATTTTGAGGTCTTATTTTGTCGGAAGACTAGTATGCGTGCTGTTCGAAGGAGGAACAGCATGCGTTTTGTTGTGGTTGGCTGTGTGGAGCTTGTTGTTTTTAGAGAGTGGAGTTTGGGGTAGCTTGGTGGGGGAGATGGTTTTCGAGGTTCGAGACTCGAGAGAGCTTGAGCCAAGTGTCAACCACTAAATAATTTCACCACGTTTTCACTTCTAGGACTGGGAAGGAAGGGATGTTTTAACTTTTAGATCTATATAAACTTGCTATTATTGACATCAAGAAAGCACATGTAAGCCATTATATTCACTGGTTCTCCTTAAACTCCTTCCATTTCTCATGATGAGTGGGTATTGCAACCATATGAAAGATTCCGAAACTCCATTTACTCCTCATTAGGTAGATGTCTCAATTATCGACTTGCAACAACGCCTATTTCAACAAGCTTTCCACATCTAGAATCGGGTCATGTTAGAGACCTCGCTGTAGACTGAAGATCTCGAACGGGCGAGACCATATGCGGGTTGAGGAGGAGCGAGCGCTGGGTGAAGAGCAGTATCTGGTCGCTTTACATCTGGGACAATTGGAGAGCTGCGATCATCCCACTGCGAGACGTGTTCGCTGGTTGGCATTGGCTTGCCAATTCCAGACATGCGGATGGGGAACTTGAGGCCAAATCTAGATCTGCGACGATCTTCTGGAGATGTGGGTGCCTGGTAACTTGGAAGAATGGTGTTTTCCTTGCTCATGCTTGCGCTGCGAGAAAAGCTGTAAGAGTTTCGAGGTGAGTCGTTGTTCTTTGGGGCTGCTGTTGCTCCATTTTCACGGACCATACGACCAGTGATGCCCAGCTTGATGTTGGAGAAGATGAATGTTGTAATGATGTTGGCGAGTCCGATAAGGGAGGAGAGAACGCCAGCAGCGATGACAATTCGCCAGAGAGCAAGACCGAGATTTTCGACAGAGGTGGCTTGCTTATTGAGGTTTCCAAGAGTGTTGAATCCTAAGATGACCATGGCGAGACCAAGAGGAACAAAGCCAGCCTGTTCACTGAAGTTTGGCCAGTTCTTAGCATAATAGCGTTTGAAGAGATTGCACTCCGAAACGATGAGGAAGACGGCGACGACGCTCGTAATGAAGTGGGAAGATCCATCGAAGAAGAAGAATTTTGAGGTCTTCAGAGTCATGACAAGCATGACCCAGCTGGCAACTGCGACCAACGTCAAGGCGATTATGTTTAGAACTCGTATTATGTTGAAAGTGATGTAGCCGGGGCCCATTATCTTGCTATCGGAGCTTTTCCCGAACATGTTGACGGTAGGGTATGAAGTAAGTTGGGAAAGAGTTTCTGCTCAAGAGATAAGTTTTTGGACAGGAGATGTAGTTGCTTGAAGGACTCACAGTTGGTAAATGATTGTAAGGTTGTCTGAAGATTACTGCCGGCAGTAGAATGAGAATGATTGTATTTGAAAAGAAGTTGTAAGTAGTGTGTAGATTCGAGGAAGGAAAATAAAGAAAGATTCAAGTTAGAGGGGCAAAAACATTAATATATGAAAAGGAAACTATTGAGGAGTCAACCTCATTGTAGTTGGGCGACAATGAGTAGAGAGGATCGTTTGTCGTGGGATTGACAATAAGAAGGACAATGGGAGCGAGATATGTGAATGGGGGTAAAGGTGAATAAGAAAGAAAAGCCCGAGACGATCATAGCACGAAAGGACCCGTTCGAGGCCAGTGGGGCATGCTATTTCTGACTCTTCTTGACTCTTTGTGGGGATATAGGGCGAAATTATCCGTTCCATGTGTTGGCGCGACTTTCTTTGAGGTCGTGCGAGATGGATATCCAATGGAGTTGGAGCGCGAGAAGACTTCTTTGACCACCACTGCCAGCCTATGGGAGTCAGTACGTAGCAAAGTCCTTGTTCTCCTGAATTTCCGGCCATTGACTGGATGATGCCTCTAATAGAATTTCGTCCTCTCTGTAGAAGCCTCATATCTGCCAAGCGACAACAGATCTCGAAACATCAAGCGAGGAAGTTGGCGCTCTTCCTCCAGTTCGCGAAAAGCAAGATCCACGATCCAGTCCATTTGGGCCATCCGTTCTAGCCAATTATGCTTGTAGCCAGGCGGTTGCATTGCTTGTCTCCATGCTGCGGGCCATGAGGTCTGCTGTGCGTTTCGATCGTGGACGAGTCGCGGTCTCGATTGGACGAGGCTTAATTTTGGAAGCGTGTTTCAACTTCATCTGTTCTCAGACTTTGAGTGGTTGAAACATCACCATCTCACTGTCCACTAAGAGCTACCAACATAGCGCATCGGGGAATTTCCTAGATATCGTCTAGTAATTTTAATCAAGACTTAGCCATGATTCGAAAACAATTGCGTTCCTGGCGTTCCTGTAAAGGAGATTAAGTTGAAATGAAAATATAGAGAGAGGGATTGTAATGTAGAAGAGGAAAGTTTGGGGGCCAATGCCCTCACGTGCTCGGCTCGTCCCGAACTTTTTCTATTTCGAGCATCTCCCCGTCGGAATCATTAAAATCTCCAACTGTGAATGTTGCCACGAGTACCAATTACCTGCGACTCACCAACCGTAAGCCATTCACCATGACGAGAGGGAATCAGAGAGACAAGGCCCGTGAAAAGGCCGCCGCGAAGCTAGCAGGACTGGTATGTTAGAACTCACCGAATAACTCCAACCAACGATCCGAATTGGCCAGCTGACATGATTCCGCAATCCAGAAATCAGGCAACTCAAAGTCCGGCTCAGAAATGCAACGCGATAAAGAAAATGTCGCTGCGAAAATGCGAGAGAAGCAGGCGGCTGGTAGGTCGATCAATCACCCTATCTTTGCAAACAAAAGTACTAACAGTTTTTGTCTCAGCCGACGCAAGGAAAGCCGCTGAAGGCGTAGGTGGTGGGAAGAAATAACGGACAGCAACCACGAATCACGATACGCAATAAATGAGAATCAGATACTAGACTAGAGGATTGCGACACGAATAAGCACGATGCTCAAGAGATGAGGATGGGATGCTATGAACGAGGCGGATGTCTACACGGAGTTCAGGAGATGGGATTGATTGCGCTTTTCTTGTCCCGCATTAGAGCCCGGTGTTGATAGGAGAAATGTCCCTATATATCATGTCTATGAGAATATCTTGGCCCTAACATGCCTTCAGCTCTTGCAGTTTTAGTTGTGCATTTATCGTATTTTGGCCAGGTGTCTTCTTAGCTTTTTGCATAGATCCAAAATCGACCCCTAGAGGTACAAGCAGGATTAATTCCGCAATCTGGAGTTTCACCTAATGCGAAGAACCTCTTAGTTGATTGAAGTTGCAGGTTTGCTTGATAAGTTGTTTGCGGAATGATTTTCCTTGGTATCGTTCTGCTAGCTTTCGAATCGTAGTGCTTTTTAGATGATGAGGAGGAGGAAGGCCTTCTGGTACGAGTTAAAGAAAATACTTTACCATTATTCTAAACCAATTAAAACTTAAGTATCCAGTCATATACCAGGAATCCTCCTAATACGCGTTTGGGGCAAAGTTTCCTTTGTTTGTATCTTCAAAAATAATATAGTATCATCCCAAGTGCGAGACTTAAGTACAATCTGCATGAGTGTAGAAACTGTCAAATGCTAGCTGACATTCCATCACAATACTGCAGAATTCATCTCCAATGTTGAATGCTCATAGGCAATGGAGATATTTCACCCCAAACGACGATAGCATGGGAACTATCAGTCGGTCCTCAGTTTCTGCGTAGAAGATCGATGGTATTGCTTTACTAATCGATATCCATATTAATGCTTATTGGGTATTCCAGAGAACGATGGCATTTCAGAGCTTACGAGTCACACAAGTATAAAACCCGTCGGTTTTTACCCCCCTCCGTATTAATGTTAATTGTCTTCTCGGTATGGTGTTGAGTTCAAAAATCTACACCAGGAAGTCTGCATCAGGAAGTCTGCTAATTCGTGAGAAGCCTTTTGGGTAACCATAATAGAAAGTCAGGTATTCTGAAACGAAAATGCGAATCTGTAATAAGGACTTTGGTTCAAATCACACCATTGCATAGCAGCACATATGCAAGATCACCAATTGACGGCGCAGAATAGTTTTCTATGGCTGTTTACTAGTTTATGCTGAGTACACACGGTTGATGGAGTAGTCAATTATTGTTACATCAGTTGTTTCTGAAAGCTGTCCAAGGAAAAAGGTGAGCTTGTACGTTCTGCTCAGTTAATAACATGTGATTGTTTTCCGCACAAGGAGAGACGCATGAATTGTTAGTCTTGTGAGGTATATATGGTTTTTGGAATGCTTCGGATTTTGTAACTGTAGATCTATTTGTGGCTAACAGCAGTGGGAAAGAATGGTGTAGGGGCTGTTGATAGCGGAATGAAGATATGCCAAGAAAGAAAGTTCATCTTCCCATGAGCATAAAGATCACCTAAGACTCACTCAATTAACACAAGCCACGAAATCACATTCTCAAACCAAAAGACGAATAAGATACAACAAGTATCATTTTTTCTATATCCCTTACACACACATTATTAAAAGATAAAAAACCACAAACAAGAAAAAAAACGCAAGAATGTTCCAATCCATTTCTCAAAAATGTCGGAGACCTAAAAACTATATATACCAATAATATGTGGGTTGGATATCATCATCACATGTAAAGAAAAACAATTGTATATTAAACGCCATGTGGAAGGTTTTTCTCTAATGCTCTCTTTGGGTTGCTCTTCTGGGGGGGCGGAGACCGTGTCGTTAAAAGAATATAAAGGCCATCAGAAGATGGGGAGTCTATTTTTCGAGCATGGCCATTGGCATAGCACCTGGGAGAGTTGTATTAGTTTCTTGTTATTTTGGATTCGGGGGGTGGAGAGTAGCTTACCTGACATACCACCAAAGCTGTTGATGCCTTGTGCAGCAGTTGGGAAGGAGGAGACACCGCAAAGGCATGCGCAGGAGCAGGATCCACCTTGCATGGTGCCAACTGATGGGACCATGGCACCAGCGGCAGGAGGAGCGGCTGGGGGTGCGGCGGCTGGGGGTGCGGCGGCAGCTGGTGGTGGTGGTGCGGCGGATGCACTGGCAGCTGGAGGAGCGGCAGCTCCACCTTGAATTGGTGCAAGAGTTCCGGTACCGTTCTGGGCAACTGCCATCTGTTGGAACATGGCATGGCTCTTCTCAGCGGTTGGGTTGATGGAGAAGGTCATTCCCTTTCCACAGTGGGCCTTTTGTCTGCAGTAGAACCCTGGATATGTTAGTGATATTCTGTGTATTAGAAGTAGATTACTTACAGATTGGGGTTGCAACAGTAACCTGCATGGCCATCTGTGGTGCTGGGAGCATGGTGTTGTTTGGGTTTGGCATGAATCCAGAATCCATTCCTTCTGGGAGCTTGACGCAGGGCTCGGTGAAAGCGGACTGGGTGACAGTGTGGTTGGCGTTCATGAAGGTGAAGATAACCATATCCCCGACTGCAGCTTGGATAGATTCTGGTACGTAGACGAGACCGGCGGAACCACCAACAACGACCTATTTAATTGTCAATAATATGCTCTTTAGAATGACTTGTAGGGAACTTACGCTGTGTGTAGCAGCGGCCGCTGGTGGAGGTGCTACTGAACTAGCATGTTGCATTGTGGAAGTTGTAGCACCACCTCCATTGTTGACCCAAATAATGATAACCTGAGTAACAGTCGTTGATGATGATCCGGCGTGGATAACTTCTCCAGGTTTTGCCTCCGCTGGTTTTGGTGCCTCGTGGATAACCTCCTTCGCTCCCTCCTTAGGGGATGCTTCAGGCTTTGGCGCCTCAGCCTTTGGTGCCTCGACTTTTGGTGCTTCGACCTTTGGTGCCTCGACCTTCTCTCCCATATGGTCCGTTCTTCTCAAGACAGTATCTTGGATCGAGCCAGCCAACGCCAAAGGCGCGACGCAAAGAGCAAGTGCGGTGGAGAAACGCATGATGATGATTGGTATATTAGTATAGTCGACTTTAAGTAATCGGATTGGTGCGTAAAGAACAAATAAGCCGCGCTGCGGAATGTATTAAACTATCAAAGTTGTCTGGCTCGTTATAGATCGTTAAAGATTGTAATAGTTGCCGAATGCGAGGCCGTGCTCGAAGTGTGGATAGTGAAATAGAGAAAGGAATACAATGAATGTGTTTACAGCAAAGCAAGACGGGATGGAGAGGAAGAGAAAAGAGACAATCCGGCCTGGGAGGTCGAGATATTAAATCGAGCATGAAATGAGAGCGGACAGGTGCCATTCATGGGATGGGCCTGGGCAAGACCTACAGATGCGTCTCCGCTGCAGGGCGTACAGGCCCCAGGGTGCTTGGTCGAAACGGGGAGCTTGCTGGACGGTACAAGAAAATCACCACCAAAGGTCGGAGAGATCCCCCTCCGGACAAGTAGCTAAGCTTTTGCGAGTGGGCAAACGGCATTTAGAGCCATGTGGTTGGGTGGAAAGGGGCTGGAGGACTTCTCGCTTACGGGTCTGGTGTTTGTCGTTGCAACTGCGTTCCGGTGGAAAGAAGAAGTTGAAGATTTGAGCCGCAACCCCCTGGCGGTACCTTGCAGATTCCTCCGAAAGCCCCTTCTTGCCCCTGATGCGGTTTAGACCAAGATCAAAAGGATGTTTGCCGATGCTTGTCAGGAGGGGCTCGTCCGCGCTCACAGTCCGATTAGGTTGGATGAAGTTGCAATGAAGCGTGGCGATTAGCAAGCGAGCCTGTGCACAGCACCACCAACGGCGCCTGCACAGGGTTAAGCGAGTTACTCCAGACACCTTGTGTTTGAGACCGTGTGCCATCGCCGTCTCAAGATCGGATCATGTCATAGCCCACGTCTCACGAACCAAAGAATCGTTCGACCAGACGACAGACAGGAAGAATTAGTTTCCTCCCTTCCGCGCCGTTATCTTCAGATGGCATGCGTGAAGCTTGGGATAGCCGGTCACTTCTGATGGTGAAGATGGAAGCAGGAAAGCAGTTGAACCGCTGCCGTCAACGCCTGTCATTTCGGCCAAAGAACCTGTAGGGGCACACGGTGTCAGAGCAACGGTCCGAACGCCGTCTTGGATGCGAGAGTTGAGAATAAGAGTTCAACTAAGGTTGGCGTTTTTGACCTTCCTCAATTGATCACAAGATCCTGATGGATCATGAAAACGTTGTATAGGGTAATCGCTTCATTCTGCTACTGCTTCTGATATGTTTCCTCGGTGTTCTGCAATCTGCAGCACATGCAGGAGAGAGGCAGCCGTTGGCCAAACCATCTGCTGTGGAGGCGGCTTCCTCGAGATCCTTCGTGAAACGGATGCGGCGTCTCGTTGCTCGACCGGAAACCTTTTGACTCAACCTCTTCCAAGACTTCCCAAGACGAGAATTCCTCGCTGTCATGGTAACACCTAAAAATGCCGCTAGAGCTTGGACACCATAGTTCAGAATGATATTATCGGACGGTTCAACCTTTCTTCGGTGCAAAGACCATTCTCAAGCTTTCCTGTTTACAGTTCCTGAGCATTGAATGAAACTAACCCGTTCCATCTCATATTTTATGCTTGGCATCATTTTGAGACCGTTTGCTGTTGCTGTCCCTCATAGAGCCCCGTATAGTATCTGCGAAAACGTTAGTAGGGCGCCCTGGTGAGTTCCAAAATAGAAAGAACTTCCCCAGCATAATACCATGACATCAGGAGATTCTTCAAGCCGTCGTCGTTAACTGCATGAAAAGACCCACGCGTCAGTAAATCTCCATGAACATCTCGATACCGGATGTCTGTCTCACCTTGGCCGATGAGATGATGGGGCAGTGCTGGAGGTTTTGTACTTCGGTGATCTGCAATTTGATTGGAACTTGAAGAAGTCTCGTTTGCCTATAAGTCCATATTTGTCAGTCATAGAACGACCGCTGGGACGAAGATTGTTTCAAATGCCAAGACTTTTCGATCTTCGTGCCTATTTGATCCGCATATTCAATAATTCGACTGTGCTCACCTGAGGGGCCGTGCTAGGTTTTGTGTCACTACTCTGATCTGCTGTTGATGCTTCTTCGAGTTGATCTTGGCCTAGCTTCTTTTCGAGTATTTGATTGTGACTTGTCTGGCTCGCACTGCTCAGTAAACATGAGTCTTGGGAATGGTCTTTCGGTATATCATTTATGGAGCTTGCGAACATTGTCTCGTTGTGCAGTTCATGTCCTTCGATCAATTCATCCACATCTTCTCCCAGTGCTTGAATAGAATGGTAGCGCTATCTCAGATCAGCTTATAGGGTCTTCGAATTGGAGTTAGGTGAAGGATGCAGTACCTTATACTCTTCTACAGCGTCATTCCACGAATTTACAAGCATAGAGTCATCCCAGACTTCCGCATGCGAGGCTTGATTATTGGAGGCCATATTAATTGTCGTTGCGGTACTTTTTGAGTTGGACTTTTCCAACGACATGGCAACGGGTGGGTAGAAATCGGCGAAACCAAATCACGTGCGGCACCGACTACTATTTATTCACTGAATTTAGGAAGTCAGAATAACTTCATCGAATGTTGGCTTATTTCATATCTGTTTTATGTTCGTTTTCTACATTAACAATTACTTCGCAGATCACTTGTAAGAAGACAAATCGGTGTACACGAAATGGTGACAATCCAATTGTGTGTGTAATACATCACCAGTTTTGATTGACACCCACTAGTTGTCAAAACAATAATCATAGGTTCAAACTTCGAGTTATTGAGTTAGGAAAAGGGCCCAATGAAAGAGGGTGTAGAGAATGACTTTAACAGTCATCCTTCGACAGGTCTAGATGTGATGATAAATTTCATATGCCGATATGCACCAAAATCTTTTTTTTGGATAAAGAGTCTGTCCCTTCTTCCAGGCAATCAAAGACTTTAAGCCGTGCAAAAAACATATATATCCTAGATACTCTTAGAAAGAGGAGTTTTGGAAGAACCTACTTCTCCAAGAGAATAGAAAGCCATCATTACTCACCGCCCTGACGGCAGAAATTTTCTACCCCAAAAAAAGTTCCCTCGAGAAAGCGAGAAACGGGTCTAGATTAGAAAACCATTCCAGCACCAGACACAATGGCTAAAGAAATCGAGACGAAGAAGCGCAAAGGTATGCCTCCCAAAGCAATTACTTCTCCGAAGTTTTCAACTGACATATCAATTCAACAGCTTCCGTACCAGAAAGCGGGGCAGAGAAACTAAAGGTTAAGAAGGTTAAGAAGATCGTCGAGCCTGTCGAGCCTGTCGAGCCTACTCCTGTTGCAGTCAAGAAGCGCAAAGGTAATTGAGCTTCAATTTTGCGCTCCATGCCTTTGGCAAAAGCTAACATTGTCATTAGCAGCAGTTGAGAGCGCCGATGTTCCTGAGGTCAAAAAGTCGAAGAAGGTTGCCAAATCAACTCCAGCGCCAGAAAAAATCACCACGAAAAAAGTCACCAAAACTGTCACACCCGTCGAAGCCACAGACGTCGAATCGCTACCCAAGAAAGTAACCAAAAAGGTTACTCGCGTCACCAAGACAGTGATCGAGCCGGAGCAAGAAGGCGAAGCTGAAGATGCTGGAGGAGACGAAGAAGATTCCGAGGTAGACGACCAAACACAGGCCCTACTTAAAGGATTCGAAAGCGAAGACGAAGGCGAAGATGAGTCGAGTGGTGAGGGTTTAGAAGAAGGCGCACCCGTACCCGAGATCAAGGTTACCAAGGCGCAAAAGAAAGCCCTTAAGAAAGCAAATGAAGAGGCAAAGGGCGACAAGCCAGGTGTTGTCTATGTCGGTCGCGTACCTCATGGTTTCTATGAACACGAAATGAGAGAGTATTTCGGACAATTTGGTACTATCCTGAAGCTTCGTCTCTCGCGAAACAAGGCGACCGGGGCAAGCAAACACTACGCTTTTATTCAATTTGCATCGTCCGTGGTTGCTGAAATTGTGGCTAAGACTATGGACAACTATCTGATGTTCAATCATATCATGAAGGTCAAATTAGTGGCTGAGGAAGCAGTACCAGCAGATCTCTGGAAAGGTGCAGGAACCCGATTCAAAAAAATCCCGAGAAATAGAATCGAAGGCAGAAAACTCAAGCTACCTGCGACCGAACAAATGTGGGACGAGCGGGCAGAGAAGCTGCAAGCTAAGAGAGCTGCAAAGGCTACCAAGCTCAAGGAGATTGGCTATGAGTTCGAGCTACCAGAAATTAAATCTGCGAAGGGTCTTGCGAAAAAGAGTGAAGCTCCAGCTGCGATCGAGGCACCAGAGACCGAGACAAAAGCTATTGAGGATGCGCCAGCCGCCACAGAACCAACAGAGGCTATCGAAGACGTTCCAGCAGCCGCGAAATCAAAAAAGTCCAAAAAGAAAGGAAAGGCTGCGACGACCGAGGCTGAATCCGAAGAGACTCCTGCGATAGCGGCAGAGACAACGGTCGCAAAGAAAGCTTCCAAATCCAAGAAGACAAAGGAGCCTGAGCCTGAGATCGTAGAGGAGGTCAAGACCGTTACAGAGGTTACAGAAGTTACAGTTGAAAAGGTCAAAAAGCCAAGAAAGGCGAAAAAGACTGCTTGAGGCCGGCAATGAAAATAATGATGCGCAGGAGTTTAGGTCTTCTGGCGAATTGCCAGATAATCTTGTTGGGCTATATCTGTCGTTGCAATTAAAAGATTTTGTAAATAGAGGAATACATGTCAACTTGTATGTGTACAACTTTGTCTCGAGGGTAAGTAGGAACGCTCTTTCTCTTTCAATTCATCTCATTTGTTCAGTATAAGGTTTCTGTTTGTCATTTGAGGAGATCTTACACAAAACTGGACAATACTTACAGTTGCCGAACCTCCTTCAAATCCACACTTTCAAACGTAACTTGATTCCATCGGACATCCGCTTTCGGTCTTCTAAAGCTTCTCTAGAGACCATGGCTATTTAGACATCCCTTCTAGTACTTAAATCTTGTCCCCTGGGTAACAGCAAAGTCTCTTCGATACTATCTTCCTTACGGATTGGTTCGAGGAGAAACATCCATATTCTAGATCCAATCTTATATACTTGTTCACATTCTAAAATCGTCCAGCGCCGACACAATTGAGATATGAGAGTAAATTGACTTTCAAGTGGGAGATGAAGAATGTGCACTTGAGTGGTAAGTGTGAGCATTGTTAGCAAGAACATCACTCAGCTATTCTCCTTAACATGACGGTGGCTTCACGTTAAGGGTAGATGATCTGTTCTAAGTGATTAAGGAGTTCAAAATTAAGACGGTATGTTGATTTCTGGCTGGGTTCAAATATTCGATTTACTGGGTGCTCAGTGTATTGCAGATTCGATGATATCGGCGCGGAGTCCTCAATATTTATAGCCAATTTAGAATGGATGTACGACCAGTCCAGGGCTCTTCACAGCATCACGTTGAAACTCCGGATCACTCCACAAAGTACACGTATACTCCGCATTATGTCGTGAGCAGCCCATCGCCATAAACACCTCCGGCTGTTGCTTCGCAAACCTCGACGGCATACCATCCAACTCAAGCTCAACCCAAACATTCACCTTCGTAAAGTTGTACCCCGCAAAGAAATGCCTCGATCGACCAGTGCTGCTCGAGAACACGTCTAGCAGATACTTTGTCCGGTTTACAACCGGTCGAGGGCTGTCCCGTGGGACTTTGCAGTATCCGAAATTACTGGAGTTGTCACCGCACCAGTTGAGGAAGGCGTCGACGATTGCTTCTGAAGTGTTTCTGGCCTCGCCAGCTGGAAAACTTCCGTCAATACGATGTAGGGTGTGGAAAGGACAGCAGTGTACAGGATCGGGTAGGCGAACTGGACCTTGAGCTGGCGCGTGTATGAAGGATCCTACCACTGGTGGTGCTGGTTCCTGTGACGACGTTGGTTGAGGACCTAGCAGTTCTGTTCCGTAGTCCTGAGCGAATTGTTGGATTTGGGCTTTTAACTCACGCTCGTCTGCGTGAGACATTTCCAACTCCCCTACCAGGAAGCCGATTTGATAGAATTGGACTTTGGGCCTGTTGTAGACGTCGCATGAGGCCGATACGTCGTTGCGTTTGACAGCGGCGAATTTGATGGCGTCGGAGCTGTAGGAGGATGCGAAATCCTCAAAGATTTTCTGCGTATTGACACTTTTTCGGGAGTAGTTGTCGAAGAATCCGACGACTAAAAGATCACAGGAAGACATGAGGTCTCGCCAGTGTCTCATGGATTTAACGAATACTGCCATTTTGCTGGATTTTGGAGTCAATAACACTCGTTAAAACCTGTAAAGAGATAAGTGTGGATGTAGACAAGACTTCGGATTGTGTACACACACAATTATGGGTTCAATTTTAGTCTGTTTTGGAAATGGCTACTGTACTCCTGTTCTCCTCTGCTAGAATGCTAGAGTTCGGTGGTGCAAAGAAAGAAGGCAAACCATGTGACTTGAACAGAACTACAAGTACCTTAGTAGCATTGGGACCATTTATCCAGGCTGAATTCAAGTATACCACTAGGCGGGTTTTCTTACTGTATCAGCCCTCGCTGGTGCCGAAGACATACTCTTCGAGCCCGACAGAATTTGGTTTGACTTAACCGAATCTTTGTCCATCTAACTGTTGCTACTTCTTTTTTGTCGTTGGATCTTTGTTTGAAAACCACGTGTTGATGCTCTTTATTGTTTCTCAAAGAAAATGGAAAGTTTCGGAGCGTAAGTGGATGCCAATATATTGTGTCGAGGAAATTTCATATGCAAACGCTATGCCAGATTTTCTTGGCATAGGTGAAATTCCCTAACCATCACCTAGGGTTGTGTAGATAGAGCTATATATTGTTTCGATAGCAAGATTACCAGGAGGATTGACGGATAGAGTTAGCCTTTACCGTATGAGTGTAATTTCCTTTCTGGTAGTTCTTTGTTCTATATAATTAGCGGATGGTCCGACCGCTCAACATATTATAGATTGGTAAGTGGTGATATCTAGTATCTTGTGGTACATGTGAATTACAGATGTATTGAGACAGTGAGTGAGATTTCTGTTTTTGGACTAGGCACAATTTGGAGCTTACAAAATTTTGGAAAACTGAAATTGTGCATTATGGCGCCTATGAATGGTACATTAGAACCGAATTAGCAGTTAGTTGTACTGGAAACTAGAGAACTGTGATCCCCTACTCAACAACATATTAATCCACATGAACCTAGAAGCAGCAAGACGAGCGACTGCAGATGCCATCCCAAAAGACATCTCGGCCAACCTTCATTTCCTCCAACATAGAATCACCCTTCAATCTCGCCCACTCCCACAAAGCTTTGTCATAAACAGTTCTATCTTTCAACATTTCACGATCATACCACAACTCAACCCAGTATCGGACTCTATGATCCACACAAGCAAACGCTTCTCTGGCTGGCCATTTATTGAATCTCGAAGGCACGATTCCCCGAGGAAGTGAGAGCTCAATTATTGACCTTTTCATGCCGTCGGGTGAACGTTCGGAAAAGAAGAACCGATAAGTGTCTGAGTTGTTTGTCGGATCAGCACTGGGCATGGCGCGTACACTCATGATGTATGGTGCCGTGCGCAAGAGTTCTTTGTTGATGGCATCACTTTCAGGTACCCGCATCGAAATGAACTTGGATGTTACTCCTTTAGTCCAGTATTTGATTGCCCAGTCAGCAACGGATACGGTACCGGTAATACGGGTGGACCAGGTTGTCAGCGAAGATCGTCCAAATCCACAATCGCCTGTACAGAAAATAGGTTCGACTTGTGTTGGGTTATCCGGGCTTGAAGTTGGAGGTAATTCGATCTCTTGATGGTCTTCATCTTCCGGCGGGAAGTCTTTCGCTTCCATGATGAAAATTGGAGTGATTTTATCTGGCAAATTTTGAATGCAGATATGAGATGTCGTTCTGTAAAGCTAAGGTCTGACCGACCGATTTTCATCAGACTCGTCGTGAATGTTGACGGCATTTTGGTGGCGAAATGGCAGCAGTGAATCACCATGGCCAAATCTCTGCCACAAAGGGTCTTGTCAGCGCCGTCGATATGGGTTTACAGCTTCCATTCTATACCATAGTTGCTGTGTGAATCATGGAATCGTCAGAAGAAAAAGAATTCTGGATCTTTTTGGATTCCCCGACGTCAAACGAAAACGATTTGTAATAGAAAGCGCTCAAGCTGCAATTATGAAGATGACTACGTTGGGCGAGAAAGGAAACCAGAACTCGATCATAATCTGATTCATAGGATTGACTGCTTTGAAAGTCGCAAGGGAAAGAGATGTTCTACCTCTAACCTTTCCAGATTCAGCATAATAAGATAGTAGTAGGTATGGTTGTACTATATCAACTGAGTTGCACTTACTTCCGTTGAGCATATCCAGTTTTCATTGCAAGTTTGCCTTGTCTTTGACATGCTAGGGGATAATCAACTAGCACATGATAGGTGCATACACTTAAAAGAAAAAAAGGAATTCAGTGCAAGTAGGATTCATGATCGTACTTCCCTTTTAGGAATACTTTTCAAGGACCTGCCTACGTAGAGCCATCGTGATACCTGACGAGTAAGAAAGCAAACAGCATAGCCACCTCAAAACGCATCGGATGTAACAAAAATGTATGTACGAGTACTGAAATATTCGGATAATTTCTTCATGACACTCATGCCATAGGGCTGGTTGCTTGTGATCAAAAGTCTTGGAAATAAAATCTGTAACATTCTGGAACCGATGAAGTCCGGCGCATAAGAGGCAGTGCCGCGCGGGCAAGACATCGCAACATGGTGTGGTTTTGAGGTCTTGTCTGCGAGATGAGTGATGCTTCAATAGAAGCGCGAGTAAAGGAGGGCAATTCAGATCAAAATTTATGTCCAATAATCGGAAGACAGCAATCTCATGCCAAACGGTCAAGAACCACCGAAGCGCTGCGCCCCTCCTCTCGCTCATTGCAAACGAAGCGCAATTACAGAACGGAAAGAAAAAAGTTTCATTGACTGCACACTCAACTTCATCTCGGGGACGTCAAATTGACAAGGAGAATATGAAAATGAGGAATGAATTCATTTTATGATCCTCGATGATATTATTTGACAATGTCCACCCGACGGTGTATCCCTTGCGGTGCAAGCATTGGCGATGCGGACAAAAGATCATGGTCTCCAAACAACAAGCACAGATTTTCAGATGAAACGCGCCAGCAACCATGATCGCTGGGCTTCCAATTAAAAGATCGCCGTTTCCCACTCACCAAGACCGCAACCTGGTCCGGAAGCTGTACGGCAAACAAAAGTTATCCCGGTGCAGGTGGAAAAGTTCTTCAAACTTTGATAGATGAAGATGATGAAGGATCTCGGTGGGACGGATCTCAAGAGAGATGAGAAGTGCAGCCCTTTTTAAGTTTGAGTTCGTACCATCGGATCCTACTCGGGTCGTCATCGGCCAAAGACCGCTGGCTCTCCTGCGGCCAGCCCCTATCGATAGAAACGATAGGCAAACCTCCCTCACTGCCGAAGATGATCGATGCACGTACCCGTAAGCTGGAAGCTGAAAAGAGAATCGTCTTACGACTTGTGGTCCAAACAAACGAATCGGCGAGTAGCGAGGCTCTCTGAGCTTGCCATCTGGCGACCAACATGTGTTGTGGTCTTGAAATGTGGCGGTATCGAGAACAAATCACCACTGCGTGCCGACGAATGCGTTTCAAGATGCCCTCGTCCTAGTAACCTCATTGGGAGCTCTACGCGAGAACGAAAAGTTTTTGATGCCACGGGAGCTGCCATACAATGAGCCGCGAGAACGTTACGTCTCGGGAGGATCCAGTCAATCAAAGAGAGATGTCAAGATCTAGATCGCGAGACGTAAAGGTGTAAAGGCAGGACGAGGCTTCGGCTGAACTTCCACTGCCCTCGTCATGTTTCGAGTATACAAATTTCGTCATTGTGATCTTCGGCGCTCTTTTTCTAACTGTCAGATAAGAGATTAATGTGGCTATTTGAGGGGCACCGCGCGATGATTACCCCAACTACCGCCTGTGTACCGTGATAGTTTTAGCTCTTGACCTGACAAACAAACGGGTTATTGCAGTGTGCGAAGCACATGCGGGGTTTTTTTCTCGTCGAGCTACAGTAGTTGCCGTTGTTAGGAGTCGAATCGCTCTTGGAGAGATACTCGCCAGGTCAGACGCTAATGTTACCTTTCACCGGTCATTAAAGTCGGAAATGAGCCCATGAACAACAAACAAAACATTCGCGGAGTCAACGAAACTCTTCAGATTGTGATGACGGGAGAGGGCCCTAAATTATCGACATCGATACGGATTACTGGGACGACGTTGTCGCTGTTGAGGGCTCACGCCAACGGGAATTATTCGCGGGTTAGCAAATTACGGACAGCCTCCTCTTCAGAAGTTCAATAGATGAAGACCATAGTATACGATGCCCTCCTTTCGGTTGAATTAGGGGGCACTGTAGTTCGAAGGATTGAAAGTTCATTTCATTTTGTGCACGCCCAGCACACGTTTCGAGTCTTACGAATCACAAGCTCTTCAGTCTCCCCCCCTTCTCTAGCGAGCCAACCACTATTCATTAGAGAGAAGTTCTCAGCAACACTTCAAGAGAGAGGCCAATCAACTACCTGAAACAATCTTCAAGCTCAAGGGGCAGCCCCATAAGCGAGCCCCCTAATTAATTCAAAGCGGGGATAGACGAGTTCGCTCGCGCGTCAATTCAGGGGTAACAGCAAACTCCACTGCCACAGCCTCCCACGCACCACCAACGCCAGCCCTTTGCTTCCGTTTGCCTCTCAAAATTGCCATGATCTCTGTACCTGCATATCGGCAAGGGCTCCCTTGAACCTGAGAGCCCCGACCCCCGCTGGGCGCCTGCACGTATCCTGAATTAGTGTCTGGCACCCCTGGCTGCCATAATCCGGGCTTCCCTTTTGACTGACGATTCCGCTCTGATTTCTGTTCCTTCTCTCTCTTTTCCTTCCTCACCACGGTTTCTCCAACCATCACAGTCCTTACAGTCGCTTTTTGCAAACAGTTACCTTCTCATTTCAAACTCCAGTCATTCCTTTAGAGATTACTTGTCTGCGAAATCGACTTTCGCTCATTAACCACCACTGTCCATACCGAGAACCGCAGTCTGCTCGAAAAGATACCCCTATACGAACGTTATAAACGAATCTCGCCTGTACATTTGCATTGGAAGGCTAGCATTGATTGCTTTGGAAGTCATTGAAGAAACAGAAGTTTTCGAATTGCCCATACATCGCCATCACTTATTCCCGACCAAATCTACCACCCAAATCTCTCAAAATGCAGTTCACTACCTTGTCTGTGGCCTTCTTCGCGGCCTTGGCCTCTGCTCACCAGCACGCTCCTCAACACTTCCACCACCGCCGTCAACTGAACGAGACTGCTGCCTCGACCACCTTGACCGTCTTTGCAACTCAAGTTTACACCGTCACCAGCTGTGCTCCTGTATGTGCTTCGAATGTCGCATTTTAGCCCCCTTGACTAATGTAACCTTAGACTGTCACCAACTGCCCAGCTCGCAACTCTGCATCAGCCGGTGTTGTTGTCACTGAGATCGTTGCCTTGACCACCGTAAGTCACACAACATTCGGTAACTTTAGAATTATGTACTGACTGATCTCCAGACTGTCTGCCCAGTTGCGGAAGCGAGCTCCGTCTCAAGCGCTATCATCTCATCTGCCATCGCTACCGGTACTGGATCTATCATCGTCCCATCCGCATCCGTCTCTGATAACTCTGGCGCATCCGTTACCAGCGCTATCATTGTTCCTCTCTCCACCGGTGTAAGCGGACCAGCTGGCGGTGAGAACCCAGTTACCTCCGATACCACCCTCACCTATACCATCGGTACAGGTTCATCTACTACCGTCATCACCACTACCATCAAGCACACTTCAACCGCAACTGTCTACGCTACCAAGCCAGCTGAGGTTACCGGTGTTGCTGCTTCATCTGATGCTCTTACCACCACCATTCAAGGTACTTCCACATCCACCAAGTATGTGACCGTCATTCCTGCACCATCATCATCTGCAGGCGTTGGTGGAAACTCTGGAGCCAGCGGAAACTCCCCAGCCTCAGGATCTGCTTCCTGCGCACCAGTCACTGTCACTGAGACAATTGCTCTCTCAACCGTCACCGTGGTAAGTAATTCTGACTCGGATCTCAAAAACTCATTTGGCTAATTCGCGTAGACTGCCACCCCAACAGGTGCCGCTGGTAACGTTGCCGCTGTCACTGCTGGTAACGGAAAGGGAGCTGCCCAATCCTCTGCTGCTGAGGAAGTCATCGTCAGCACCGCAACTGTTGTCCCAATCGCCGTCTCCACCGGAGCTCCATACACCAACGGAACTGAGAATGCTGTCACCACCAAGAAGCCATGCTCTTCCGTCTTCCCATCCGGCTTCATCAGCAAATCTAAGCCAACCGGCACTGCTTCCCCAATCTACAGAGCTTAAACATATTAGATCATGTTTAGCAAAAAGACCCCTTGACAAAAGGGATGGGAGTTCAGGGAGGATTTAGACTTTGTGTGGATGATTATATTCTTGTTGGTACTTAGGAAACTTTGCTTTGTTGTACGTTTTACTGTGCATACCACTTTATCTTTTGGCTTCCTTTTTATATGATGAATGAAATGTGCGCACGTACTCACTGAGGATGGTTTCAAAACCTGATGCTCGCAAAGTGTTGCCTGAATATTTGTATCTCTTACCCCTCAACAGACTCGAGTCAGCGATTTTCTTTTGCATAACTCCAACTGGTTTGGGGTCAATGGCGTTCACTTGGAGGGAGGGGCGAGAACAGACGGAGGGCATTCACTTGGGGAGACAAAATAAACCAATGTACTTAACACCATTTGAGGACTTTTCGACCATTCGCTTTCTCGATTTATTTCTACACAGTCGTTACCGAACAACATTGTTAAACTTATCGCTCTTATCTGGTGTCTAAGCCCCAAGTGTTGTGCATTCATTGGAATTCAGGATCACGAGACTCCAGCGATGCTCGTGCAGAAATCCTGTAGGAGCGTTTAAGTGATGATGTCTATCCAAGAATATCTTCGCCTTATTTATCCAATACCCCCTTCGAATGTTGCTTTGTCATGGGTCGTTGTTGTGAGTGCGAATCGCGATATTGATCCTAAAATGGAAACCGACAACATAAATTACGGGATCTCTCTGTCTCGCATTTCAACTTGCAGCAACGCAGTGTCGGCTACAATTTTCTTAAAGGCTTTGAGCTTACTATCCTCGTCTACCGAACTGTTGGTCTTGTTGTTGTTATGCGACTTACATACCTTGAAGACTTCAAAACCTCATGGGTCGTCGCCCACCGACCTCGGGAGGCGGACCTGGCCAGTGGCCAGTGACCGAGCCTATTGACCAGCTGAAGCCTTTGGCTTTGCCGTGAATTTTGTTGCATATCGCAGCATCACGTTCTGTCATTGCATTGATCACTGGATCCAGGATGTTGGCTTTCTTGTGTTGGTTGTTGCTCCACGACCACAAGTGGTACCAAGGGGAAACGACATCAACTACTAGCCATCCTCAATAAGTCAATCAATGTCTTTAATTATTTTAAGACTGTCAATTAAGTTGCTTTTGAAGCGTTAAATATTGAATAAATCGTAGCAATCCTCTATCTTCGGAGCAGCTTTCGCCAATAGCACTGTCAAACGGCTATGTCTGCAACATATATTATACCACGAATGAGCCGTCGAAGAATCGAAGACTTCTAGCCGGGATCACAGTTAAACTTCTTTTCGTTGCTGTGTTGTTTCGATGCTTTATGAGGAGATGTTTAGGGACAACTTTCTTTGTTCGTTTCTATGAATGGACTTTGAGAAAATGTTGCCGCAACCGTCAATTCATTCCCGGGACGGTACTCATGAACTTTCACTCTGTTTAGAACAAAGCAATCTTGAATTACATTGAAAAGACGGGTTAAAATGAAAAACAGGAGGATACACTTCTATCGAGGATTTTGATTCTTTCTCAGCGCAAATGAATACATGATCCATGACAGCAAGATTCAATCCTGCTCTCTTAGCCAAAACAAACCGAGGATTGTTTGAAAGTTAAAGAAATTGCGTTAGTGCTACGCCCAGGGCAACGCAACATGCGAGTAAAAAGGGCACCGCGAAGGAGGGCTCCGCATGTGTCATCGAAGACCACCAATAGCCAAGCTGCTATCGAAAACGACGAATCAAACACCATTGCCAGGGCCGAAGCTAGCACCGCAGCATCAGTGAATCCGCAAGTGTTCAAGAATCAGCTATCGACGCCTCCTCAAACCTCACCCAATAATGAGTTTGGGCAATCGTGGACTGAAGTCGCTAGATTCCAAGATGTTTCGCGCAAACGATCCAGTATGGATTCTGAGGAATACCAGCCATTTACTCCGCAGAAAAGAAGAAAAACATTTGGTGTACATCCATTGACACCTGTTTCAAAGATAAAAGAGGCTGTAGAAGAGGAAAAGGGGGATAATGTTATCTATGTCGAGTCAGATAAGGAGGAACTTCCACCGAAGGAACCTGGCCCAACTAAACGCACTTCGAAATACAAGTCTCCAGGTAGATATATGGGAGAAGAGAATATACAGGAAGAATCAGTGAGAAGGAAACCACCCGAAAATGAGTCATTTTACAGGAAACAGTCATACAATCCGGAAATTTATGTTCCTGTCAAGAGGAATATTGCCATGGAGGATGGATATTCTCACGACTCAGACCGTTCAAGACCGTGGAGAAAAAGATCATATACTCAAAAGAGGCCTGTACAGAGATCATCGCCTCAAAAGGAGAACTCATTTACGGAACTCTTAGAGAAAATGAAACGCTCAAGCACACCTGGCCCAGGCAATCCCACTGACGATATGGAGCCTGGAGGTTCTGATTCTTCCCCACCAGAAGAAAGACGACAGCCTAGAGGGAGATCTAAAGCTCTTCATACTCCAAGATACTCTCTTGATCTTCCTGTCGAAATAAACGAGGAGGCAGAATCGGGTGGCGGTGCCGGCGAATCTGAACCATCATCCTCATCTTCAGACAGTGATAATGGCGACGATGGGAACAATAACCCCATAACCACACCCGAAACCCCGGACGATAATTCTGTTCCCATGGAACCGAGTGAGAGAATAAAAGAAGTACTATTTCCGTATCTTGCACTTGGATTCTGTCCAGTCTCTCACCCAGCCATCAATGATGAAGTTCCAGCAATCGCAGAAGCAGCAGAAGGCGTATTATCCGGAGTCTACGCATTACATACGGCCTGGATGGCGGCATGTGTATACCATAATATAAATCCCAATCTCTCAAACATCAATGTAGAGAAGAGAGAAGACATCACACCACACCATTTTAGATCCGTGCTTCTAACCACGACATGCCAGCAAAAGGCTGTAGCATTGTGGATGCGAAAGTTTGTGGCCAAATACGGTAGCATAAATCATCCGGAAGCACGTAGAGAATTGAGATCGAGGGTTAGTAGTTGGGGAAGTTGGTTGGATGCAGAGGCACTTCTCGCACTGTTACGATCAGTGAATGAAGAATTCGGAACGAACTTTAATTTGGGGATCGTGTATCAAGGTTTCCGAGGTCGTCTGTTGGATGGTGGCGGTTGTGATGAAGAATATCTATATAGGACGCATGGCCGTTTTCATAACGAGAGAGGCAAGCAGGGTGACGGTCAGCCTTGGATCTGGCTTTACTGTGACAATGAGGGGAAGAGGTCAGAAGTACCTGGGCTGGAAGAGAAGCTTGAAGATAGATATCTTGGATTCGCGCGGTGGACTAGAGACACGATGAACACGATAGATTTTGACGCAGGTACGAAACTTGTTCGAGAATGGAAGATTGCAAACCAGTTGAGAGACGAGGTCAAGTATGGATTTTGGCAGGTCATGGAAGATTGCGAAGGGGGTTCTGGAGTCGAGATAGACGGAGAGAAGTGGGAATTACTAGACGTCAAAAAGGGGCACTTCTTGAGATATGTTTTTCTGGAATGTAATTGGCATATTCCCAAGGGCTATTGGTGGATGTAAGCCTTCTTTCTTCTGAAATGATCAAGTGAGTTTGCTAAGCGAGATCAGGAGGTTAGCAGGGACTCGTCGAGAAGATTACGAAGACGATGAAGATCACGATTTTGGCGTGCATGATACCGGTCTCGTACCTTGCAGTCGTTTGTTGCCAATAACGGTCGACAAACGTGCTCCAGTACCAGAGAAAGGTGCAACAAGTCGCTGCGCGAAGCTTGAAGATCCGGAAATTGATATCGAGTCATTCATGGAGAAGACTGGCGCGGATCATGATACAGCGGAAATATTTCTGGATCATGTTGCTGCAATCCGATCTGTTCCAGAGTATCACTTGGAGAGGGTGATGGTGGATGTGTTTACAGAATTGCAAAAGTTGGAGAAGGAATTTAAGAGGCTAGCACCTCCCCAAAGTGAAGGAAATGATGTCGAGAATGTCGGAGGAAATTCTAAGACGGGCTCACCGTTGTCGAGAAAGAATACCTCGCCAAGGTGGAGAACGAGCGACAGTCCAGGCAGCAATAAGAGACTTGAGCTTTTCAATGAGGGCAGTTCAAGTCGACCAAAGGAGGCCAGCATCTCGCCAACATCGAAAAAGGGCACAAAGAAGAAGAGTAGTGAGAAGACAAAAATTTTGCCCATTGAGATGATTGATATAACACGGAAGCAGAGCAGCACTTCACCAAAGTCGAAAAAGAAGCCGAAAGAAAATGATAGCCAGGGGTTAAAAGGCTCTCACAGTAGTAGAAGTCGACGACCGAAGAGTGCCTAATGCCGAGGACTCGAGGTCGGAACTTGCTCAGACGATAGAGGTAGATATGTGTTGTCGAAGAAAACAATAGAATATTAAAAAAAATGTTGTTCTGTTGGAGTCCATATTATTTAGGCAACCAACCTCTAAGCGTGATGAGGTGTTTGTTCGAACTTCCATGGAAAACAAAGAGTCAGTCGGAGAACAGTATTCTGTGATTACCTTAAAGACTACATCCAAAACTACAAAAGCAGAATTTAAGACCAACCTTGAACCAACACCATATTCACTATTACTTCGCAATTTGGGATATAGAGAACCAGCAACACAAAAGGACGCAAAATCAACACACATTCTAGTCCAGAACATCTAACAAACACAATGTCCTACAACGTCTACCTCGTCAGCTCCTCCGGCCTCCCCATGGACCACCACGCCATCTTCATCGAAACTCACGAAAGCGGCCCGAAAACCGGCTACATCTACCAAGTAACCGGCAACATCCAAACCGGCATGGTTCACGGGCATCGGCAAAGCGATATCCCAGAAGATATGCCTGATTTTGCCGGAGTGAAGAAATTGCTGGGGACGGTGGAGGTGGGTGATTATGAGAGGGTCAGGACGGTGGTTGATAGTGTGGAGGTGCCGGGGAAACAGTTTGATGGGCCGAAGAGGCTAGGCAGGGAGCCACTAAGAAGGTGTCAGGAGTGGACGAGGGAGGCTATTGATAAACTTCTTGAGGAGGGAGTGCTTAAGCCTTGTGTGACGGAGTCTGGAGAAGGTTTTTGAGGGAGTGAGTGGATGTAGAAGTGAGCTGAGTGGCTGGTATTTGTTGCAATCAAATTAGACCCTAGCAGTGTCCAGTTCTTATAATTCAAAGGCTTGGTCTTGGGCCAGTAACGTTCAATTTACCCAAGACAGCTCAGAAAAAATAGTACCAAATGTGTGAACTTATTACAAACGTCTGACGCCATTTCGACTTGCATTCAATAGCCATAAGTGGCCAAATACAGTCTCATTTACTTCAAAATCAAGTGTCGTCTCCTTCAATATTTGCTTGTACAAGGTCTATATCACAAGAGTAAGAACCGCAAAAGAAATCTATACTCTTATTACTCCCATATTACAGTATGTTAACGGGCATTAAGCCACTCTACAATACCTTACATAGGTGACTACGAACATCATTAGTTAATACTGGATACTGAGTTCCATACACGTTTAGTCTCACAATGCGGGATGTGCTGAAGCATAATGCTGCGACTTCAAGACTTCAAAAGCTACGAGAAATAATGTAGACTAACTCTAAAATTAAAGAATATTGAACAGAATCATGAAATCGATTTGGAGTTAATATGGTTTACTTTCTGGGAAATGCAATTCTTCACCACGTCGAAGAAGAGCAAATTTCGAGATTACATCACGACATCAACCTGCATCCAAACACCACCTCATCATACCAATCTCGTCATCCAATCCAAGCCATTCACCATACACAAGCATATTGCTTCATCAAAATCCTTCCCCAACACCCAACAACCACAACCACACCTCGTCTTCCAAACAACACATCAATTCCCGTAAGCGAATACCCCTTACCCCTCTCAGCTCACGTATTTATGTGTCAACACCGCTTCTCCAACGTCCATCACACGGAGCACGCCTTCCAATCGGGCACAGCGGTAGGCTGAACGATGCCGTAAGGAAAACTATGGAAGGATTGACAAGGCGCGAGGCAGGAATGCGGGGAAGGGAGCTAGTGAATGAGATCGAGGTAAGGCGTTTTTGGATTAGGTGACCCCGTATCCGTTTGGGCGTGCCGGGTTCCTGGGTAGCATAGGGATCACCGGTATTTGAGATTCATAGTGGAACAGTTAAGTATGTAGTTCACAAGTGGTATTAATTCGTACACTATTCTGCTATGCTCCAAAACAGTCCTATCCAAAAATACAAAAACTGAAAGAACTCCGGGTATCTGAACAATTGGGGTATATCCATCGCATCGCATCAATCGCCGCTGATAGCCAAAATAAATCACCAAGACAAAGAGAACCAATCTGGAGTCTGCCAGCCAGGTTTAACGTTCCCATGAGTTTTTGCCCTGAGGTCCCAACATGTTTCTTTTCCCCGCCAAAAATATTAAATCAAAATGGTAATCCAACAAGTGTAACGCCGTGATGAGGTGATCATCCAATGCTTTTTTCTGTGTTTCGTATTGCGCCGTGACAAAAGAGATGAGAGGTCGTTATCGTAATCGTTATGGGAGAGTGTGTAGAACGGGAATCAAGAACCAGCCCGCTATTCTGCCATTGCTTTTGATAAGTGGTATTAAAACCGAAAGTATGAAGTGCGCCGACTCGCTAAACAACTGATCCGAGGTGAAATGCTCAATGATTGAGTGGACTATCGACGTTCGAATGTGTGGGAGAGACGACCCAAGAAGCCGCTGCGAGTAGAGCCCGATGAGGAGGAAGAGTCTTTGCGGGAGTTTGATGGAGTGGCGTTGGATGTCCAGTTGCCAGCTCCACCGCGGCCGACGTGGTAGATACCATTGCTTGCCTGGCTGTCGCGGCTGGCTTGACGTGCGAGCTCTTCATCGAAAGAGAAGATGGCGCGCTCAGAGACGTCGCGGATGTTTCCTGCTCCACCTCTGCCGCTGGTGAACTTGTGGGAGCTTACAGGAAGACCTTGCTCAAAGCGAGAAGCTGGTCCAGTAGCAATGCTGCCTGTGGTAGTCTTTGGGGCTTTGGAATAGTTTCCTGCTCCTCCCCGTCCGGAGTATGCGTACTTTGCAACGGATGGGTGTGGCTCGGTGATCTGGTAGGAAGGCATTGTGATTGTGATTGAGGTTGTTGGTAGTGTAAGGTGAAGAGGGTTGTAGCGGTGGTGGTTCTTTGATTGAGATTGCTGGTAGTGTAGAGGTTGGCAGAGTTGTGAGTATGGTTGAAGTATAAGTAGTAGTCTCAAAGATATTGAGAGTGAATAAGGCAAATATGGTTGATTCTGGAATGGCTGGAATGTTATTGCTGTGGTGAATTAATGTAACTTGGTAATAGCAATGAAGGGGCAAGCCCTCTTATACCTTTTAGTGGCCCATTATTAATGAATTTTCAAAGGAGTCACCTGGAAATTTTCACGATGTTGGACTTTGCAGCTTGAGGTGAAGCGTCTCTTGGATCCGGGGCACTAAGCGTGGTCAGGCATGTCGGCCAGGGGCGCTGCCGCAATGCAGTGGACCACCGGGCTGAGCTGAGTGGCCAGCCAAGGTCAGAGATCGATTTCATTACCCCTTCGAATCCACTTTTTCGACAACTCGTGATGTTTTTCTAGTTATGATTACATTTCGAAATCCAAGTCCGGACATCGTGAGATTCCTAGGCTCGCAGCTTTGCTCGTTCCGTTGCCTTGCGGTGAGAAAATTTGCTTCCTGTTTCATGACACCTTTTCCCTCAGAGTTGGCAACACCCCTCTCCTGGCATGGCATTATTAAATCAATTCCCAGATCTGGGTAAAACGTGCTCAATGCTCTGGAAGACATCATCCAGCTGCTTGATATAGAGATGACGCAAGGAGCGAAGGAATGGTTGGATTATCCGAAGTAGAATACAGTCAGTATAATCAGCACAGTACAGTAAGTATGAAATAATCCTGTACGAGTCTTACCATGTCTAAGCCAGGTCAAAACGCCGCCTCTTACTTTGTGCTTCTAGAAGAATTGCGTGTTGTTGCCACAAATGCAACGTAAGCGAGTTTTGTTCCATGATCTCAAACGAGACTTCGAAGCTCGAAGACGAAACACAAACTTGGCTTGCTGGGCTGGTTCTAACTGGACGGTAGACTGTTCCTCGCATCTTGTGTGCCAAAATTAGGTACGATTATTTGCGTTCCAACCCACTGAAAACTCTGATAGCCCTGTCATCGTGCTTGATCTTCAGGTACCAAGCGCCAAGTCACCAGAATTGCAACGCATCCGACAGTAGCCATGCTGCCACGAGAGACCGAGCTGTGCTTTAGCGGTGATGTCAATCTGGGGAAATTTTCTGGTACCTGTGGTAGGTTGATCCTTCAATATTTACCCACTCATTGCAAAACTAGACAGCGAAACTTTCTCCTCGCTATGCCTAAAAGGGCTCTTTATTCTCTGCCCTAGGGCATTTTTCCCCGCATTTAGGATTGCGTCTTCAATATTAGCTCACGGAGGTTCGAGATTTTGCTATTTTTTGGAAAATTTTCAGCCTCAAGAGTCGAGTCTTTAGGGCGGCTGTCGGCGAACGGCTGGACGAGATCTCACCCTCGAAGAATTAGTCTATGAATATTGGAAATGGGATGATGGGCCCAGCGACCCTATTGAGAGGTCGATTATTCGTTGATTGGATGGCATTGGAAGGACACAGGTGTGAATGACCTGTCTGACCTTCGGCTTAATCACCACCAAACGTGGCCGCAGTACACTCGGCATGTTTTTCAGCGCTTCCTCCGTGGTCACACGGTGGTATTTTCAAGCCTATGAAGCTGAACTGGCCATGACGAAACGTAACTATATTCTCTCTTCTGGCCAATATCGCAGTCGCAAAGGAGCCGAGCAATATGGTTGGCTTCTGACTTGCGCCAGCACGACATTCGAATATCCATACTCGAATGTATTCTCTGGTGGCCACTTGACCGCGATGACGCGAGTTCAGCCTGAGCTCAAAATATGCCTCTGGAAAATGAAACAATCCTTCGGGCACGCTTGATACTCGAAACTCGAGAGCTTTTGTCGTCGACTCGTCGCCGGATTGTGGGGAGTGTGTAAGAGCGTATCGTTCCTGCCCGTTGCAGTCGTTGACCTCGCTTGTGGGTGCACATTAGACAAAGCCCCAAATCCACTTCCTTTCTTCAACAACAAACAACCATCCGGCATCTGAATCAAGGCATCAATCGCTTCCTCGTCTTTTCATTAGACTCAATACATACTGTCGTCCAACTCTCGTCCAACTATTGTCAATAGTCTTTTCAACACCAAAATCTTTGACATCTCATCTCTACTCATCGTGTCATTGTCCGAAACTGCGAGCAGCCATAACACTGCGATCTATCCAGGAAACTGCCATACATCAGGCCTGTCACTTTGACAGGTCGCTGTAGAAGGCAATTCCCATTCGAGACCTCTATACTTGATCACAGCATCTTTGCTTCCGCACGTCAGCTCACGCTTGATATTCTTGCTGACTTTCGCTCAGGCGTTAAATCCACCATGCAAATTATGCGGTCAAATCTATGTCATTTTAAGCACGTTCGCATCTATTATCGAACTGGATTTGATCAAACTTACTCTGAGCGCATTCAACCTTCTTCTCATTTCCACCGTCGCCTTTGGAGAAGATGCGTATAACTCGTAAGCTATGGCAAGCTCTATCCTGGGTAAGCTTCGACTCGAGCAGCATCACCGACTTCCCCTTAGTTCTGGAGCTCCTGCTTGACCAAAGGTCCTTCTTGCTGTTGTTTTCTGGTTTCGACGCTCCACTGCTATCGGAATGCGAGTTAGAGAAGTGAGTTCCCCGAAGCAGTCTCTAGGCCTGTCGATCCCTCTGCACCTTTCATACAAAGAATATGATATTCTTCAGAAGGCCACTTTGGAAGCTCATAATAGTAAACTCTGTTGTAACGCAAAGACCGCCACCCGCATTTGGAGATTTCTCAACTGGCTGAAATGACAAGAGAAGTTTTAGGACGTCGCGAGAAGTAAGCAAAAAGATAGACAGAATCTCGTCCAAAATCACTTCATTCTTTCCACGCCACCACGCCTTTAGACGCAGGAAACCCCTAGGCGCTGTTGGAAGCCGTTGAGCATCAAATCAGGCTTTTTTCCGAAAACCTTGGATCTGCGATTTCCTTTTCACATTGCGGTTTTCTGGTCCTCCTCCTTCAGCATGGAAACAATATGCATGACGACCGCCATCCATTATTTCATACAAAATTGCATTTCTAGCAATGTTAGAGCATGAACTTCCAACACCGAACCACCACTGAGCTGTGTAAATAGCGACAATTCGAAGAAACCCCATTTGAACACTGTCTCCACAGTTGGGCTCTATCCAAATTTCTTGAGAGTTATCCTATGGATCTTGATAGATTGCGTAGGTCAGCTTGTATTTCGAGGACAGAACCTATATTCAGAACCTGCCGCATTGTGTCGTGTAACGACATAGTGTCTCGCGATACCAAGAAACTTCTTCCAAAGTAAAGTATCTCGCACAGGGCTCAAATAAGGGAAGTTGAATTTTCAGCACCTGCCGGGAGCTCGACATATCCTATTTTAAACCTGCTGTGTAACAATAAGTGCTTTTACTCACCGTCTTTTCGGAAAGTCGAAAGACAACTGGCACCAACAAAGACTCTGGCTGGGCTAATCGGCAAGTCAATATCACACCCACAACACTCGGCTCAAGTTTGAAAACTAGTAGTGTCAACGTTGATTGTCTTCGGAGATCTGAACTCTCAACGTGCAAGGTTACTTCGGCTTGCATTCGTCGCAGGGGTCAACGCTATATCTGGTTTCTTCTCGAATCAAATGTGCAAGCTATATGCAACACTCACGCAATTGCATTGTCCTTATCATCTTGCGCCCAGTTGCGACGCACGTGGTCCTCGCCCGCTCTCTCAGTCACAGCAAGCGCAAGACCAGATATCTTAACCCAAACCCGGCTCTTGCTTTTGGAGCGGGCAAGCTCCCTCAACATATCATTTGCTTGTTGGGCTCGAGGCATTTGCGACTCCTCGGCTGAGACTTTGCAGCTCTTTAGTCACTACAAGATTGTAACAGTCGAGTTCCAAAAGCTTAGCCCAGTAAGCTTCTACTATTGTTCCAGGCATAAATAGTGTGCTCAGGAAAACCTATTCAATTCAGGTTGGATGACGGGCAACTTTCTAAGCAGCATGAGAGCCACACTAGGATCTCCTGGTCACCAAGCCCGTAAACACTTGTCGGGCACTGGCGAATAGAACTGCCAATATAGCGCAAGGGAAGCGTCTGTACAACATCAATGCCAATCGGAAGCCATGCAGAAACCTAAGGCACGATCTAGGAGGTTATGACAGAATGCGAGGCATAAACAGGCATTGATTGCTGGCTGAAGCAACATCTCAGATTGTCACGATATGCTGGCTTATACATCAAGTCATTAGCTGTGAATAACACCAACAATAATACATCGGTCGACCATAGTCAATATATCCAAGCTTGGATGTAGGGAATATACTTGTGCCGCCGGATAACTCGTCTATAATATGACACCATCCGTCCGCGAATGTACTCTTATCAAAGAGCATTCCACCATACTAAAAGAGCAAGCTATAAGAAACCTATTTCGAAGGACGAGATTTACATATGAGGCAACCGTTTCGACGTTTGGCAACTACCAGTACGCCTGCAAAGTTATAATTCCTCCATGGCCCGCACCGAGCCGAACGCCTCAGCTAATTTTGCATAAAATACAGGTGGCTAGGCCTGCCCTTGCGGCATAATGTCGTGTAACGTCATACGTTGTCGTTCTTACGTCAAAAATACGTCACTAGCATCTGTCAATTATAAGAGTATTTTGGGACTTCATTCGTTGTGTGTATTCAGTAGACTGTCATGGGTTCTAGACTTATAGTGTGGTGCCTCACAAAAGCTAGCGGCTAGTGGTTGTCAATGATGCTGTAATAGCACACTACTGGGCAACTCGAACTGATTGGAAATGCAAACTTGCTTTGTGAGCTTGTCAACATCGCCAAATGGCAGGAACAGTCTACTCGCACGCAGGAAGAGAAGAACGAGCCTGTGACGAATACGGCAGTGTGATTGTTTGAGTTGAGTTATTGCTATTTCCCGAAAGCCTCAACCAAGCTTTGGCCCCCGTATAACCCGATCTCCAAATCATCAATTCTGTAAGGGCTGTTCCCTTCTGTCGCTCATACTAAGCTACTGCAATGGAATTGGCTAACGACTGTATCTTAGATAGAAACAAGAAACAAAACGCACCAAAGGCTGATAGCAGTATATCAATCCAGTTCGCCAAAGCCAAACTTGAGTCAGCCTATTCTCAAGATTGGCTGGAGAAGACGCTACGAAAACCTGAAAACAAAAGAATTGGGATATCATAAAGCACACCAAAATTCCAAGTGTGCCCATCTAAGGTATAAAACGAGTCGTACCGAGCGAAGTTACCGAGGGGATGGCTACCGGAAGCGAGCGCCGGTTTTGTTCCCGAATTCAGCGCCTCGGCTTTGAGCTATAGCTTGTCCTCCCACCTGAGGATGATCCGTGGCCGTGCCGACTCTGCTGGCTTCTACTCGCGTTTCCACCTGAAGGTCCAGCTTGACCAGCCACATTATAGCCTGCATAGCAATGTGGACATGGAACCGTCACGATCAGCGTATTGCCGCAGGCTTCGCACACTTTTCCATTTTCTGGAGTCGCTACACTGCAAAATGTCAGTTCGGACAACTCGAAGCAACGAAAAATAGGCCTGTATGGTGGACGACTGAAATGACCAAGAGGGAACTTAGTAACTGAGGATCGAGGGATTTCAGGTAGTCAACTAAGGCTTGAACTGGATATCATCTTGAACATGGGACCCCTCATACCTTCTGACATGCCATCCGCACTCACAATCTTTGATCATCCATCCTCCGGTACAAGTGCAGTCTGATCGGTTCTCGTAAGCCATCTTAAGTATTGCCTAATTGGGAGTGAGGTGGGCGTGTTAGATCTCAGAAGGGCTGACAATTGGTCGTGTAGACTGGTGTTGTGGTGGTTAAGCTCAAATTGTTTAGAGTAGATAGCTGTAGGGATCATGACAGTACAGTGTTGAGTTGTAAGTAGTATTCTAAACACTTCATGAGGAGGAGAGAAGGAGAGAAGAACTGACACCCGTAGGGAATTCGAAGCCTTTTGTACTCCGAGATCTTTGCGAACACAACTCTGGCCAGAGGCCACCCTACTCGAAAGTTCACACATTACGTGTTGGCAGCATCTCACGATGAGTACAGATTGGGCAGCACTCCGGGTTGAAGGACTACCTGGTTGGGTGACAGCAAAATAAGTCCATTGAATCCACCCACACCCCTTCAGCAGCACACAACGGTATTGTCTTCCATTGGCGGGGCCAAGGATCGTCACTTTCTTGAATACCAGATTACCCCGGTAATGATGGTCTGCTGATTCACAATCAGACTCAGAGACGCCATCAGGAATTTGGGATGCTACTGAATCCCGTCAGTTTGGTTAGAGCCCGAAATATCATGAGAAGAACTGGGTATTGCAGCGCTTTTCTGCAGCTCGGGTAAATCCAGACATGCAGCACAGGTCGATGAAAAGCTATAATGCGGTCTTATTGACGCAGTATATGCATGTAAGATACTCTAGTTCCTCGTTAGTTCGTTCTAGCAGACTTTCTTGGAAGCTCTACATGGCGTAGAACCAAGGCATGCTTTTCGGAAATAAGGCTGCTGAAGACAGCATGGTTTTCTATCAGCGTATAGTACACAATACTCTACCTCCATTATTGTCGGAATGGCCATAACCACGGCAGCTTTTGCACCAACATATGAGACAGCGGCACTAACAATAGCAGCTAAGAATGTTTTGATTGGTCTCCGAACTGATGTCCGCAGGTGACAATGTCTTGTCAAGGTGCCAGCAGCATGGATATGGGATTGAGTATTGGAGTCGTCTTCTACCCAAGCAGCAGCTGCATGACTCCTGGATCCATTCATTTTCTCCATATCGTTTCTTTGGCTGGAGTTGCTGAAGTAACTGCTAACTGAGCTGAAAGAATTGCGCTCTATCTTCACCGTCGACGGGTTTAATGCAGGAAGCCGCTGTGCGACATCAAGAACGCCAACAACACAACATCCTTGGAGCAAGCCAAATCCCAGTTCACTACACCCTCTACTCTGACAGACACTTCTCATTAATTTGCTCACGCGGACGATAGCCTTGGCGGGAGTTCTGATGATGTGTTGCTTGTTGATTGAGTATTGACGGGTAAACGGCCGACGAAAGAATGCGATAGCAGAGATGATGAACGCAGATGCAGATTATCCACGAGGGCGACCTACATGATATGCATGTATGCTCCATGCGGAAATCGGGATATGCAAGAGTCAGTAAGATACACTATTTCGAATTGGCAGAGCAAGCCAAGGGCTCTCGCTCCTCTCCTATTAAGGTGAAAGAAGTCCTGGGCTCGTCTATACCTGCTCTTCTATCCCGGATGAGAACCTCGCTTAATATGAGCTATGGGTATCCGCACATGGGCCTGATATATTTTGTGACTAGCGGGGAGAGCCAGAGACCCCTTTTCGCTTGTTCGTCGCTTCTTTGGAGCTGTTCGTCAATATGCGAGTTGGGTAGTTCCCGACGGCAACGGAAGTACCATTGTACCCGTTTCGATAGCGGTAAAATCACATCATTGACTTGTGATTGATCTCTTGTCATTTGACTTGATTTTGAAGAAGAACAATCGCGGGAAATTATGTACTGTGATGTCAATAAGACTTTGAAGAGAGGTCTGGACTGAGATACGATGCGTAGTATAGACTGATAAACAGGGAAGGTTATCACATGAGTAGTGTCTATACCACTCAACTTCTAGTAACACAACCTCAAGCCTCACAACCCCCACGCTCCGAATAGTAAGTGACGAGGTCCATCCACACCCCTCGCAGAACTTGCAGCAATAGCACACGATACTCACCACACCCTTTCGAGCGCACACTCACACACACGATCAAGCCAGACACATCCAGGCATCCTTCGCACACCTCAACCCTCCCACCATCACAAAATAAAATGACAACTCATATCGCCTCAGTTTCTATCACATTGGTTCCTGCTTACCCCAAGTCTTGAACTGTAAAACACCAACCATCGTCCACCACCCCATGTCATAGAACTCTATACTACCACACCAAAAAGACTCGGCTTAAAAGCCAAAAGCCGAAGTTCGGCTCATAACCGGTTTTTGGTCTGGGTTCGGGAGGAGTAGGAGTCGGGAGAGTGGTGTGTGTGGGAGGAGGTGTTGTGGGTAGATGATAGGTGGATGAGTATGGTTAGGTGAGTAAAGGAGGGGATGGGCAGGTGTACGGATTATGTAAATAAGAGACGGGATGGCTGTGTAACTGTAACTGATTTGTGTTGTTAGATTACTAATCTTCAATAGCTGGAGATTAACTTTCATACCAAAACGTGACTTAACTATCTCTTTGTTTTGAAATAGATAACCTTTAATATGCTTGATATACGTCCTTCTGTCTCACATACTCAGCATTAGAGGGAGATAAGAAGAGATAGAAGTAAAAGGAGAAATGCGTCCTAAAGATATCGGTGACCACCAATCTTTCAGTGTCGAGGCTAGATAATAGAACTCCAATATATGCATAACCTTAGTGAAAGAGTATCCTGTAGAAAGTTTATTTCTGACAATAATAAGAAACTTTAATTCAACCTCCCCATCCCCATCCTCCACAACCTGAAAACAATATCCCACCCACCACCTGCAACTCGACCCAATAAAAAAAGACCCGTTAACACCAATCTACAATAAACACAGCCCTACGTGGGGCAGAACCCCCCCATATACCTAGGTACCAAATGAATTCAATATTACTTCCTCTCCAGGCTCCGAGTTCTCATGAGAACACCAATACCAACATAAAGCAGTTTAAAGGACCCAAGACGTGTAAATTCATTATCTACTCTTACTAACTATGCGACCTCGAAATACACTCGGCCGTTCATCGACAGAATGCAACAAAAGGTAAGATTCCATCTGCAGTCAAAACGGGTTTTGCTTTTGCATAAATTAAATTTCTCACCAACTATGAACCAGTCTCTAGATCAATCTAAATGAGACACATGTGAATGTATGAGATGATATGTTCCCTAACTAAAGCTCCGGGCCAACGTTGACTTTGAAGTCAAGTCATTCAAATTCGACGCCATCTCCGAGAGCGCCAAATGCGGGAGGAAAATATGATACCCTGCCTAATGATCCCTATTCATTGCATAACTCCAGCTTATCCCTAACTAACCCAGATTCTCCTAGCCCGCCTTCGTGAATATGAAGACTATTGCCCTCTTGATATTAAGATGATAAATTAAGCAAAGTCCGGTGCAGTCGCAACCAAACCAAAGAAAATAGCGGCTCCTCCAGCCGCAACATATGCGGCACGGTTCATCAGCGTCTTGAGCTTCTTCATTGGTCGTCCTTCCCTAGCATGTGGTTGCGATTGGATTTGCGTAGTTGATGGAGTTTCTACGACGGCCGTTTCTGGAGAAGTAGCCCATGCACGAACCTCTTCCTGAATATCAGAGATTTCACTAGCCTTTCTCTTTTCACCAGTTCTTGCCTCGACTGGTGGAATAGACTCTTTGGATGGAGGATTCTCGATAATATCATGGATGCTCAATCTAGACCGAATGGCTTTGGCTTTACTTTCGTTAAAAGTAACCGCACTTGTCATGTCATATTCGGGACTAGCCGCGCGCTCGACAGCGGGGAATCCCATACCCTCAGATCCGATCGTGGGGACATCTTTGCAGGTCAGTAAATGTGATTGACAAGCATGATTCTGTCTAAACCTACTACATTTGAATATGTTTGGACTAGGGAAATCCGGGATGTAGTTGAAGGAACTGGCAGAGGTATAACTGGACTCTACCATGTTTGGGTCTCTGACGAAAGGTTTCTTCCCAGCAAACTTCATGCAAGTTCTTGTCGGTACATTGGGCGTTGAAAACTCATGCATAAATGGCTTGGGAATGTTTTCGGCAGCTTCGTTGATCTTAGCCTTGTTCTTCTCTCGCGCTTCGAAAAAGGCGTGCTTGCCGGTCTTGTCAGCAAGAGTTTGTGCAAGTTGGCGATTTTCAGAGCTCTGCGTAATCATGGTCGAAAGTTGGACAGAGTCGAGCTCAGCCTGCTCAACTTGCTTGACTTGAGCAGTCTTGACCATGGCAGCGTCTGAAGGGCTTGGTTGTCTATCGATCGCAACGACTGGCTCGGCAAGTCGTTTAGTTGATGGAACACCGATAACTGGGCTCTGAAGATCTCTTGTTAATGGCTGGTTGCCAATTGCTGGAGTCTCGAGGTGGGAGAGTGCATGAGGTAGGAAGCTCGACGGCTCGAATCCAATAACACCCGCTGGTTTAAAAATGTTTACAGTTTTCTCGGAATTTATCATTGCATCCTCAGCGACAAAAGGAGACTTGAACGCGGCGACCGGAGATGAGCACTCAGGACTTGTGTTGCTCATCGCGTCTATGTTATCGAAGAGTACTCGAAGCCCCTCCTCACCAGCATCAGATAGACCAAAATCGCTGTCATCATCGTCATCCTCGGCCATGTCGAATGCATGAACATTGGTTAGAGGGCTGGAATTGGAAAGGTTGTCGAGAGAACGATCATCATCTGACCCAGACTCATCGCTGAGACGATCATCCATGTCAGAAAGGCTGTGTGATTCATCCGAGTCGACACTGTCTGAAATGTCTGAGTTTTCAGAGTCTTCGAGATCGTCCATCTCGTCGTCATGGTCAGAATCCGAGAACTCGATAGGGTGGCTTGGGGTAGCTGGCGTTACCTCTGCAGAGGCAGTGCCTTCAGCAATCAAAGCAGGTTCACCGGTGAGGTCGATTGTCCCAAGTATTGGACTCGGGGCTGGGGAATCATCACCTGTCAAATCAATAGCGTCTGTTGAATGAAATGCCTTGTATGTTTGTTGTGGGCTCTCGATGGAAATGTTAGACTCGCTGGAAACTTGCTGGTGCTCATCCGTTGATTCGTCGCTGATCTCACATTCAGAAGAGGAGTCGTCCATTTCTGGAAAACAAAACGTCTTTCCTCGACTATAACATCATGGGTCAGCATTAATTCATAAGGCGGAAGCAAACCGTGTGCATAGGGGAACATACCTATATCCCGAAAGCTCGATACCAACTTCAAACTCGCAGGCAGGAAATACCTCTGGTCCACGTTTGACTTCGGCTCCTAGTACGAGCACGTCTCCGTGATGGACTCTGACTGGCGAGCTCTCGAGTCTCGTTCCATTTACACACGTCCCATGCATAGAACCAATATCTTGGATCAGGAGCGCCTGTTTGTAGTCAGCAAAGATGATAAATCGAAGAAGAATAAGAGGAACTTACTGCTTTCTGATCGTCGAACTTCAGCTTGGCATGACTTCGAGACATGACTGGGCTATCGAACCATGCGTTGTCTACAGCCCCAAGTATATTCTTGGCAATACTCTTCGAAGCTCTGCCAATGACGATAACTGGAGAATCCGGCGTGAGTATGAATCGTCGTTGATCAAAATCGCCGACCAACGAGCGTAAGGTAACGGTGACTGTATTCAGGTCAGTATAGGCATACTTTGATAGTCAAAAAAGTTGAGCTTCAACAATGAAAGTCGAAGAGCGTGGAGCACTCGGCAGCCCAGATTGGCATGCCAGCGTATGTGATACCGAGAGAGCGATTTCATGTAGGCTGCTCATTTTGTTCTGCCAGCCTTATCCACCTCCGAACGTAAGGAAGTCTGACATACCTTGTTGCGGCATCGTGTGGTCCTTATGCTTCTGAACAGCCTGTAGATGTGCTAGTATGCGCAGCATAGAAGGCAGACAAGAATATTAGATATCCTGCGAAGTTGTTTGTGATACGATCGGACAAGGTGGAATCGAAATCACGTAGGTGAAACACGTTGTTTCCCGGTCGAGGCCGTCGGAAGGTAGATAAGTTTGGGTACAGGGTACGGTGAAATGATGAATGGTGAGAATGTTGAACTGCTAGTCAAAGCAGAGACAGCATCAAAAATCGAGCGAGGACGCAGCAGAAGAAAGTCGGAAAGGGAGTGTCGTGAAGTTTGGATAGAAGGAGGGAAGGAGGGGTTGTAGTCGAGGCCGTCAGGCAACACCAGCTCACTCACAGGCGGATAAGCGAGTGCAATCGATAAGAGCTCAGCTTAGGCAAGGCGGGGACTAGCGCGAAGGGTGGGTATTGAGTCATATACGGGGGACCTAGGTAAGTCGAGATTCATATGATATGTTCATTCAGATTACAGGAATGAGTTATGACTACATATACTGAGAATAGTCTGTTCGCATAACATAGACGAATTCGTTATGATTGTGGTGAACTCTGTCATAATCCATTCCATATATGGTTTGCAGCAGAAGAGGCGGCTCCACTCAAACGATGATCACGCTCCATTACCGACGCCATAATTAGCCTAGCTCTAGCCCACGCCGCCTGATAATCCCTGAGTTGGCGCTCTCCCGAGGACGATTTTCCCCGTTCCCCATCATACCACCAATCTTTTTCGCACACTAAGAACTTGTTGATATTTAAGACGGTCCAGATACTATCATCTTCGCCAACTTCTCCTACGTAATTAATGGACGAACTAGCTTTACAGAAAATTCCTCCTCAAATACCCTACGATCGAGCTATACGATAACACGAGATCAGAATCGCATTTAAACCCCCAGCTTCAACTTGTACCTTAGTACCCCGCACACTTGAATTTCCAGGAATCTCCAGATTCACGCGCTTGCTCACACTTACAACCTTTGAACACATCCTAGAAGTTCATTCGCATCGCAAAAATGCACGACGACCTACGGCGACGCGCTTTGGAGAGCGGAAAGACAGTTTCGAAAAAAGCTCAGTCTCGTATCTCTTCCAGAGCTTCCACTGCCCCAACTTCTCGCACACACAGCAGAGCTGTCAGTCGCCATGGCTCTGATGACGAAGATGGAGATCTAAGCGATAGCACAAACTGGAGGTAAATACAAGATCTGTTCTTTGTTCTACCTGCGACGCAACTGACCAAGCGCACCAGTGTCAACTCGATCGATGATATGCTTGCGACAGATCTGCCCGAAGACGCCACCGAAGCATGGAAACAAGACCTCACCGATCGCATAGAAGAAATCATAGATAGAAAAAGAAGTAGCGCCCAAGGAAGAGAGACGACCCTCACCGCATATACTCATTACTTGATGAGCCATTATGCTTTCGACCAGATAAAACACAAGACCAGCGAGTTGTTCCCGGCGTTAATGAAGAGCATTAAAGTAGACAATACAGAGAAAGAAATATGCCTTGCACTGAGAGGTATAGTAGTCTTGACTTGCGCGAAATACTAGAACTAACAATTGATTCAGCTATTGCACTCACCATTATTACGGTCCCCTCCGAAACAGCATACGACGGTTTATTCCAGCCCTTAAAGAGAACCTATTCAGATTCGGAATATCCTGCGGTCAAAGCGACGGCGATACATACACTCAGTACAGCAGCAGTATATGGAGGTGCTGGAGATGATGAAATTGGTGATGTGATGGATGATTTACTAGAGATTATCGAATCAGACGGAAATTCCATCGAGGCAGCAGACAACGGAGAAGTGGTAGCAGCAGCGTGCCAGGCATGGGGTTTTCTGGCAACTTCGCTCGAAGACCTCGAAGAAAAGACAGAAACCGCAATGGATGCATTCGTAGAACAGCTGGAGAGCAGTGACACCAAAGTCCAAGTCGCATCTGGTGAAAACATCGCTCTAATCTACGAAAAGAGCCACACCCCACGAGAAACTGACGACGGCCCTGTAAGTTCCGACGATGAAGACGAAATGGCCGCCGAAGAAGCGCGTTTCGTAAAACGGTACGACGTCTACCGCCAAAATAACCAACTCGAGCATACCCTCCGCCAGCTCGCGACCGAGTCCTCCAAACGAATTGCAAAGAAAGACCGGAAAACGCTCCACACCAATTTCTCGGACATCTTGAACACTGTCCAACATCCAGCACTCGGCCCGCGATACTCGACCGCAAGAGATGAGAATGGTCGTATCTATGGCTCGAGAATGACGGTTCGCGTACATAAATCGGGGACGATGAAGATTGATAAGTGGTGGAAGTTACATAGGCTTCAAGCCCTGAGAAGAGTTCTTGGTGGTGGCTTTGTCGTGCATTATGAGGATAATGAGGTTGTGTTTGAGAGTCTGCCGTGAGTTTGTCCGCTATCTTAACCCCAGTTGTCTTGCTAATGTGGGTTGCAGAATCATAATCCAAGCCGACTAAGCTCCACCACCTCACATCTTCAACATTGAAATTAATTACAAAATCGCAGGCGTTCAGGACATCCCTCTGTTTTCATGATATCAAATACTCAATACCCCATTCTTTTGCAATCATATTTCTTTTTCGGTGGGAGTGAGAGGGATGACTTTACTTAAAATCTTGTTTTTCGGGGGCATCTAAAAGGTGTGCATGTATTTATGTGGGAATTTAACAAGTAGTATGAGGTGGATCAAAAATAAATCAACACATCCATCATCTTAAACTTAAGGCTTTGAACAAGGCCGGTTCTAGCTTCCTATGTGTTTCTCCTCCTGTGACCTCTTTCTTCTCACCTCCTTCCTATGGTAATTCCAACTAGAAGACGTGAATAGGCGTAAAGATCTTCACTTCCTTCTACTTGAGCAACTGACCCTCGTCTCTTTCCGAATTAACTCCCCTGTTACAACACTGGCGTGGAAATACTCATCAGAGGTACCACGCACATCATCTTTTGAGCGAGGAAATACATGGGTAATGTATTAGCTAAAAAGAATATATAAGAAGGTCCTTACGGGATAGATATAAGTCAACCGTGAGGATGAGCAATGGAAGACGCCGACTTCTCCAGCCTAGATCAGGCTGCGTTCTTTCCACAATGTTTCGGGGAGTCATAACATAATACATCCAAGGTTGACAACCCTCACCACCCCCCTGGCACCCACAACATCAAACACTCACCCAGCTCACTCAAGAAAATTAGTAGAACTTGTGATCATCGTCAAACTCGCTTCTTGCGTTCGCTATCTAGATATACATTGCCATCTAGCCCACTCCTCCGCTGTATGTATATACCATATCCCGCTCCCGCTCCATCCCATCCATATCCATACACCAAAACCCCAACTCTCAGCCAAAGTAATACAAAAGCGCAGCCATTCCAATGCCAAACAAAACCCGCTATCCTCATATAAACCCATCCCATATGCAAACCGCCTAACCCAAACAGAGATATCGTACTAAAAGAGATTCGTATACACGCTGCTCATGAGGGACCCCAAACGCCTATTATGATACCCAAAAAACAAAACACCCATCTCTTACTCCTTAAAGACCTCTTCAAGCCGAGATTGCACCTTCCACATGCTGAGCAACCTCCTCATACCACAGCCCATGCGCCTCGCGATCTAGCACGCCCACTCTCCCGACCTCATCAACGATCGCACCGACCCTCTGCACGAACTCCGGAAGGCCCAGCGTAGCTAGATTCTCACTCGCAGTGCTCGCGCTCTTAACTTTCTCTTTCTCCGTGTTGGCTGCCAGACGTGTCAAGATGTGGTTTCTTAGCCGAGTCGCTAGGAGTCGCATAACGGGATCTCTGAGTTCGGATGCTGGTTTAGGCTCTACGCCTTCCGCGGAGGGGAAGATGTCGATATCAGCTGAGGTATTTACAATCCGGGTGACGAGGTCGCGGATGTGGTTTTTAGTGGCGACAGGCATGCTACGTGATGATTCCAGAGCAGCTTGGATGCCCTGAGCTGCTGAGGTAGCGTCTTTGGAATTCTCAAGCACAGAGTAGATGCGTGTGGCCTCGGTCTTCCACTGGCTCCGGACATCCCGTTTGAGTAGATTTTTGCACTGGAGCAAGATCGCTCCTGCTGTGACGATACGAAGAACCTCGACACGTGTCTTGGTGATACGCTTCGTGTCGATGAAAAGCGTTTCTGGGATGGGGATTGATGAGTCGAAAGAAGTGAAAACATCTGTAAGCATTTGTGCATATATCTTTTCCGGGCCTGGTTGATCTCTCAACAATTGAACATGATCTGGATCTCGTCGAACTGCCTCAGCGAGGACCTTCTCTCTAGCATGCCTCCAAGCTGCCTCGGTAGCGGTAAGATTGTTGGAGGTTTCCTCCATTGTTTCCTTAAACCGTGTCGTCTCGTAAGCTACGGCATGCTTCATGAGTTCCGGAGCCGCTGTCTGGAGCATAAAATTTGCGTAATCAATCTGCATCAAATCGATCGCGTGAAACAAGTTCTTTAAACGATCGACTACATCCACAGCCGGCTGTTTGTTCTCGAAGGACCCAACCAAGACTTTCATCTCGTCATCTCGGAAAGGAGCACACAGCTTAGGAATGATGTTCGCCATAAAGGAGAAAAAGTTGTCGTAAGAAAAGTTACCATTATGTAACTCTCGTGCAACTACATCATTATCGAGGGCCTCGCCAATCATAGTATGCATTGAGTTTCCAGGCTTGAGAAGACCTTGGAGTTTACCCTTGATGTTCTCAGCCATAGCGAGCACCCAAGGGTTTCCTCTGCCCTGAGCGATGTCTTGACGCATCGCATCGCATATATCCTTCATGAAAAGATCTCTCTTTTCAAGAGCATCGTCTGCAATACGGTACTCGCGGTTGATGGCTACCTCATGCGCGATAGTACGGTTGTCAGGCATAATCGCAGTATCGGTACGCAGAGCATCTGCAAGTGATGACTGTGGTTTCGTTGCGTGTCTAGTCGGGGTTGCTGGTGGTGTCAAAGTTTGAAGGTTGCTGCTCACTGTTCTCTCGGAGACTTTGAGAGCTTCGAGCGTGTCTGCTTCCGACGTGGAAGAATCCGCAGCCCGTGGTCGCGAGTCTCCGGTGGGTTGCTTTTGAGCGCGAGCCTTTCTTGACTCTCTGATAGCATTTGTGATCAGTTTTTTCCCCTGTGCGGCGCCGGCAAGTTTCTTGATTCGAACCATCAATTTCAGCTGATTATCCCGAATACCATCCCTATACGAGTCGGTGACAGATTCTTCTGTACTATTCTTGACGGTTTGCCAAATCGAGTCCAACTCCACAAATTGCAAGACCATCATGTCAATAAGAGTGCTCGAATCCCTTGCTTTCCAGGCAATAAAGGCATTGAAAAATGTAGCATACACCTCCGACAAGCTAGAAAGCTCCGACGCGGGGGGAGTATAATTGTTTGTGGCTGTCAACAGAGATAAAACGTTCTCGAAAGAAATAAGTAAATCCCGAGCCTTTGCCACTAGATCCTGCAATTGAGGATTAGCAAGATCATCTCTTCTCAATGGCAATACTCCCACCTGTTCTTGTTCTTTACTGTCGCTCTTACTGCTAAGGACCTGGGTAGGATGCCCCAGAATAAGAAAAGCGCTCAGGAACGTTCGAACAGCTGTCATCTCATTGACAGAGCCACTTTCGCCCTCTTTCAGACCACATATCCGTAAAATCTTTGCCGTGCCAACCAGGACCTTCTCTTCAGCTAAGAGCTCGACAACGCTCTCGAATGATGTATCTTGAACTCCATCAATAGTAAGACCAAGGTCAGAGAATTCCTTGAGCGCCTTCCACCGTTGATGAACTCTCCACTTCTTCTGTATTCTAACAGCGGCGGCAGCTTCACTGAGTGATTCAACAATCTTTGGCATCGGCGATGAGCTCTTTCTAGGCTGGCTGATAGATCTGCCTCTCTCCTTTTTGATATTGCCTCTATTCAACATCTCTTCTCGTCTTCTGTCGGCTTCGGCAAGTCTCTCCTCCATTTCCTTTCTGAGTTTCTTTCCTTCGGCCTCTCTTTTCTCTTTCATGCTCATAGCGACACCCTTGGCGCGCTTGACCTCCTCGGCACAACGAGCTCCAATCTCTGCTAAATTCTTATCTCTAGCCTTCTGCGCTGCCAGTGCTCTTTCTTCGGTATTTGTTGTGCCTCTAGGCTGCGCCTTGGCTAATGCAGCTCTGAGACGAACCTTTTCAGCATGAGCGGCTCTATCTGCTAGTCTAGCTTTGCGGTCCTCTAAGATTGATGCACGGCGGAGATTTTGTGCGATATAGTTACTCTGTGGCCCACGCCCATGGCGGTTCGAAATGTGAGACTGCTGGGAATGCGCAGATGACATGGAATTTCGGCGAGAGGAGGCGGCGGATGACTTGCGACGATTGTTTGTTGGTCGATAAAAGCGCGCTGCAATATGAGGTGGGGGTGAGTAGATTCTGTTTGATGCTGCGGTCATGTAATCGAGATCTGTATCTTCTGGTATGCCGGCTTCGCCCATTGACTCGTCTTCTAGGCTGGGAATTGGGTCGCTATGAATACTCATGGAACGTCCGTATGACGCTTTGGCGCCAATCCGGGAGGGATCGGGAAGCTCGTTCGACTCTTCTATTATGTAGTCTAAATCTGTGTTTGTCGCGACGGGGTTGGTAGAGTCGTTTCGAGTCTCTGCCGGACCTGTTGACTCCTCCAGGTTGCGATCCGGGTCGCTGAGGGTTTCGGGCGTGCGAAGCATCTTGATGGTCGCTGTAAATATGTTCGCTGTGCGCTGTTCGTAAAGAAAGAAAGGCTAAATGCGGTATGTTGAGTTTCTGAAAGCAGCTTTCTATGGTGGGCGGCGGGGTTGGAATGAATGCGTCGGGTGCTTGGTGTAAATCTATTTATCGTGGTTGAATGAACGAGAGTAATTCACAAAATGGAAAACACAAAGGAGTATGGTGAAAAGGGCGGAGGCGAATGAGTTCCTTTGGCCACGGATGTACAGAGAATTGAAAGTCGACCAAATGTCGTGGGGAAGGAGAATTGAGGTGGTTGGTGATGGTTGCGCTTGCGGTCAAAGGTCTCGACACCGAAAAGCAGGATGTCGTAAGAAGATGCTGACTCGCTTTGGGCAGCACATGTGACGCTAGACTGCATTTGCTCACAATTCATGACAGAGCAACAGCAAAGAAGCAACCAGAAGGAAATGATAATCTTGTTTCGAGTTTCTCGGGTTTGTCACTTTGTTTTGTTTTTCGCATCATTTAGAGTTAGCTGCTTTGTCCATCTTGCTCAATTTATATCTTCAAGACCTTGCGCAGTGACAATCTCCGAGAAACAATCATGCGGCAAGAGCATGCGACGGAAACTATGTTTCGTTTCAACTCTCGAGGGCGTCGTCGAAATCCTGGTTGAGACCAAGCGGGGTTCATGGGGAACCGAACGTTGCAGAAGATCTCCCAGCGGTCTGGTGCTGCAGCAGAATAAATGGGGGGTTCGTGACTAAATTAGCAACTTTCTAGAATGCGATTTTGGTTTTCGGTCTGCATCAAGCAGCACAATCGTGATTGTGGAACGGAGAAAAAATTGGTAAATATTTGCTACCCGGGTACTCACTTGGTCCAATTCTATAAGCTGTTTGGTAGCTTTCAATCCTGTCAAATCTGGACATCCTTTGATACTGACTGTAGGCCCTACTGAACAACATGAGGGAAGTCACGTGATAATCGTCGCTTCTATATTGACAGTCCCGGTCTTACACACCCTCGCGGAGGACAAAATAAGTAGTAGTCGCAATTCAATATTTTCTTGATTAATTTAACGAAGTATTGTATATTTAGTGGATTAACTTAAAACGTTATCACTATCCGTTAGTTGTTTTCAATAGATGAGACTTTTTAAACTCTATTCGAAGTCGACTTATTGTTCAGTCCAAGGTTAGCGGGTAGGTAACTGACACTTATTTTGTCCTCCGCGAGACACGTTCTACTTAAGTTGTTAAGTCCGATCATACCTTGAGAGATGCTTTATTAATTGAATGGTGGAACCAGAGATGTTCCAGGTTGCTCCTTTTTTAAGGCAAGAATCTTGTTTGAGTAGAGCTTTTTGACTTATCCTGCTTACCCTGCTTACCACGTAAGGGAAGACAAGTGTGTAATGGCATGCGTCTCTCTAATTGTTTCTGTGTTTGAAATCAATAGTTACCCCTAGAGCTCGTCAACTCATCGGAACTGGAGGTAGTATCGACTGGAGCAAAGTATGTGGAGCTTATCCTTTAGACGTTTGTTTTTGACAATATGTATCGAAAAACAAGCATTTCTGTCACATACGACCACAGACTAAGGAGAATTGGGCATCCCGTCCGCTCTGCCATACACAAGCCTTAGATCGGCAGATTAGTAGTTGGGTGGGTGACCACCAGCGAATACCT